GAGAGGAACAAGGTTTTGGCCTGGGTAGAGATAGAAAATACACTCATCTCCTCAAAAAAGGAGTGAAAAAGGCAGAGAAACTGTACATAGGGACTGCGCTGTGGTTGATGGGGACACTCTGACTCAGATAATAAGTGTGCACAGGGGACCTGAACAATCAAATCAAACAAAATGTATGACGGAGCCATGTTCTTTTTTTTTTTTTTTTTTAAAGTGAGACTGGGGCTTGAACTCAGGGCTTCATGCTTACAAAGCAGGCACTCTACCAATTGAGCCATTCCTCCAGTTCATTTTGCTCTGGTTATCTTAGAGATGGGGTCTTGCAAACTATTTGCCCTGGCTGGCCTCAAACAGTGATCTTCCCAATCTTAGCCTTCCAAGTAGTCAGGATTTCAGATGTGAGCCACCAGCACCCAGCTACCACTGTCCCGTTTACTAGAATATGAGCATAGGAATCTGCATGGCATTTCAAAATGCAAACTACTCAACACTACGTAAGCCCTACAAGAACAATCCTTTATAAAAAGATGCCAGTTGTTCTAAAATAGTTAAATATATTTACACTTACACAACCTTAAATATTTAATGGAGAAAAAAGACTTATCTGACTCTTTAAACAGACTAGGGCTGGTTGGGAGACTGAGGCAGGAGGATTGAGAGTTTGGGGTCAGCCTGGGCTACATAGTGAGAGCCTGTCTTTTTTGGTGGGACTGGGGTTTGAACTCAGGGTTTGTGCTTGCAAAGCAGGTGCTCTACTCCTAGAGGCACTCCACTTCATTTTCTTTTGCTCTGGTTATTTTGGAATGGGGTCTTGGAAGTATTTGCCTGGGCTTACCTCAAACCATGATCCTCCTGATCTCTGCTTGCTGAGTAGCTTGGATTATAGGTGTGAGGCTCGTGGAGTGGCTCAAGTGGTAGTGTGCCTGCCTACAAGTGTGAGTCACTGCACCTGGCCTTCCTTTCCTTTTTTTAGGACAGGCTCTCTCTCAAAAAAAAAGTCAGGCTCTCGGAGCCGGGCGCTGGTGGTGGTTAAAAGACAGCTCTGGCAAATAGTTCACAAGACCCTACATAGTCAGACCCTGCCTCAAAAAACAAACAAAAAAGCCTTACTCTAGTCATGTGCTGGGGCTAGACCCCATCTTGAAAAAACCCTTCACAAAAAAGGGCTGGTATAATGGCTCAAGGTGTAGGGCCTGAGTTCAAGCTCCAGTACTGAAACAAACAAACAAACAAAACAAAAAACTAAAAACTTCTTATTCAGGGGAAACAAAAACTCACACAGGGAAGAGAAAGTAATCACAGTGCTTCATAGTTCAGATGCCAACAGCATTCACATAGTCATTAGAAAGGGGACCATCTGTGGATCCCAGCTTGGTACCACTGTTGAGAATGGGAGAAAGAAGGTATGTGTGAGGCATGGGCAGAGAAAAGCAGGAAACCAACAGAAAACATTTACAAAGAAACAAAGTATAGCAATGAGCACTGAATTTAGCGCAATGTTTTTCAAACTGTACTAACTTATGTCCATGTCCACTCAAATTTAGTGGATCATGAATAGCACTCTGTACACACACACACACATTTAGGTGGACTGGATTATTTATTGTTGAGTGTGATTAAAGTTATTAAGAAGGACAGTACAGTGGGAGGCCCTCATGAGTACAGGGCTCACCACATGTCCAGGGGATATATTTGAACACACAGCCATCAAAGATGAGCTGCTTTTCGGCAATCATGTCTTCAAATTCACCTGCATCAAACTTGGTAAAGACCTACTTCATTGAGAGGTGGATGTTCTGGCAGGGAACTTGAATTTGGCACTGTGCAGGGCCTCAATCACGTTCCTTATTCTGCAGCGAGGTATGCATGGACATAATTACCTGGCCAATGTGAACCCTGACCTCTGAGGCCTGGGGCTTCCCCAAGTCACAATGCACACTTATCTGGAGTCTAGATTGGGGACAGTGTGAGATCAGAGACATGAACACACTGGAAACCTGTCTCCAAGGTCCCTTAGGGCAACCCACACAAACAACAGGCTGCGTAAGCTACTGAGGAAGCTGCTGTTTGCACCCAGTGCACACCAGGTCCCCGTGAGTAAAGAAAGCTGGTTGAGCACTTTTAAATGAAATATAAAATGAGTTTACTGTGCTCAGGATAGGTAGTTTTGTTAAGATTTTGTTTTCAGTTCTGTGTATATACCAGATAGCAGGGCTGGATGTGTGGCTCAAGTGGTGGAGCGCTTGCCTAGCAAGCATAAAGCCCCAAGTTCAAACCCCAGTATCAGGGAAACAAAAACAGTTAGCAATATAAAAAACAATATAATTTCTTATTCTGAGTCTTAGCAAAAAACCTGGAAGCCTCTAATTTAAAAATATGGCAACAATACCAAAATAATCACTGAAAAGGGCTGCAATTCTCTCTCCCAGAATCGACTTTTAAGTCTGTTGAACTATTTAACTACGTAGCCATGTAGAGACATAGCTTCCATAAAGTCAAACAATCTCAGCAAGTCAATCTGGGTACTGGAGGGTCCTCACCTACCAACTAGGCTAATCATAGCTTGGCTGTGAAAACAACTCCTGTGTGGAATTTAGCACCCCGCCTTTAGGTGAGGAATCCCATCAGTATGTCAATTAGTTCTTCTAAATCCTAATTCTTACCCTATGCTCATCTTCCATGCACTTTCTCACTAAGCTGCTATTCCTTGTGCCCTGAGAAAGGCACAAACCAAGAGAGAGGAAAGTCAGCCTAGCACTCAGGGAGAGGGTGTCCTGGACAACCCTGATGGCAGGGAGGAACAAATATAACTGATGTGGCCACACTGGGAAGTGGGAACCCTCCCCATTCCCAGAGCCTCGAAGTTTCCTGGCCTGTTTTTTTTATCACGAGTGGGCTGGCAGTTCAGCATCAAACAGAATCTGCAGGCGCCTGGCCAGGGCTGGAGAATGGTATCACAAAGGTTGTCACTGGTCTACTCCCACTCTAAGGGCACTCAGCCAAGGCTCTCCACACTGGCAACTGCTTAGTTCTGCCACTAGAAGGGGGTGGGGGTACCAAAACTCAGGTAGAGGCCTTGACCCTAGTTATAGGGATGTTTGCCTACCTCCATCAAACCTGGTTTCAGCATCCTCTCCAGGGGAACCCAGTAGGCCATGCCCCAGCCTAAAGGAGCCAGCTTCCTTCTCTCCTGCTCTGCTAAACAGAGGACCGATTGTCCTTAACAATTGCACACTCCCCAGACAGCACGGAGGAAGGCTTGTTGGAGGCTCAGGGTCTTGCTTCACACAACTGTTGTGTTCTGCACGGAGGCCTCTGAGCACCAGTAATTCAAGTCTCCTTCTCAGACACAGGAACTCACACCTGGTGCATCAAGATTCAGATCCCAGGCTTGGCAATACCCACTGCATTAGCCATGCAAGCATGAGGTGGGGTTGAGGCCCTGTGCCACCAAAAAAAAAAAAAAAGAGCAGACCACATCACACAGACAGCCCAGCTAGTCTCCACCCAGCCTCTGCCCAGCAGCAGGGAGGACTACACATGCCACAAGACTAAGAGGCAGGGTGGAGGACGGCCTCTTGCGGCCTGGAAGGAGCTGCAGAGATAAAAATAAAGCCCAGATTGTCTGTTGAAGTCCTCACTGGTCACAATGGTTTCCAAACCACAAGCAGGACAAGACCTTACTTGAGGATACAGGCTCAGGCATAACCCAGGAGGACGGGTGACATATTACATAGACATCTCACCTGGGTACTGGTTCTCTGTGGGGTCTGCCTTTTAGGGATTCAGTAGGATCCCTGGTCACTACCCTCTATGTGGCAACCAAAAAAATACTTCCAGATGTGGTCCAGGGCCCAGTTAACCATTTTGGAGCCAGGCGCCAGTAGCTCACACCTATAATCCTAGGTACTCAGGAGGCAGAGATAAAGATCACGGTTCAAAGTGAACCTGGGCAAATATTTTGTGAGACCCTATCTTGAAAATACTAAATACAAAAAAGGGCTGGTGGAGTGGCTCAAGTGGTAGAGCACCTGCCTAGCAAGAATGAAGCCCTGTGTTCAAACCCCAGTACCACCAAAAACCAACCCAAAACAAAGTCCCACCAAAAACAAAAATCCAGCATTGTCAAAGGGAGAAAAAAACCATGAGGTGGAGTGGCCCAGAGCCCATAGATGGCCTCCTGGGCATCTCTCCAGCTGGCACCATGTTGGGCAAAGGTGGGTGAGCTGTCTGGGTCTTCTGGCCTCACAGGCCACCTTGTTAAACTCTGGAGGCTCAGGCTTCAGAGTTCAACTCAGCACCCCCTTTCTCCTCCCCCACAAAGAAGCGTGGGGCAAGCCACAGGACAGCTCCTGTGGCCAGACTGGAAGGAAATACCAGGAGCAGCTGCTCAGCAGCCGTGGGTGCCGGCCAAGGGCATCAGAAGCAGGCGGGGGCTGCTAGGAGGGGAGGTTCCCCTCTTATGCTTGGCTCTGAGAGGACACTTGGACTAAGGGGAGGCTCCACTGCTGAGGCCCTGGCCCTAGGACCCCTGTCCTACTGTCAGAGGGGAAACCCAGTCCCAGGAAGGGTGCCACAGCTGGGGGCCTGCAGGGAGCTTCCTGCCAGCTATTCTGTTCCTCATTAACAGGGCCCATGGACTGCCAGGAGTCCAGCTGCTGCCCCCTTGTGGCCACAAATACAGGCACAGCTATACCCAAGGATCCCTCCATGCCTCCCCATATCAGTCAGCTTAAGCCTCACCCTGCTCACAGTCCAGGGCATACAGCCACCTGGGACACTACTGTTTAAAAACCTATTATGTCTCACTGGTTGGCACATTCAAGACAGGGATCTTCCTGCCTCCTAGAACAATATGGAGTTATCAAAAGAATATCTGTTCTACCTTACAAACTTCTGGGAACAGAGTACAAGTCCCTCCACTTCAAGTCAGCTCAATGTGTAGGAATTAAAGCCCTGGTCCCAGACATATTTCTGCAAAAAAAAAAAAAAAACCCTTACAGTCCTGTTGAGAGGGGCCCAGCCCTAACCTGGAATGGGGACACAAAAGAGGTTGTAGCCTACAGCCCAGGAAAGATGTGACCAAATTCCTATTGTGTAAATTGAGACGTCAGGGGTCAAGGAACAAGGTGGATGAGAAGAGTCATCTGGCATTCCTGGGCCCCTACCCAGGCCCTCTTGTTTGCAGCTCAGTTCTCTCACACAGTGGCTAAGTCCAGGGTCCTTCCTGAGCCTCCAACTAACTGGGGTCATGTGTTCCTCTTCACAGGGAAACCTGGACTAATGGGGGCTTCCTCATCAAGCTAAGGCTCCAGGTTTTTCCACCTCAGTGAACACAACCATTTCCTCAGCTAGTCCCAGCCCTGAACCTTCCAAAGTATACTCTCTAGGCCACCCTTTATGATTAGCCCCCACCCCAACAGAGGACCTTAGGATGTGGCAAAGTCTGGGAAGCCAACAGGAGGCCAAGGTCTCCAAATGGGCTGAGGTACCATGGGAAGGATGGCAGGAAAACCAGTGCCCTACCGCTGTGGCTTGACATGACCATCCCAGCTAACCAGGGCAGCTCAGAAAGCTTGGAACCTGCAGGGTCCTATGTACCATCTCTAAGGAAATCAGGGCCTTTTCTGCCTCCCTACTGAGCCCTCACTGACCCTCTCACTCAGAAACTATAACTTACTACTCTCCTCAACCTGGGTACTTGCCAGTCCCAGTGCTACCCCTTAGAACTTTGACATCTGTGTACCCATTAAAGCCCATCTTCCTGGGCTGTTCACAACAACCCCACAGCACATATGTACGCATTCAGCAAGGCTGCTGTTCCCACAGACCAGGAGTCAGAATGAAGGGCGAGGGTCAGTTGGGGCAGGGGAGGCCAATGAACCACCCTAGGGCCCTGGGCTCCTACAATAAAGGCTGGCCTCTATGTCAAGAGAGCTCACACCAGGCAGAAGAGGCTCCAGGCCAGCCCAGGAGAGCTGAGTCCCTCCCCAACGTTTATTACAATGGGTCACCAGCAGCAACAGGTGGGGGGATGGGACCCCAGACTCATTTGTTCTTTCCATAGATCTTGGGGGTCTGCCAGCCCTCTGGGGCTTCCTTCAGGCCCGCCTTCAGCCAGATGCGCTTCAGGTCTCTCTCAAACTTGATCTGTGAGGGAAAAAGTGAACACCAACTGATTTTTGGCAAAACCACTCTGCCCCACCCAGGTCCAAGGAGCTACCTGTGCTCACCTGCTTCTGTTTCAAACGTCCTTCCCGAACCTTTCGCCGCAGGAATCGGGTCCTCTTGACCAGCTTGCGGTATTTGTGGTGGTTCATCTTCCGCCGGCGGATCTTCAGCACGTTTTTGCACTGTATCGCAGGTGCATCCCAAACCCCCTCACCTCCCTGCTTGGCTCCCTCTTCCATACGGCTAGGTGGACACTCATAGAATTGGGCTGGAGCCACAGTCACTGGGGTCCCAGCATCCAATCTGGGAAATAGGTAGCGGGCGGTTAGCCAGCTTTCCAGGGGGCTGATGGCCATCTTCCTGGGAATCAGCAAGTCTTCAGGCTCCAGCTGGGCCCCCTTGCCAGGGAGTGAGGCAGCCCTACTTGAGCCTGCTGGCTGCAAGGTGTACGGGGGCCGGCAAGCATGACTGCCCAGCATCCCTGAGACAGGCCAGGGCCGACTGCAGCCTGCAGGAAACAAAACACGCAGTCACCACTCTAGACGGGAGCAGGACCCCCTCCCAGGCCTAGGCAGCAGGCACACCACGGACAGGAAGGCCCGCATGAACCTTATTCCTGGCCTGAACACCTTCGCGATACTTGGAGGTTTGCAGGGGAACTCTGTGGCCAGCCCCTGCCTCCACTGCTGACTGTGTCCCACGTTCCTAACCGGGGGTGGACCCCGTTGCCAAGGGGTCTCTTACCTGCCCAGGGAACAGCTCTGCCCAGCTGAGAAGTCAAGCGCGCCAGGAACATGGTGTGGGCGGTGGGGCCCGAGGGCCTCAGGCAAGCTGGAACACAGGTGCCTGGCTGAAGTCACGCGGCCGTCCTGGACTGGCCAGGACCGGGTCTCACCCCCCGCACCGCCCTGGGTCTCCCTGACCCGCAATGTGCACGGGACCTCAAACGCCACTCGCCCCTCGAACAAACCCAATCCCGCCTTCACCGCTCCCCAGCCGGGCGACTCCGGCGGGCCACTCACTCTCCCAGTTTTTCCTATCACCAAAGCTCACAGCGCGGGGCGGTGTCGACGCCCGAACACATCGAACAGCTGACCTCGCCGCTCTTCCTCTCCCCCGCTCCGGGCCCGGTCTAACCAGACCAACCTCACCTGCTGCAGGGTCCCGCCCCGCAAACCCCCCGACCCAGGTGGCTGGAACTCACCATTTTGCCGCCGCGCTCAGACACTTCCGGTCCGTCCCCAAATCGGGCCCCTGTGTTCTGTGCCCAGCGCCCTCTGGTGCCCACTCTCAGGGCGACTCGGTGTCCGAGCAGCCACACCCCCACCCACCTCCCGCCCCGCACGCGGGGCTCAAAGAACGACGCTTTCCTGTTCAAGGGGCGGCCCTCTCCGCCCCAGTCCTATCGCAGCACATCAGTTCCGGGTCAGACCAGAGACTCTCTGCATGCACTCTCTGCGCATGCGTGAAAGTGCACCATTTCCGGGCCATTCAAGTTCCGGGGAAGCCCGTGGTGTGTATACGACCACGGAAGTGACGTACATCAGCGACGGAAGTGGCTGGGGCCGCTCCCGTTCCGGCTAGAGGCGAAGGTTTCGGAACCCAGAGGCGGACTTCCAGGCCGGGCTTTCCAGACGCTCCGCTCTCGGAGTGGGGGCTCATCCCTGAGCAAGGTGGGGATGGCAGAAAAGTGGTGGCGACTCTGTCCGAGCTTCGTCGCTCGAACATCTGCAGTAGTCCGTATTTTGTCGTGCGGTGTGTGCGGGGAACCGAGCTGGGGCGCGCGGCAGTAGGGATCCCGTTTCTCCCTGAACTGACTGCACCCGCGGCCCTGACAGCCTCCTCTCCTCCGACTCTGACTAGGAAGGCCTCGCATCTCACGTGGGACTTTTCTAAAGCAAAGGAGCTCCGATGGTGTCCACGGGGAAAGGAAACCTCAAACTCACACCCTTCATTTTTGACCAAAAACCAAAAGCAGTCTCTATGGAGGATTGGTCTTCGCCAATCCTTCGATCTAGAAAGCCTGTTAGCTTGGACGGGCCGGATCCCCAAAGTGGGCCTGCAGGGGCGTCTAGTGGGAGAGGGACTTGGAGTGTGCAGTGGGTCTGCTCAAACTCTTGCCTTGCATGAGGGAAGTCTTGGCAGGAAATGGAAGCCATTGAGTACAGAAACGCCAACTGCAACGGACAGGCCTAGCTCTGTGATGAAGTCACAGGGGAGGCTGTACCTTGCCTCCCCGAGGATCCGCTTTGGGAGCGCACCAATCACTGCTGTGTCACAGCATCTCCCAGCTGGCTGGCCACGAATAGTAACATATAATGCCCCTCTAGACTCCAACCCTTGTGCCCGGGTGTCCCAGTCCTCAACATCGTCACCTGCTGTTTGATGGATTCTCATCTCCCTGGACCCTGGCCAGGTGAAGATGAAAGGCAATGGCAAAAAGTGCCTGGGCAGCAGCTGAGGAGCTGGGGTACAGAAAAGGGTACCTCCCCAGAGTTAAGGACCAATAGGAGAAAGGGAATGTGGAAACTCATCAGGGTCTTGTAGGCGGAGGAGTCAAAGCACTCTCCTCCCCCCATCCAAGGAATCAACCACTCTTCAGGGAAGTGAAGTGAGAAAACCCAAACCTGTATATACCCCAACGGGCCCCAGGTCAAAAGGGAGGGCCCAGCTGGGGCAGGGGAGGCCCACCATGTTGGCAGTGCAACATGAGTACAGGCTGGGCATCCTCAGCCACAGGAGCTACAGAGGCTGCAAGTATGCAAAAAACAGTGGCCACCTTGATGGATACCCATGCCAGATCTGACTGGCTGCCTCCCATAGGAGTGGCAAAACTTTACTTGTGGGGGGACAGACACTGGCATGAGCAGACTCTGCCAAGCTGGAGGAACTGGAACCAGTCTAGGAAGATCAATTCTTCATAAAGATCTGAGGAAGAAAGACTAGTTGAAGAATTAGGGAGGGCACGTGTGCTTTCTAATCTTTTATTTATTTATTTGCAATCTGGGGCTTGAATTCAGGGCCTATATCTTGAGTCACCCCACCAGCCCTTTTTTGTGATGGATTTTTAAAGATAGGCTCTCAAGAACTATTTGCCTCAGCTGGCTTTGAACCACAATCCTCCTGATCTCTGCCTCCTAAATAGCTAGGATTATAGGCGTGAGCCACCAGCACCCAGCTTCTAAGTTTTTTTAATCTTAGGAATTCTTTAGTTTCAAGAAAAGTATACAATTATTCCACATTATTTCTGTTTTTCCAAAATACCCATTTGCTTCCAAAATTGGTTTAGTTCTTTTTTTGACAGCACTAGGGTTTGAATTCAGGGCGTCATGCTTGCTAATCAGGTGTTCTACCAAGTTTTCCCCCACCCCCCACAAATTTTACATATCTGTTCTGAAGGCATCAAGGTGCATACACTACAGCCTGAGCAGTAGGGTGCCCATCGCCTTTTCATGAGCCAGCTCATGTCAGATTCCAGCTAGCTGTCAAGTCTTGCTGTTAAAAAGTGACTTTTATCTGTGTGTGGTACTGGGAACTGAACTCCTGGCCTTGTGGAGGTAAACACGCTACCACTTGGACCATGTCTCTAGTTTTATTTTTAGATGGGGTCTCATCCTAACATTTTCCCAGAATGGCCTTGAACTTTGATCCTCCAATTTCTGCCTCTTGAGTACATGGGATTACAGGTATGTGCCACCAATCTGGCAAACACAGCCAGTTGTTAGCAATTAAATCTATACTCCCATACATCTCTCTAGTTTTTTGTTGTTTTGTTTTTACTATTATCTATGATCTTAACATTAGTTGGGTATTATAAATGTTATAAAGAGGGCTGGAGGTGTGACTCAAGCAGTAGAGCACCTGGTTTGTAAGCAAGAAACCCTACATTCAAACCCCAGTCCCACCAAAAAAAAAAAAAAAAATTCTAGCTACGAAGATCAGGAGGATGTGGTTCCAAGTCAAACAGTTTGCCAGCCCAGACAAGACTCCATCTCCAAAATAACCAGAGTGAAACAGGCTGGAGGTGTAGTTCAGGAGGTAGCATGCCTGCTTTGCAAGGGCAAAGCCCTGAGTTCAAACCCCTGTCCCACCACCAAAAAAAAAAAGGATTTGCTAGGCAGATATATAGCAAATGCAAGGCACTAAGTTCAAACCTTTGTACCACCAAAAAATTATAGAGTGAGCACACTGAATTAAGTTGTGCTGGCAACTTGAACTTGGTCACAGGGCACTTGCTGGCCACTGTGCCTGAGCCACAGGATTCTCAATGGCCAATATCCACACAAAGGCAAAGTGATTTCTATTCCTGGTCTTGTACAGATCTCCTAGGATGAGGGAGCTTTTGGCTCCATCACCCCATCAGGAAGGAACACCAGGGTGAATGGTCCTAGGTGGCCAGGGCCCACACATCTATTGGTGACTATATGATGGACCCTATGTTGTTTAAAATGTCCTGGCTACTTAGGAGGAAGAGATCAGGAGGATCATGGTTCTAAGCCAGCCAGGGCAAATAGTTTGAGAGACCCTATCTCAAAAATACTCAACACAATATGCACATATGAATAATAAAACAATTAAAAAAAATACTCAACACAAAATAGGGCTGGTAGAGTGGCTCAAGTGGTAAAGGACCTGCCTAACAAGTGTGGAGCCAAGTTCAAACCCCAGTACTGCCAAAAAAAAGTCTTAGACCATGATCTGGGCACCACTACAGTTGAACCCGCTGCAGGGACAGGGGAACCATTAAGCTAGCCCACATTGAGGCTTGCATGGTGCCCTCCCACCAACCCCCTGCATTGCTTCTCTACTCAGGCAATAGTACAGGCCACTAGGAGGTTCCAATGGCTAATGTACTGCATGCTTCAGTTATTGAACCTGAGGGAAGGCAGGGGTCCTTGACCAGCAGCTGAGACTGGACCAGACATCTTAAAGAGCTGTGGCACCTCTTCAGTGCCAAGGACAGGAGTTTGCCCACTGCTGTACCAACACATTCTCTAGGGGGAAGGAAAAGTGTTTCAGCATGAGGCCTGAGGGTCAGGATTGACATACTGGGACAGACAGAGGTCAGGAGTTTCAAGTGGCCAGCATGGAGCTGCCACTGCAATTGCCAGATGGTGACAGTGGCCTGAGCTTGAGCTGGAAGAACAACCCTGTCTACGTCTCAGTGGTAGGCTGGGCTTCACCTGTCCCTTCTCCCAGACACCCTGGGGACTACCACCAATGATGGAAGCTCAGTCCATGGAGCCTCAACCATTCTGAAGCTGCCCCCACAAGCCCATTTAACAAGTCTAGCCTCGGGAAGTGACCAACAGAAGAGCCAAAAACCAGATGAATGACAGGCCTAGGTGAGACACAGCATCTATCCCAGGAATAGAAAATGGCCCCAGGCTTGCCTTTCTCACCTATCCATCCACCCATGGCCCACAGGAAGGCCCCAGTTCTGAGAGGAACACTGCTCCCAGTTGTCCCTGTGCCCACACAAAGGAAAGATGGCATGGGTTATAAACCAGTGACCTTCAGGCCAGAGAGCACTTCAGCATCACTTAAAGAGATTTCACACCTCCAGTCCCTCATCTCAAAGAGCAGATGGTTTCAGGCAGGTGCAAAGGAGCTCAATACAAAACCTAACCTTCAGGTGAGGGAGTAGGGACAGCAGCTCAAACATGCCCCTAGAACAGCCAAGTTGGCTATGCATAGCTGCACATGCTAACAAGCAAACAGAACAACAACCTACAAAATCTTCAATGTCCCATATATCCTGAGAAGAGAATTGTGTTTATTCAACCACGTAAAATGCATATAATAAGAAACTTTTCTATTTAGGAGCTGGTGGCCTGCACTCAGCATTGCACAGATAAAAATATATGACTTTCAACACAGACCTACATACCTTCACATTTTAAAAATCAGAATTCTCTACACAAGTTTTCAGCTGGCAGAATTCAAGTTCTGAGTTTGTATATATAACTTTCATTTGTATTAAACACATGTTTATTTACAACGTGGATAGAGAATAAGGGGCTATTAAGGCCATTTTCTCATCGTGAAACACTGCAAAATATGTACATAAGTACAACCTAATATAGGCAAAGATTCTAAAAATCATCTTTCTTGGCTTAACGTAATTGAGTATCAGTACGGAAGTGAAGACACAGCTTGTTGATAGCACCAAGCCACACCAACAGGGACTCGAGCCACTGCACTTCCATCAAGCTGCCTGCAAGGCTGTAGCTGAGGTGGTACAGGCATGTGCCACGCCCCAGGTCAACCTGAAGGGCACCTGGCTGTCCGTCCCCTCAACTCCATTTCCAAATTCACCTCAGGGTCCATAGTCAAAAAGACTTCCAAAAAGAATCGTGCTATGGAGCCACTCAAGCCAAGGTTTGCCTGACGGGGAGGGGCCAAGGGCAGCCCCCAGGGACACCACCTCACCTCCGATGCCTGCTGTGCCCAGGGTGGTCCCGCTCATAGCGATGGCCGGTGCGGTCATATGACCTGGAGCGCTCACGTCGCTGATCCCTATAGTAATGACTTTTCTTCTTGTATTTTCCAGAATTATCCATCCGCTCTCGTGACCGGCTTCGAGAGCGGGATGAGCTCCGGCTGCGAGACTTGTGTGGTTTCTGGGTGGGGTACTTGCAGTCCTTGGATTTCCGAGAGCTCCTCACCTCAGAGCCTTTATAGGGAGCACCACGATGTGCCTGCCTTGGTGGGGAATCACTACGGCTCCGAGATCGGCTCTGTGACTTGGACCCACCTGAGGTAGAGCCACTGTCGCTTTTTCTGTGAAGAGGACAGCACACATCACTACCTGTCCTAGCTACTCACTCTAACACACTAGAGCAGCCAATAGAGGCCATTTCAAGGTAGGAGCTACTGTCCAAAGGATCAGTCATGTTCACTCCTGCCACCCCTCCCAGCCCCCGAGGGCCTCAGTCTCAATGAAGAGCCCCAGGCACACACCTCCTCTTAGGAGAAGCAGACCGTGATGGGGACCTTGAGTAGCTCTGCTCCCGACTCCTGCTACGGCTTCGACTCTCTCGCCCCTCTCGCCCCTTTGGCAAGCTGCAAATGGGACTAGATCAGCTACAGATCCGGAATGTCTCCAGACATACAGTAGCCACCTGGCAACACTAGGCATCTTACCCATTCACAGGACTGTCAGGCTTAGCTTTCTTCATGCCCTCCACTTTCCTCTTGGCATTCTTCACAGAGAGTGGGGAAGGCTTGGTTCCTTTACATTCTTTGGGGGATTCTACTGAATTAAATATAAGGAGTTTAAAAAAAAAAACAGAAATCAGCTGAGTGCTGGTGACTTACACCTGTAATCCTAGCTACTTGGGAGGCTGAAACTGGGAGGACTGTGGTTCAAGACCAGCCTGGGCAAATACTTTGCAAGACCCCATGTCCAAAATAACCAGAGTAAAATGGACTGGAGGTCTGGCTCACGCACAGCACTTGGTCTGCAAGCTCAAAGCCTTGAGTTCAAAACCCAGTTCCACCAAAAAAAAATAAATAAATAAACCACATTAGCAGAGCAAGATAAGAAACTTCTCAGGGGCTGACACATGCTCATGGTGACTTCCAGCCTGGGACTCAGAACACTAAATGTACACCAGAAAGACACAGACACTTTACCTAGGTCATTTTTCCTCAAGGACTAGGTAATGAGTACCATGCTTGACTCTAGGGTGTGATAATACAATCTACCCAAGATTATAAAATTTTCATCAAATGACAAGCTAAATCATCAGAGTAAACAAAAGCATTTCAGAAAGTTTGTCCACATTCTTTTCTATAAAGTATATAAAAGAAATCCTTCAAGGGCCCCTGGACTCATTTAAATATTACCAAAGGGCTGATAGGGATTCCAGCACCTGCAAATTGCTCAGACAAGCCACAGGCACAATTTCAAGGCAAAAACAATCTGGATGGCAGAACCCTGAAATGAAAGTTCACAACCTCCATCCTGTGGGGAGCAGACTCCTGCCCTGACACTCACCCAGTTTGGGGACAGGGGAGAATCCTGCAGAGCTGTCCGGCACTGGAGGGCCCCCAGGCAGGAGGCCCCTGGCTCGTGCCTTCGCCTCTTCAATGGCGTGTCTTCTCTTTTCCACTTCACTTTCCAGGTGTGTCAGATCGGCCTAAAAGCAAGCCAGAATCCACTATTCAGAACCAGATGCTTCTGGCAAGACACAAATGCACATTATGTGAAAATACACAGAACCTTTTTCCGTGTATAAAGCTGCAGGATTTTTAAGCAGATTTCTTGAATTTCTTCTTCAGATGCTCCAAACAAAAGAAACCAATGAGGACGATTGGGTAGAGGGATCTGTGAACACAAAGACCATAATGTTAGACTTTTCTAAACAAACAACTTCTGGGCCCACAAGACTCTGAGGACAATTAAATACAGTCTGATGACTATCAGGAACTTTAGCACAGATGACCAGCTTGACAAATACACAAACATTTACCAGAGGCTGGTGAAATGGCCAGACTAGATCCCTGGGCAGCACTGACCTCCAGCGTCCGGGCAGCGAGGTAGATGCAGGCACAGGCAATGCTCTCAGGCTGGAACCGTACAAAGACATCTGTGCGAAGGCTGTCATTCATATAGTTCCTGAAACCAAGCACAGGAGGAATTGCAGCGCCCTAGACAATCCCGGGTACCATCTGTGTCACCTAAGGCCATTACTTGTCTAAGTGGTCTACTGCTAGGACTGAGGGCTAAACAGCCCTGGGAATCCCAAGAGTTAATGGAGGAACATTCTAGCTACTTTTTCTGAATAAAGGAAAGAGAAACTACTAGGGGGAGAGCTGGCTGAATGTCAGACAATACATGTTGCTATGAACGAGAACCAATTTTAACTTTACTTTTCCCTCAACTTTTGGCCTGCTATCATGCAAAACACAATGCCTCAGAAAGAAAATGCTACTTAGTAGTTAAAATGTACTTGATTAAAGAATCTAAATGCTCAAATCCATAGTGCAGAGAAGCATGCAAACTCAAATAAATGGGCTGAGCACGAAGCCTCGCAGCTGTAAGACAAGCTGTCCTGTGTTCCTTTTCTTCAGAGAGTGCTCACGGCCTGGTCCTTCTCCGGACGACTGGGCCGCAGCTTCGGTGAGGGGATCCACTTGGAAAAGGCAATGGCCCTTGAGTGCAGTTCAGGTGCATGGCACGTCATGCAGAGGTCAATACCCAAGGCAGTCCTCTTCTCAGGCTTACCAAAGAATGTTTCCAAACTGTCCCATTTCAACAAGGAGTCTTAAAATGAACATTCATAAAATCAGACAGAAGCAACAAAATACTAAAAGTTTCATCACAAGTACATTTTAAAAACTTTATCATACGTTAGAAGACATAAGTACAACACTTTGCATTTAAAAGAAGTTAAAAGGTTTTAAAACTAGCTACATTTTTAACATTTTCCTTTAGATGTATTTCACTAAGACTTATAGCCTAACATTGCACCTCATGCTATCTTTACCAACATTGCAAAAACAAATGATTCTATGAGAAAACAATTAAAGAGGTTATTTATCCACTCCAAACATATCCCAATAATGGCCTGGCACACTCTGGAGTCAGGCTACACCACAGGTAGAAGATCTGACAGATGCTGCCCCCACCCAATGTCTTTGCCCTTAATATAAACCCCGAAGAATACATTCAAACCCACTCAAAGATTCTAAACAATCCTACAGGTAGGTGCCCATGAGAGGCAGCTGGCTCTGGAAGCACTTCCTCAAGGCATCAGAAGGGAAGCCAGTATGGTGGCAGCATGCCACATATCCCAGGAGCCTCTCTGCGGATGAACAGCTCAAACGTTGACAAATATAACCATTAGTACTTTTGTTTCTAATAAAAAAGTTTCCAGTATTCGAATACTAATAATACTAACTTTTAACTTCTAAAAACAAACAGTATCTTCAAGACATGTATTTAAATTTATTGCTATTATTTCAAATAAGTTACAATACTTTTAAAAAAGTGTCCAAGGATAATTTAAAGATGCACACCTTTACTGAAATGAGTCCCACTTAGCTGCTGAAAAGAGCAACTTTAGGACTTGGGAGAAATGATGACACAATCCCGTATCAACAGCTTGAATTCCCATCAGCCAATTTTTCACTTCAGTTCTTACAGTTTTCCACAAAAGTTTTTAAGAGAAAGGTACTGCATCTTTATTGTACAGGTACAGCAGTTTTAAAAGGACAATATTCAAGTCAAGACAGTTATCAACTCTATTCGATACAATTACCAAAGCACGACAGGATTAACAAGAAGCACAATCGTCAGAGAACCACAAGCAGCAGTCGGCCATGACTATACTATCGTACGCATACCACCAGTCTAGAGCCAGCCTTCGGTGGAGAGCCTGCACTGGATTGGCTGAAGACGCCGCTGTCCCTGCACCAAAGCGCTTGGACAGCAGAGGAGAAGTCTTAGTCACTTACCCTCAGAGGCTACCCTTTGATTGAAAGAGTACAGAAAAGAAAAGTCAAAATAGGTTCTCTATAAAGCATGTCATAGCACCAGACAATTCAGTCAGCAATATGACCCCTACAGACTTAACTCTGTGGGGAAAAGTACAACACAACACCCCATACCAAATTGTCACTTCAGGCTTCTTTCTAACATATGCCTACTAGAACCAGCCCAGAATTGCAGCAAAAAACCTATGTCTGCTTTCTCCCACAGGATGCAAATCTCAGGAAACGTAAGTCTACTCAGTCTACATTAGCACCTGTCTCCTTCAACTTCCCTGTGCCCAGTCCACAACCCCCAGGGGGAAGCCCACTGACTGCAATCCTGGGGGTGGAGAGGACAGGACAGGAAATCCAAGGGCAGGGATGGGCCACCTACCGTTATGCCAGTGCCTGTCATTTTGGGAGGTTGCTAGGTATTTACACGGCAGATCACTGGGCACTGGGACAACTCCAGCCCACAATCAAGTCATGGGACAGACTACCCACTGCCCAAGTGTTCAAGGAACACATTCCTGCACTGCCCTTGCTGGTCTCATGAAACAAGGAAGATCAACTCACCATGCAGTCTGGACCAGGTGTTGATTACGCTCACACTCTAACACCTGAAGGTACATAACGATTATCTGGAAGATATGGGTCAGGCAGTTATTACCAAGAACGTCAAGAGCAGGGAACTCAGATCTTGTGGATGTCCATGCAGCCAAAGAACCTCATGCTACATCCCGGGGGTGGCTCCTGGTCACATCCGGCAGATGGCTCAGCTGGAAGGGGAACTTTTGCAATGTGCTTGCTACCTACTTTTGAAGCTGGGCATTGTTTTCATTCTCATCTTCAACACTTTTTCACCAGTGAGAGATTAGCCTGCCCTAAGCATCCCTGTACCCCGGTAGCCAACTCATGCAAAACAACATGAAAATACTCTCAATAAGTGAAGAAAAGCACTTAAATAATTGGTGGATGATTTATCAAGAACTTAAATTAGTGTTAGAAAGTCACATAAGAGAAAAAATGAAGAAGCCCACTGACAAAAAAGGTGTTAAGTCCACAGAAGTAAACAATACTCTTTTAAAAAAAGTTTATGGCTTAGCTGTACCACATAAGACAGCCTTACTCCCTGGCTGTACTGGGTTGAACTCGGGGCCTTGCACATGCTAGGCAGGTGCTCTACCACTTGAGTCACTCCTCCACCCTTACTTTGAGTAAACGTAGGGGTACAATAGTCATGCTCCTAATTAACACAAGCTATAGGACTGCTTTAGCCCATTTTGAAATAAAAGGGTTCAGAATTCTTCCCATTCCCCCGGCGGAGAAAGTGTAGTCATCTCTAAGGTAACTAAAACATTAGCTGCTAAGAAAAAAAGATGTACACTAATGGATCCAATGTCTGTAGTTTCTCCTCTGCTTTTAAATCCAAATCTAGAAGATGCCATTTCCAAAGCTTTTTTTTTTTTTTTTTGGGTGATACTGGGATTTGAACTCAGGGCTTCACACTTACTATGCAGATGAACTAAACTTGGGCCACACCTAGCCTGTAATTCAGGAGAATCATGAGTTTGAGGCCAGGTAACACCTACATAGTGAGTTTACAGCCAACCTGAGCTACACAGCAAGTCCTGGGTCTCAAAAAAAAAAAAAAAAAAGGGCAGCAGGGTGCCAGTGGCTCTCACCTATTCACCTATAATCCTAGCTACTCAGGAGGCAGAGATCAGGAGTTCAAATCCAGCCTGGGGGAAACAGTTTGCAAGACCCCATCTCGAAAATACCCAACACAAAAAAGGTCTGTTGGGGTGGCTCAAGTAGTAGAGTACCTGCCTAGGAAGCCTGAGACCCCGAGTCAAACCTCAAGACCACAAAATAAATAAACAAATAAATACAAACTGCAAGAAAATCAAGTGAGGGAAACATTCAGTCCTCTTCTAGGCTTTTACTCACAGAGGACCGAGAGGAAGCCATAGCTGGAGTGTGGCCTGGGTGGCTGCAAGCACCAGGCTCAGACCCACCTTGTGAGGGTGCTTCACATGGACACAGAAGCCCAGCTCCTTGAGGACACGTCTCTCTGCCTTTATGATCTGGTTTTTTAAGTTAACATACTCTTGATCCAGTAGTAGAGGCACAGGTTTCCTGCAGGGACAAATCACATGGTTTGTATCATGATCAAACAGCAAGGTCTTTCAGATTCCATAATTGCACCTGGGTGCTGGTGGCTCACACCTATAATCCTAGCTACTCAGAAGGAAGAAATCAGGATTGCAGGCAAACAGTTCCTGAGACCCTGTCTCAAAAAATAAAAAATCACAGAAAAGACCTGGTGGAGTGGCTCAAGCAGTAAGAGCGCCTCCCAACAACAAAAAAGGTTCCATAGCTGCCTCCAGGTGGTGAGAACCTGATGTAAATACCACAGTACAAATAGCCATGTCTCACTTTAGCTCACTGCCTTTAACTAACAAAACTGCAAAAAGTCTCCAAACCCAATGCTTATGTACTTATGCCTTCTCGATAACCTGTCCCTTATTCTTACATAAAAATAGCATCTGGTACATAAACAAACACTCTCTGAATGTGGCGGAGGGGCTCAGGATCTTGTTGTACAAGTATTTAACACATTTTGTCAGACACAAGGCATGTGAGCTGGGCACATGTCTCACATCTATAATCCTAGTTATTAGGAGGCTGATGGGGAGGATCGAAGTTGGAGATCAACCCCAGGCAGTTTTTTGAGACCCCATCTCCAAAATAACCACAGCAAAATGGACTGGACGTGTGGCTCAAACAGTGAAGTGTCTGCTTTGCAAGGCTGAAGCCCTGAATTCATAATCCAATTCCACCAGAAAAAAAAAAAAAAAAAAGAGAACAAATGATAGCACAGAAAGGCATAACTCAGTACCCATGAGGGACTGGCTCTGTGACAGCCCCCACCCAATACCAAAACCCATGGATGCTCAGGTCCCTAACATAAAAACGATATACTCTAAATCATCTAGGTGACTTATAATACTCAGTACAACCTAAGTGCTATGTACATAATCATTGTACTTAGGGAATAAACAAGACAAGAAGTAAATTTTTAAAATTTTGTCTGTGTTCATTATAGACACCAATCCCCCCGCCCAATATTTTCAATCCAAGGTCAGCTTAACCCTCTGATAGGTAAGCTGCAGATACGGAGGACCTACTGCATTGAAACTGGACCAGGCTGTGTTCCAAAGGGCTTCCATTAACATCAGGACCAAAAAATCTGGGCTAAGGTCTAGGACTGTGGCATTCTATCAGCAGCATTTTTAAAGACAGCGTGTTGGTGACCTTCTGGGTGTCACAAATGAGGAAGAGTGCCACTGGCCTCTGGCAAGGAAAAGACCGGGGTATGGCTCAACATCCTACAGTGCATAGGACAATTCCCTCCACAAAGAATCACCCAGAACCACAGGTTCAGTGGGACAACAGGCCTGTGAACTGATGTGAGCACGCAGGAAGCAGCAGGATCAGGGCCACCTGATGTCCTGTTAAAGAGGGCCCTCCACTCGGGAGGCAGTCTCAGGGGTACCCCTGGCACACAGGAACACACTAGTGAGCGTCGGTGAGTTAAAACACTGGTTCAACAGTGACAGACACTTAACCACAGCTCTGGTAAAGACTCACTTTTTCTCCCTCAGATGTCGAAGGCGATGAAACACATTGATGACGTCCCGGATTCGTCTCGGAGCCTCTTCTATTTTGGAGGCAAGGTGTACACAGGCCATGGATACATGCTGAAATACAGGCATCGTGAGACAGACACTTTGTCCCCATCCTGAGGGGCCTCCCGAGGCTGAAAGGCCGGGGGAGGAGGGACAAGAGAGCACGGCACAGGGGGCTTCCCAGACCCTCAGGACAGAGCTGCCCTGTGTGTCTAGGACAGCAAGCCAGATTTCCTCCTGGCACGCTTCGCTGGAAGAGGGGAAGAAGGAAGGTTACCTCCATGGAATGCTTCACAAAGGACTTCGTGTAGAAGAACCGCTGGAACAGCACCTGCCCCGTAGCCATGGCCACCTAAACACGGGGAAGTCTCCATCACTTTTAAACGCAGGCCTGGAGATTCACAGCTGAAGTCACCGGCTACCTGTCCCGCCGTTTTTCAGGTCCCCAAAGGCCCCCCGCGACCCACGGCCTCCGGGCCCCGCCCCGTGTGCGGAGAATCCCCGCCTGGCCGGGGAGGGGAGGCGGTGCCCGCGGTCCTGGAGCGCGGACCCGGCTCCAGGCCGACTGGGAGCGCGGGCCCGGCTCCGAGCGGGGTCGGGGTCGAGGTCGAGGTCAGGGGCACGGGCCGGGTGACCAACAAAGGCCCGGCCCCTCCCGGCCCGACGGAAGGCGGTTACTTCCAAGGCTCGCGGCCGCGCCCTCACCTGCGGCAGGCGGAGCAAGATGCCGGCCGCCTGGATGAGTTCGCAGCCCACCACGCGGAGTCCGGTCTCCGTGTCCGTGTCGAGACCACTCGACATGGACGGCGTGAAGCGGAGCTTGTCGTCGGGCAGCAGGCAGTTCTCCAAGGTGATGAGCACGCCCGAGTACAGCTTGTCCCCGATCAGCACCCCCTGCGACCCCGGCGCGGCGCCCCCCGAGCCCGAGGCACCGGCCGCCGCCGCGGGGGCCGTCGACCCCGGAGCTCCGGCTGCCGCCGCTGCCGCCATTTTGTGCCGCCGACTCCTTTAGGGCCTCTTCCCGGCAGGGCGGCTCCTCGCGACGCTCACGGCCGGCTCCCCGCCCTTCCGCTTTCTATTGGGTGGACCCGGCCACTGCCTCAACATCATTGGCCTTTCGAGCTGTTCGTCATTATACGTCAGGCGCTGACGCCGGAACCCAGCGTGGGTGGAGCGGCTCGTTACCCAGGGGGCTCAGCGGCCTGGCCGGACTCGGAAGCGCCTATACCCAGTTCCCGGATCTCGCCGGCGTCCAGGTTGCCAGCCTCGCGCCACTGAAATCTGGGGGCTTGGGAGGCGTCGACCTCGGTGGAAAATGGGATGGAATGACCCGAGTCGGTGCGAGTTAACCTGGGGCGACTGCGGGGGTCGCGAGTCCTCAATCCCTACTGGCCCCAGGCTCGGGATTCAGCTGTGAGCCCGACTCCACAGTCTCCGGCTTCAAAATTCAGCCGGTAGGGAAGAGGGCGGGTAAAGTGGCACTGGAAAGGTTGGATTAGGTGACTCTACAGAGCGCCTGGCGGCAGAAGTAGATTTAGGGATGGAGCGAGAGAGCCAGGCTTGTAGCCCCATTGCTCAGTGGGAAAGGACTTGAACTTGATCCTACAGACATTTGTGAACGTGTCTTTATAACTACTGATCCCCCATCCAGGCCATCTAGGGCTTGCCCAGCGTTGCCCGGGGCAGTGCTGCCTTCGTCGCTCTGCAGCCGCAGCAGATGTCATATTCATCACCTGTCGCTGCTCGGTTACAACTTTCACCAGGACTCCCGTGGAACTCGGCTTGAGGGCAGGATGCCTTGGTGGAAAGGAAGTTGCCTTGTGGCCACTTCACCCCCAGGCTGGCAGAGCCCGGGCATCCCCATGTGAACCAGAAAAGAAGGAATTTCTTCTTCTCTGGAACACCCCTACCCCTGGCTGGTTTCTCCTTTTCCATGACTGGGCTGATTGCTCATCTCCCGAACCTCCACTGACCAAAGGAATAAAAGAAGCTGATGCCTCTAGCCAGTCAGGCCATGGCCTGGTGCTGGGGATAGCATGACACTCAAGTTGGAGTCAGTATAAAGTGAAACCTAGTCCCTGTAGCACTACTGGGTGCATCCCACAGATGGGGCATTGCTGTGTGTTGAGCACTTGTGCTGTACCCAGGTGTTACATTCATGCAGCAAGAAACAAATATTTCTTGTTTTGTTTTTTTGGAGTACTGGGGTTTGAACTCAGCCTACACCTTGAGCCATCCAGTAGCCCTTTTTTGTGATAGGTTTTTTTCAAGATAGGGTCGCAAGAACTATTTGCCCAGGCTGGCTTGGAACAGTGATCCTCCTGATCTCTGTCTCCTGAGTAGCTAGAATTACAGGCATGAGCCACCAGTGCCCAGCTGCCCTTCAAATGTTTGTGGAGCAGTGGTCTTCCTTAGGCTCATGACAAGGTGATGCCTCTAGCCAGTCAGGCCAGGACCCCAGTCCTGGCTACTCAGGAGGCAGAGATGGGGGGCAAGGGGGAATCATGGTTCGAAGCCAGCCTGGGCAAGTAGTTCCTGAGACTGTATCTTGAAAATATCCATCATAGAAAAGGGCTGGTGGAGTGGCTCATGGTAAAGGCCCTGAGTTCAAGCCCCAATACTGCAAAAAAAAGAAGAGGGGCCTCCTCATAGTCAATGTAGCAGTGGAAGCTCAAAATGAAGTTGGCCTGCAGTGAAGATGGAGGAGAGAAGATAAAGATATCTAGGAGGTAGATGGTCAGGCCTTGATTGATTCTCTTTGGGATTGGAGGTGGGCATTGAGTCCAAGGGAAGAACCCAGGAATAACTCTCAGGCAAATGGTGGCATAGGAGAGATGGTGTCACCACAAGACAGTAGCTGCAATTGGAGGAGGGACTGGTATTCTTGGGGTTCTCTTGGAGTAAGAGGTAGCCCTCCAGGGTCATCAGGACAAAGCAGCCTGGGCCATAGGTGTGCATTGCTGCATTAATACGGGTGTCACAATGAAACTGACTAAAAACAGCCTGACAGGAAAAGGGATGAAATCTTTTGAGGGTCACAGTCTGACTTCTGAGTTGTGGCTCCACAGGATTGGTTTGGTGAGAGCTTTTTGGGCATGGTGGGATCAACTGCAAACCAAGGGATAGGAGACAAGAAGTAAGAAACCAGAGCCAGGCACCAGTGGCTGAAATCCTAGCTAATTAGGAGGCTGAGATCAGGAGGTTCACAGCTTGAGGACAGCCTGGCCAAATAGTTCATTAGGCCTCCATCTCCAGTTCATACCCCAGTACCACCAGAAAAAAAGTGTGGAGACCAGAATGGAGGCAGAGAGGGAGAGCAGGCTCCAGATCTGGAGAGGGGCATGGACATGAGGTGCTCAAAAAAGATGGCAAAGGCTTTGGGTGGAACCAGGTCCCCACAAAGGAGTGGGCCTGGCCTAAGCAGTTAGGGTATGAGGAAGACGGTGTCGTTCACTGCAGGGAAAGGATGGAGTAGGCAGGTCTGCATGGCACAGTATTGGCAGAACTGCTGAGAGGTGGTTCCTGCTAGTGAGCTTGTCAAGAACACATTTCTGGCCTTAATAGAGCAGTATGCTATTGTGGAAAAAAAAAAAAAAAAAAAAAAAAAAACAACTCTCCTTAGGAGATCTGGGTTTGGAAGCTCCTCCTCAAAGCTGACCCAGCCTTTGAAGCTAGGACCAGAAGCACCACCTACCTGCTATGGGATATCTCCCTCTATCCCTACTGGGCTGGGAGTGTGAAAGGAGACAGCAGGCAAACAGGCTTGTGTTTGGACTGAAGAGCTGAGCCATGGGGTCCCTGCCATACACAGGATCAGAGACCAGGGGAGGGGAGGGTAAGGTCAACCCTGTGCAGAATAAGAATAGGAACTAAGCCAGGCATGTTGTCACATAACTGTAATCACAGCTACCTGGGAACTAGAGGCAGAATCTCAAATTTGAGGCCAGCCCAGGCCAAAATACAGGGGCTGGGAGTATAGCTCAGTGGTAAAGCACTTGCCTAGCATGTGGGAGGCACTGGATTTGAAACCTAGCACCTCAAAAAAAAAAAAAAAAAAAGGTGCTAGGGGAGTGGCTCAAGTGTCTATTAGGTGTGAAGTTCTGAGTTCAATTCTTAACACAATATAAAAAAAAAAAAAAGGAAGAACTAAGGGCACTTAGGGTGAATCGGGGAACTGGGGATCAGAGTTTAGAGGCCTGTGGCAGACTCCCACATTTTACAGAAAGAAGCATCATGCTCAGCTGAATCCCACCATTCCTGCCCACCAGCCTCTCCCATTGCACTAGGAAGCTGTAGATGATGGGCATGCAGGCATCTCAAAGGCAGAGCACACCTCAAGGTGGTGTGTTTACCTAATGACAGAAAACAACTCACAAATTGAACACTGCAAAAACTTTATTTGCACAATCTATACAAAAGTTCGGTGACTGTCCCACTGAGAAGACAGAAGACAGGCCTTTACTATCAGGTTTGGTACTGAAATGTAAATAAACACAAATCAGACTTACATGCTGTTGACTAGATTATCATTTTGCTCCTTAGGGAAAGCCTCTTCCCATCCACAGTGCTACAGCCCTCAGTGGTACTGTACCACTCTGGAAAAGATGCCTTCGGGTTCCTTCCCATCCCCCAAGGCTGCAGCAAATCCCTCCTGCCGCCTCCTTTTGGCCAAAGCAGCCAAAGATTTAAAAGTTTTTGGTTCATAGATGGCCAGGTCTGCAAGTACTTTCCTGTTGAGCTCCACCTGGCACTGTGAAAAGAAAGAACACAACCTGTAGTCAGCATCAGAAGCTGGAAAAATTTAGGGAAGACTCCAGGTTGGGTCAGGCAGAAGAATGCAAGCTCAGGGGCCTGAAGCCACCTTCCTGTGGCTAGTGTTGTAGCTCCAGGACAGTGCCAGCATGGAGGGCCTAGAAACTGTGAGCCAAAGCATCATACTTGGGCAACACGGTAGGATCAATGTGGACAAGGGAGGGAACCTATGGAGTTTAACACTGGAGGGTAGGATGGGGTCCAGGCCCCAGCACCAACCCATGGAACAAGAACCTTGGCTAGGACCAGTAGTCATCACCTGACCACTAGGACTCCTGGCCTGGGCTAACCCTGTATATCAATTTGGAGGTTCCCACAAGTGCAGTAAGCTGAGGTTCCTATCAAGACTGCAGGGCCAGGGGTAAGGCACAGTGGAAGGGTACCTGTGCCCTGTGTTTAGTCCTCAGCACTGCAGAAAAAACTATAGATGATTTCAGAAAGCTGACAGAGCCTGCCAGTTAAATCCAAGAAGCAGAAGCAAGCCAGGTATGGTGGCTTATGCCATTAATCCTAGCTACAGGAGATGCTGAAATCAGGAGGATTGAGGTGGGGGTGGGAGGATTCATGAGAATCCATTTCAACCAATAAAAGCTGGGTAGGGTGGTGCGTACCTATCATCCTAACTGCTTGAGAAGCACAAATAGGAGGATCACAGTCTAGGCCAGCCTGGGCATAAACTCAAGACCCTACCTCAAAAGTAACCAAAGCAAAAAGGGCTGTAATCCTAGCTACTCATGAGGCAGAGATCAGAATTCAGGTTCGAAGCCAGCCTGGGCAAATAGCTTGAGAGACCCTATCTCAAAAATACCCATCACAAAATACCCAGCTGGCAGAGTGGCTCAGGCAGTAAGAGTGCCTATCTAGCAAGCATGAGGCCCTGAGTCCAAACCCCATTGCTGCCAAAAATAAATAAAATGGGCTGGGAACTCAAGTGTTAGGGAACCTGCCTAGAAAGCACAAGGCCATGAGTTCAAACCCCAGCACCACCAAAAAAAAAAAAAAAAAGATGGTGGGCTCCACCCATTAAACACAGCTCTCAAATATGGAATGAAGCTAGGCACCAAGGGCTCATGCCTGTAACTCTAGCTACGAGGGAGGCTGAGATCCAGAGGATTGAGAGACCCCCATCTCTAAAATAAGTATACCAAAATGAACTGGAGGTGTGGCTCAGGCCATAGAGTGCCTGCTTTGCAAACCCCAGTCCCACCAAAAAAAAAAAAAAATTACTGAGTGAATTCTACTGTACTTCTGTGTCTGGGGGAAAGTCTGTCTCCCTTCTGATCCCAAGGCCCCAGATGGGTAAAATGGGGATTTCACACCTCAGCTCACCTGGAGGACCTGTATAAAGCCTTCCAACAAGATCTGTTGCAAAGTAGAAGCAGAATGTCCACCCAGCCCTGGACTCTTTTGCAATACTGGGATTTGAACTCAGGGCCTCATGCTTGCTAGGCAGGTACTCTACATTCTGCCAGCCCCATCCCTAGACTCTTAAAGGAAAAATACAAACGTACACAAAAACAGAATTATCAAGCCCCAGTACCACCAAAAGGAAAAAAACAGCTTTGAAAAACAGAATTGTCATACCTACTAGATTCAACAGAGATTTGTGCAAAACTTGCTTAATCTATCCCTTCCTTCCAAAACATTCCCCCTTCCTTTTTGATTGTGTTAAGTTTCAACTTTGTCTTCTATGGCATCAGAAACTATTTACTGTGAAAACGTAAATTGGGCTGGGTGTGGGGTGATGCACACCTCTAATCCCGCCCATGGAAAGGCTTAGGAAGATCACAGTTCAAGGTCAGCCCCAAACAAAATACTCCCAAAATAACTAAAAGCAAAAAAGGGCTGGGAATGTGGCTCAAGTGGTAGAGTGCCTGCCTAGCAAGATCAAGGTCCTAAATTAGAACCTCAGTACACCAAAAAGCAAACAAAAAACTTAAACTTTAAAGTCAAAGTTTTCTACTTTTTCCTTGATGGAGAAGCATCAAGGCTCACATCACTGTAGCACATTCTCTGCTACCAGCAAGGTGAAGGAGAATCAAGTGTGGTAAGCCACACACCTACCAGAATGCCATCCAATAGCACAAAGCAGGTTAGAACACAGGCCCAGTAGTTCCCATGTCTATGCTATATGGACCACTCCCAGGGTGCTTATGCCTGACGGGATAGTCACTGCAGATGCTCAGGGTCTCAACAGGGCCCTCAACCTACCTTAATTAAGTTGACAATGAATGCTGGGTACTGTAGGCCATGTTCCTGGGAAGCAGCTGTAATTCGATTAATCCAGAGCTAGTATTAAAAAAACATTGAGAAACAATGATTTCTGGATGTTATGTTTGCTTCCAGCAAAAGCTCTGACTCAACTAAAAAGAACTTGTAAAAGTTAGTTCTTGTGTCAATAAGCTTGCAGCACAAAACACAGCGAGCAAAGGCAGATGCAGCTCACCCATCTCTCAACTGCCCTGGACAGCAGTGAGTGGTCAGGAGGGAAGGAGGGTTCAGTGACCTGGCTGGTGAGGAGTAGTGGGGCCTGTGCCAGGGACAAGGAACACCTGAGACTACTGGGTAACTACGGAAAAATTGACACCTGGCCGGGATGTACGGTGATGACCACTTTTCCTGCAGTACAGTAACTAATGCATGCTTCTGAGTTATTAAACAAGGCTGGTGTCCTGGGGTGGGGTGGGGGGGGTGTCTCTTTTAAACAGGTATCTGAAAAACAATATTCAAGCATTTTGTTTCTCAAGCTCAGTGAATCTCTAGTTTGAACGTGCATCAGGGTTCCTCTGAGGTTTGTCAGCACTGCTGGCTGGTTCCAGAGCCTTGCTAGGTCCTGCAGGTGTCCACTAGCCAGTCCCGGGGTGACCGCGGTGCGGGTGCAGGGTCCTGGGCACCACTGCTCTCCTCCCACCACTTCCCCGTGTCACAGCCGACGCTCCCACGTGCTCACACCTCATGCACTGGGCCTGCCGGGCCCCCGGCCCCGGGGCAGTACCGCCCCACCCAAAGGTCCGGGGCAGCCTTTCTGACTCTCAGGCTGACCTCCCGGCCCGTACTCACACCCGCACCGACCCAGGCCCGGAGAAAGCGCTCCACCAACCAGAAAAACCCTTCGCCCAGCTTCCGGCGGGCAGGGGGAAGAGAGCGAGCGTAAGCAGACAAAAACGACCGCGGGGAGCGGGTGAGGACGCGGGGCGGCACTTACCGTCCGCAGGTTCCGCTTCTTCAGCCTGCGGGCTCGCGTGCACTTCACGAAGGCTCTGGTCACCGCCCGGATGGCCAACCGGTAGCAGCGGTTCTTCCTCCCCCGGAAGTGCTGGGGGAAGAAAAGGGAAGCGACAATGACAGGGGCCGCGGCGGACGTCCCCCGCACGCAACCCGGGCCCGGCGCGCTCACTCACCCCGGCATGCTTCAACACCTCCTGGATCCGCCAGTAGCGGTCGGTGAGGCGGTTCCGCAGCCAGAGCCGCGTCGTGAGGAAAACCATGGCGCACTGCCGAGAACGGGGCGGTGTACCACGAGTGCTTCCGGGTCAGCGGCACGTTGCGCGTACCTTCCGGCGCGCCGCGGGGTTCGCTTCCTTGGTTCCGGAGTGTGCAACGATCCGCCTATCATCGGCGCTTGGAGTGGAGGGTGGGAGACCCAGCTACCGCCCGCGGCGACTGAAGAGCCCGCCGCAGTCCGCCAGTGTGGACTGAAAAGAAGCGCAGAGCCCCCTCTGCGAGTACCGTGCACCTGGGAGCATCGTGACGGGTGTGGAGGCCACTGACCTGACTGTCCGGCATCCACATCCACGGAGAGCAGTGCAGGGCGCCCGGCTGGGGAGCGACGCGGCGGGTGCGGGGTGCTGTCAATGTGCAGGACTGGCACTGCATTGCACACTCTCAACGAGAAATGACAGCTATATGTGATGTGCATTTTGCCACAATAAAAAAAATGAAGTGGGGGAAAGTTTGGGTTTGGAGTTTCTTTGTAACTTTTTAACTTGGATACAGTTACTGTTTTGTTTTGTGTTGTTTCCTCTCACTTATTAGATGAGCACTCTACCAATTGAGCCATGCCCAGAATGTTTTGCTTTTAGTTTGTCTTTCAGATAGTGTCTTGTGCCCAGGCTGCTCTGGAACCGCTGTCCTCCATCTCCACTTCCCTAGTAGCTGGGATCACAGGTATATCCCACCACAACCGGCAATGACCTTGACCTTGGGATTCTTTTTTTTTTGGCTGGTACTGAGGTTTGAACTCAGGGCTTCTCATTTGCTAGGCAGGTACTCTACTGTTTGAGTACAGGTTAATGATTTTATAGTCTTCAATCTGCTATTGGCTTGTTGTAAAGTGCCTGCCTAGCAAGCATGCCACCCTGAGTTCAAACCCCAGTACTGTTGCGGGAAATTCTGAGCTGAGATAGGAGTCTCTGAGGCAGATTAGCAGGAAGCAATGTTTATTGTGCCAGCACAGACCCAGCGCTAGTGTCCAAAGGCTGAGCCCCAACAACAAAGGGGTCTCACCTTATATACCCTTGCAAGCAGGTTACAGAAGCAAAAAGCAAAGCTCAACCCACATATGGCTACATGTGACTTCATTGGCTATTTCATTTTCCCAATGCTATGTGACCTTCATGTTTCAATTCTTTAAGTTTTATCTCTCTGCTTTGCCACCCATTCCCCCTGTCTTGTCAGAACACCAGACTATCTGTTTCTTTCCTGGCCTCACCTTTCTTGCTACAGTACAGCCAAAAAAAAAAAAGAAAAAAATCATTCAAATTGTACAGTTTTGGCAAAATACCACAGTGCATGTGTCAGCAGGCTATGCAATGGGTGTTAGCCCTGAGCACCTGGTTAAGGTCAGGCTTATGAGGCTTCTCCCATTTTCACATTGTAATTGTAAGTGGTAGGGCTAGAGGAGTGGTAGAGCGCCTACTTAGCAAGCATGAGACCCTGAGTTCAAACCTCAGTACCACCATAAAGAAATGAAATGTAATTGGTAAGTGGTTTGTGGAGAAGAACTTGTGCCTTACAGGCCTTCAGGTAAGCAGATGCTGAACTAATGTTAGGGATACATAGGCAAACTGCAGAATTCCTGTTGAGGAGGAAGGAAGATGGCCTGATACGGAAGTCACAGGTACTATCTTGAACAAAGATCTAAGCAGCACCCACCCGTGGCCCTGGCACTTTGAGATGATATAAATTTCCTGACCCTCATCAAACTCACACACTAAATTTGAGCATCCATTGGTCATTTTCTTCTTTCATCATCTTTTCTATATTGAGTTGGCATGCTACTGAAAGAAAAGCTTTCTCTCTGAGTAGTGTTAGGAGAGTGCACTGAGAGGGTGTGTTTGAAGAGACCAATGACTCCAAGCCAGGACTCAGGGAAGAGGGTCCAGGAAATGCAAAGGACCTGAGGCAGGAGACTGCCTGGTGGGTGATCAAGGAACAGTAAAAGTGCCAACACCATTAAAGTGGAACATGTGTGTTTCCCCAGGTCAGCCCCTGAAGAGTGAGCAAGTAGGAGGCTAGAGGCAGGAAGCTAAGGATTGTGCAGGGCCTTGAAAGTCCTTGTAAGGAGTTCCATATTCTCATTGTTAGAAATATCTTTAAGATATTGGGTGTCACAAGAGAGATGAAGCTACTCAGAAGTCAGTAGGCAAGGCAAAATTTACTTCTGCAGAAGGGTGCACACCAGAAAGTCTGGGAAATAAGCACCCTGGGCAGGACATCTGCAGGAGTTTTATCATGCTGTCCCTCTCCTGTCCCTGGATTGGGCAGGTTTGGGCTCTATGTGGTTGGCTAATTAGAAAGGGGCCAGGCTGGGAGGGGGGCTTTGGGAACAAAGAAATTTAAAAGTTCAGGGAAGCAATAATGGATTTTGGTTATCAGCTCTGGAACCAGGGCATCTAGTGGAATTCTTGTCTGGCCCAGCTGAGGATAACAACCCTTTGTTCTTAACAGAAACTTTTAAGCAGAATTCATGGAGGAAGCATAAGGGAAGTGAGTTAGTAAGGCGGTTATTACTGATTAAAATCTTTGACAGAAAAGACCTGACCTAAGCTGACTCTACACCGTTGCAATAAAAATAAACCAAGCCAGGCACCAGTGCCTCAAGCCTGCAATCCTAGCTACTCAGGAGGCAGAGATCAGGAGGATCACAGTTCAAAACCAGTCCGGGCAAATAGTTCATGAGACCCTATCTTGGCAGGCTGTGCACAGGCGACTAAAACTTATGAGCCAGAAGGCAGAAGATGTGTCATCACCTTTCTTGTCCTGCTGTGGAAGTCACAGAGCGTCACTTTGACCATACTCTGGGGTCCAGATAGTTGCAAAACTTGACCCAATCTCAAAAGGAGGAGACACAAATTTACTACTCCTGGATAGGAGACATTCAAGATCACATTCCCGATGGGTGTCAGTGGCCTCATGCCTATAATCCCAGCTACTCAGGAGGCAGAGATCAGGAGGATCGAGGTTCAAAACCAGCCTGGGCAAATAGTTCCTTGAGACCCTATCTCGAAAAATCCTTCACAAAAATAGGGCTGGTGGAGTAGCTTAAGGTGAAGGCCCTAAATTCAAGCCCCAGTACTGAAAAAAAAAAAAAAAAGATCACATTCCAAAAAGGGAAGGTAAGATGAGAATGTCATTGGGGCCATCTGTGAAAAACAAGATACTCATATTTAGGTTTACTCTGAGTGAGAGGGATTCATTGGAGGGATCCTGTCCTGGCCACTGTTTTCATATGGGCTGCTTGAAGGCAGGGGCTGAAATGGGGAGACCAGTTGGGCTGAGTCTGGTCTGGCCATGGTACCATCCCAGGCAAGGGTGATGGACCACAAATGGATGTAAGGGAGGATCTGTGAAGTGGCAGGCTCTGGGTGTGCGCTGAGATACAGCACCGTGTGTGGGTCCATCCTGTGATCTTAAAGCCATCCTGCTCTGAAGACCCAAGATGTCACTCCAGCTCCAGCTTTCCACCATCCTCTCTACATCAGCTTCCCCATGGGAATTAAAGTTCTGTCATCCCCCACTCCACTTTAGCCCAAGCCTAACTAGGAGTCATTATTACTTCTCTTTCCCTCTACCCTAATATCCATCTCATTAGCAAGTCCAGTGTGCTCTGCCTATGGAACCTTCTCCCACCTGCATGTTTTTCCCTCTCCTTCCCTCCCCCTGATAAATCCACTCTGCACACATTGCCAATCATCCAAAATCTGCTGCTGCTCTGGAGGTAAAACCCAGCTGCTTCCATAGTTTCTGGCACACAGAGATGCTAATTTGGCATGCTAATCCTGGCTTTTGTAAAAGGAAGTCTGTTTAGTCAAACTGTCCTTTAAAAAATAAAGGAAAAAAAAAAAAAAAAAGCTGTTGCTGGTGACTCATGCCTATAATCCTAGCTACTTAGGAGGCAGAAATCAGGAGGATCACGGTTCAAAGCCAGCCCAGGCAAATAGTTCCACAAGACCCCACCTCAAAAAAAACCCTTCACAAAAAAAGGGCTGGTGGAGTGGCTCAAGGTGTAGGCCCTGAGTTCAAGCCCCAGTACCACAAAAAAAAAAAAAAAAAAAAAAAACAGCTAGTTTCTGGTGGCTCACGCCTGTCATCCTAGCTACTTGGAAGGCTGAGATCAGGAATATTGAAGTTTGAGGCCAGCCCAGGCAAATAGTTCACAAGACCCCTTCTCCAAGAAATAACTAGAGAAAAATGAACTGGAGGTGTGGCTCAAGCAGTAGAGTGAGTACCTGCTTTGCAATCATGAAGCCCTTGGGCTGGTGGAGTGGCTCAAATGGCTCAAATGCCTACCTAGCAAGCATGAGGCCCTGAGTTCAAACCACATCCCACCAAAAAAAAAAACCAAAACTTATTTATTTATTTATTTTGGAAACAGGATCTTAGTACATAGCCCAGACTGGCCTTTAACTCACTCAAAATCCTGCCTCAGCCTCTAGGATGCTGGATTACAAATATGTGCCACCATACTTGGCTTAATTATCTTTGAGAATAGGTCTCAATCTACTGACCAAGTTAGCCTTGAAATTGTGAGAATAATGGATTTTTCTGAGTATGGAGAAGTGGGGCAGTCAGAGAAAACTGACCCTGCTTCTATTAGATCTGTGGTATTCTGGATTTATAAAGATAACTAACTGAAGCTAATGCAGTTGAAAAGAGATTTTTATTGCCTACATGTCCTGACACCATGACACGCAGGCCACACAGGAAAGCACCAGGTTTTGGTCAGGAAATGAGAAAGTATTAGAAGGCCAGAGGCTAAGGTTTCTGTTGGAGACAAGGCAGGGCAGAGTAAACAGCTCAGAACTGGCTATGTAGGGTAACTCCAGCAGGCCTTGGTGCATAAGAAATGTCCCTTACCTGGCCCTGGGTAATTTGGGGCAGGTGAATTAGTTTGATATGCTAAAGTTACACAAGAAGGCAGTCCAGAGCAGAGGCTCTGTGTGAAAGGGGAGATGTGAATGAACTGTGGCCGTTAATTTGGCCTTGTGATTAATGGAAATCAAATAGACAGAGATCAAAGAAAACAAAACACCAACACCCCTGTACTTAACCATCAAGTTTTGGTTATATTTGTTGCCATGACTCAGCCTTCAACAAAGTATGGAAGAGGATGGAGTTGAGGGTTAATGGGCACTCCTAGGAAACGGGGTCATTCCAAGTCCAACCACAGGCCCATGACTGGGGCTCCAGCCAGTACTTCCTGAATCTCCTTCTCCAAGAACCTCTCGGTGATTTCCCCCTTTCAAGGCAGGTGGTCTCAGCCTCAGAGTGGACACCGTAGCCTTCTGTGTGGCTGTGGCTGGCCATGGAGGCTTAACCCATGGGGAAAAGTTCCAGCCCGTGCATGCCCCTAGTTTGCTTTCTGCTCCCCACAAAAGGCAGGCAGAGTCCAGGGAAGGTCCTCTTTGGACATCTGGGCCACTTCACCCCACTGTGTCCTCAGGGTGGGGCTGGCCCCTCTGCTCAGCAAAAACTCCATCGTGGGGCTGTGGCCACGCTCCACAGCAAGGTGCAGAGGTGTCTTGTGGAGCCAGCCAGCAGCATTGACTTGTGCACCCCTGTCCAGGAGGTGGCTGATGACTTCCACATGGCCTCCTCGAGCAGCATAGTGCAGGGGTGTGAGGCCCAGTGAGTCCTTGGCATCCACCTTTGCTCCCCCAGCCACCAGCAGCTGGACAGCAGGCAGGTGTCCACCAGCTGCAGCCCTATGGAGTGCAGAACGGCTGTTCCTGTCCCTAATGTTTGGGTCTGCCCCATGGCCCAGCAGTACCTCAATGTCCTGGGAGAGGAGAGGAGGAAAGGACAGGGGCCAGGTGGGTAGGAGCTGGGACCAGGATGTGTTTGCCTGACCAAAACCCCCTGGCCTCTTCTTTCAGCAAAAAAAGCCTCTACTTGGAGTCTTCCACTTACCCCTGATTTTTTTCAAGCAGACCTCCGTTTTATTTATTTATTGCAGTACTGGTGTTTGATCTCAGGGCCTCACACTTGCTAAGTTCTACCACTTCAGCCACACCTCCAGCTCTCCCCTAACTAAGGGTTCCTGAAGTTGATTCAAGGCAGCAGGCCTTCCTCTGCTGTCTGGGGACCGGCTGGCTCCGGCCAAACGCTTAAAATAATATTGCTGCCAGCCACCAGCATGAAGTTGGAATGTCAGGTCAGGCGACTCTTCAGGTCTCCATGAGATGGCAAAGTTACAAACAGGAGAGGCACAGCCATGACCCCTGCCAGCGCTCAGGCCTTTCACCAACCCCTCCACCCTCCAATGCTCCAGTGTCCCTCCATCTTTCTGAGTCCACATGGCTCTCCCCAACCCCTCAGTCCATGGAGGTGGGGCAGATGCAGCCCCAGGGCTCTTGGCCCTGCGCTCGCTCCAACCCCCCAGTCCCTGTGGGGGAGTGGAGGGGGGAGGCGGGATGTACCTGTTGGTAGCCCATGCCGGCCGCTAGGCCAAGCGCCGTGGCTCCGGCACTGTCCGTGGCGTCCACCTTAGCCCCGCGTGCCAGGAGAAGGTGTAATGCGGCCGTGCGCCCGGCCGCAGCCGCCACGCGCAAGGCGCCGTCCAGGTCCGCGTGGCCACCCGCGACCAGCAGCTCCAGCACCGGCAGCCGCCGCCAGCCGCTGCCCAGTGTGCCGCGGTCCAGCCGCACGCGTCCGCCACCGCGGGGCGGGAGACAGGCGCGGCCAGCAGGCGCGCAACCAGCAGCGTGTGGCCCAGCGCTGCGGCCCAGTGCAGTGGAGTGAGGCCCGCCTTGGAGCGCGCCGCGCGTGGGCCCCGCGCCGCAGCAGCAGCTCCGCCACCTGTGAGTGACCGTGCCAAGCGGCCTCGTGCAGCGGCGTGCGCCCGGTGCGGTCCACCGCGCCCACCCGGGCTCCGCGCTGCAGCAGGAGGCGCACCAAGGGTGCGTGGCCGCGCAACACGGCCAGGTGGAGCGAGGTTCGGCCCATGTGGTCCCTGCAAAGGAGCAAGGGCACAGGGTGCAGATGGCCCACTGACCAGACCATCCTTCCCCAGCCAGGGAAGGGACCCTGGCCCAACCCGGGGCGCTCACCTCTCCTCCACGTTGGCCCCTTGCCGCAGCTGCTGCATCACCAGGCCTGGAGGACCCTGCCACACGGCCTGGAGCAGGCACCCCCAGTTCTGGAGAGCATCAGGCCCTTCTGTCCCGGTTCCTGGGTCCTCCTCTGAGCCCAGCTCCAACCACTGTAGTTCCTGTCCTGACTCTGTCAGGTCCTGCTCCTTGGGCTCAGGCTTGTTGGAGACCCTCTGCGGAGAGCAAGGACCTGCATCCAGCCCAAGTGTCTCAGGTCGATGGGGAGGCTCCAGCCTACCAGCCAGACCTAACCGCCACTTAAACTTCTCAGGGGCTTGGATACAGTTACCATGAAAGGGAGCTGGCCCAGGGGCTCTATCTTCTGGCTGCAAGTCACCTCCATTCTAGCCCAGCCTTATCCTGGTCACCCTCCTGGAGAAATTCCTTCTGCTGGCTGAGATGTGGGGTGCTGCTCCTGGGAGGTAGGAGTGGGCAGAAGACTCCTGTTTTCTCCTGGGCAGGGTTGAGGCCTCCTAACACTGTTTACCCAGCAATTTAAGGAGGTGGTTCTGCCTGCCAGGCAGCAGCCCCTGACAGGACACCTACACTCCCCTGTTGACTACCAGGGCCCCATTTGACCTCCCTACTGGAAACAAAGGCCATGGTGGATGGGAAGGGCAAGCAGGAACATGCTCCTCCATTCACCTACATCCCTGCATCCCCCCAAGCAGCACAGCTTTTGATGTGCCCTGACTTGCCCCAGGCACCCTCACCCCTGCCCCCACTCCATCACAGTCAGGCAGTCAGGGTGCTGGGAGGGGAGTGGGTTGAAGTTCCATCCTCTCTTCCCATGAAGACGCTGCACAGACACAGAGACTGACCACAGACTCCTGGGTAGACAGGAGTTGTGGGATGATGGGGATGGAAACTGGGGGAACATGTCGAGGCCGGTCAGTGGAGGTTATGGAAGGGCAGACATCTGGACAGTAGGGGATGAGAGTGGGCAGAGATGCTTCTGAGACAGGCGCTTTTATGTACCTGTGTCTGGAGATGGAAAGGGGCCTTGTAGGAGCAACACTTCAGGTAGGCAGCTTCACTCTGGGCCTGGGGCAGGGAGACTGTGGCTGGCCATCTGCCCAGAGGCTAGACAGGGGAGGCTAGAGGCTAACTCCAATGGTGGGATCCTGTAACTCTTCTGTGCAGTGACAAGAGACTGGCCACCTGGAGGCAGCACATTGTTGGGGCTGCCCATCCCACCCCAGGTGCCCAAGGATGAGGTGTCTAGAAGCCCCTTCTCCACACCCTAGAGGACAGCCCTGCCAACTGGCCCAAGGGAGAGTTTCTAGGCAAGGGATGAAAAGGGTTCTCTCCCACCCCTGGACCCTGACCCAAGGACCTCATCAGTCCACTCAGATGTCACCCCACAAGGACTACAGTCTGACTGCTGGGCTGAAGCATCCTTTGGCTCAGACCCCGTTCTAATTTATTGTCAGCACTTATCACTACACAAAGATCTATTTATTCCATTTTATTTATTTATTTACAGCACTGGGGCTTGAACTCAGGGCCTACACCTTGAGCCACTCCACAAGCCCCTTTTTTTTTTGTGATGGGTTTTTCCCAGATAGGGTCTGGTGAACTATATGCCCAGGTTGGCTTTGAACTGCAATCCTCCTGATCTCTGCCTCCTGAGTGGCTAGGATTACAGGTGTGAGCTACCAGCACCAGGACACCTTTCACTTTAATACAACTTGTCCTAGGGTAAAAGTGATTGCCCTTATCATTCTCACTCTGGAAACAACCCATTTTCAGTCTATCGAAAGTATATTTCTTGGCTGGCTCCAGTGGCAGAACACCTGCCAAAAAAAAAAAAAAAAAAAGAAAGAAAGAAAGAAAGTGCTGGGCACCTGTGGCTCATGCCTATAATCCCAGCTACTCAGGAGGCACAGATCAGGAGGATCACAGTTTGAAGCCAGCCTGTGCAAATAGTTCTGCAAGACCTTATCTTGAAAAACCCTTCACAAAAAAGGGCTGCTGGAGTGGCTCAAGGTGAAGGCCCTGAGTTTAAGCCCTACTACTGACAAAAAAAAAAAAGAGTATTTCTTGAGTTCAAAAGTTAGTCCCACCCAAAAAATAAAAAAAAGGTGCTTTCCTCAAAAGAAAAAAAAAAATTTAAAAGAAAATGTATTTCTCTCCTATCGTCATTATTATGTATTTTTTTAATCATCTCTTGCCAGAGGTAGGGACTGAGGTAGAGAGCTGTGCTGACTTTCTAGCAACATGAAACATAGGAGACATGTTTATCTTTCCACAATGTCAGAGTTTATTGAATAACAATAAATTCACAAGCTATGCTATGTTGGCTTTAATCCACCAAGTGCCACTGGTTTCACTTGATAGCTATGAATTATCAAGTCCAAAAAAAGCAGGGTTTCTGTTTTTGTTGGGGTATCGGGGATTGATCTCAGAGCATTGCTAAGCAAGCACTCTCACTTGAACTATGACCCCAGTCCAAACAAGTTCTTTGTTTTTATTTTGTTTTGTTTTTGGAGGGACTGGGGTTTGAACTTCGGGCTTTGCACTTGCAAAGCAGATGCTCTACCACTTGGCCTATACCTCCAGCCTGTTTTGCTCTTGTTATTTTAAAGATGAGCAACTCACAAACTATTTGCCAAGGCTGGCCTTGACCTATGATCCTTTAGATCTCAGCCTCCCAAGTAGCTGGGATTACAGGCACAAGCCACGGAGACCCAGCTCTGAACAGGTTCTTTTACAACAACCTTAATTATTAATTTGAATTCTCAGATCACACATTACACTTTGCACAATTACATAGGTTACAGAATGACTAAGAAAGGGTTAAAGCAATTTTAGGGTTCACAGAGGGCTGCTGAAGGCAAAAGCAAAGAGATGTTATAGATGCAAAGAGTCACTGCATGTGGTTTGATAAGGCATTAACAGAACAGCCCAGTCACCTAGGTGTTCTGGCACAGAAGTGTCAAAGCACAGAGCTGGTTCAAGACCTTAGGCTTATGGATTCCAGACTGAAGGATAGCAATTCAAGTGGGTCATGTCAAGAAGGGAGACCATGCTGAACCAAAGCGTTGGGGACAGAGTCTCGAGCTCAATGCCCACACCAGATAGCCTGAAGATGAGTCAGTAGGTGCCACTGTACCTCAGTGTTAGGCACTCCTCCTTTTATATGACCCAGGTGAGAGGGTTTCATCATTCCTTGTTCTGGTTTATTGGATAAGCTCGGGCCTCGTTTTTCTGAAATAGGTTTGACATGCCTGTGTGTCTATATGTTCCTGGTTTAATTTGATAAGTTCATATGTGGTGATGCTTCATTTAGATAAATAAGTTATTTATCAGGCTACCTCATGGTTTGTGCTGGACAATGGTGGTTGTTTACTTGCACAAACAAGATGTAGTGTCATTCTGTTTCAGCATTTGCATTCAATATAGAGCAAAGTGCTGTTTTACAGAAAGGAGTCATACAGGGCAAGGCACAGCCTGAAGACTGCTGTTCAATACAATATGGAGTGGTGGCATTTGGCATCTAATCAGGGTTAGATAAAGTCAGGTGGGTGGGGCCCCATGATGGCATGCACGCCTTCATGAGGGGAAGTGAACCCACGCTATCATGCTTGCTCTGTCTCACCACATCATGCCTTTCACCATGCTGTAGAGGCAGCAAGAAGGCCCTCACCTGATAGCAGAATCATGCTCTTGGACTTACTAGCCTGTAGAACTAAGAGCCAAATACATATCTTTTCTTTATGAGCTACCCAGTCTCAGGTGTTTTGTTATAGCCATAGAAAATGGCCTTAGACACACAGTAGTATTTCAAAAAGTGTTTGCTCCAATTTTAGTATATGTGCTATGAAGCAAGCACTTATTTGTTCCAGTAAGTGTTTAAGTATGGAAGGAAGGAAGGAAGGAAGGAAGGAAGGAAAACTTAAGAGGATAAATTCAATAAGGAGATGACGTACAACATTTTTTCCTTGGTGGGGGGAGCACAGGGGTTTGAACTCAGGGCCTCATGCTTGCTAAGCAGGCACTCTGACCTTAAGCTACTCTGCTAGCCCTTTTTTTGTGATGGGTATTTTTTGACATAGGATCTGGTGAACTGTTTCCGCAGGGCTGGCTTCAGACCATGATCCTCCTGATCTCTGTCTCCTGAACAGCTAGGATTATAGGCTTGAGCCACCTACACCTGGGGACTTGCAACATTTTTTTACCCTAAATTTACTACCTAAATATACAAACAGCCACTATGACATGTTGGCATGTCACTGAAAACAATGAATAGCCTCAGCTATTCTCCTGATGGGGGCTGTCCACTAGCACTGTCTCCGATTCACAGGTCTGAAGGAGGTCAGCAAGCTGGCAAGCTGGTGAGGGCTGGAAGATGTTAAGCAGGAAAGTTGGAAGTGATAACATTGGTAACAGGAAAAGGCATCACAGGGAAACCATCAGCTCACAGACAACCTACTCGTTAAGTGTCAATTGTAAATGGGGGTTAAAATGCTGTTAAGGTGTGGCTTTCACACCTGTTCCTCTACTTGCAATAACAGAATATATGCTGCTTTCATCTCAAAATGTTGCTATATACACTTTGAGAATGAATTAGATTCATATACAAAAGATGCCATGATTGTAGTTACAGTGAACGAGTACTGTGTGCCATATTCCACACTGAGCACTGATTACTCCCATGCCATCCTCAGTGTAGGCTCCTGGGGTCTTCCTATCCCACTGGGGCTGAGGACTATAAAAGGGAAAAAACTTTTGGTATTAACTCTGCTTGTTAATCAAACTGACATTTTTTTCTCCCTTTGTCTACATTCTAGAGATCTCAAGGTTAACACCCTTTATTCTTAAATTAAACCAGGCAGTCTTCTACCCCTTACCTCTCTCTGATCACAGAGAAGTAAGCCTGTCAGCCTAGACTAACGTCTTTCATGTTTGGAGATACGGCACAAGTAAACCTGGAGAACCAAGGCCAGCACCCATTGTGGGGCATGCATTTTGTCACATACTTGAACTGAGTACCTGAACTCTTCTTTCACATTAGCTAGGCACCTGTGGGTCATGCCTATAATTCTAGTTACTCACAAAGCAGAGATCAGGAGGTTTGTGGTTTAAAGCCAGCCTGGGCAAATAGTTTGTGAGACCCTATGCTGAAAATACCCAAAACAGCCAGGTGCTGGTGGCTCATGTCTGGAATCCTAGCTACTCTGAAGGCAAAGATCAGGAGGGCTGTGGTTTGAAGCCAGCCTGGGCAAATAGTTCGAGATATCCTATCTCAAAAAAACCCATCACAAAAACGGTCCGGTGAGTGTAGGCCCTGAGTTCAAACTCTAGTACCAAAAAAACCAAACCAAAACAAAAACCAAAAAACCTGCTCTCATTATTTGTGAATTGGTTTTGAGGCCAGAGGGACTGGCTTCCTGGTAACTGGGCTAGGTTTTCCTCAGAGGCCTTGCGGGACTAGGGCTGAAAAGCAGGGTGAATGGTTGACCTCTAATGGCAACTATTGACAGGACAGTGCTCATAGCCAAGATCTGTGAAATGAAGTCACTGGGGGTGGGGGGAAGAGGGCTGGAAACAGGGAGAGGGCGGGCTGGGAGGAAGGAGGGGCCCAGTGCTCAGCTGGGCCTCAGAGACAACTGTGCAAGATCTGACCGGAGCACACAGGAGATGGCTGCAGTCACCTGGTAGACAGAGGTCCAGCATGGGAGTAGGGAAAACTGAGGCAGGGGTGTAGCCCTTGAGATTGATTGTCAGTACTGGACCTAACCAGGCCAGGGTCCACTATCTAGTTGCTGGGATCCCCATGGGGGTGGAACCTGGGGAGGGTTAAAGTGTCTCTAGTCTAACCCTTGGGGGCTTGGTCTTGCACACTGCAAGTACAATATGAGTGAGCAAGAGAGAGAAACAGAGGAGGATGAGGGAGGGGGCACCTCAGATACAGCACCCATGCTGCCCCAAAGACCTCCCGACCACCAGGCATCAACCCTGACATGGCCAGGGTGGCCTGAGTTAGCCACCCGAGGCCTCAGGACCCTGAAGCATCCTAGCCATGCTCTTGCTGGGCTCCTGTTCTACCTGCTCCTGCCTGGGACAGTCTTCCTGCTGGTGCTGCTGCCGGCAGCCGCCATTGTCTACCTGGGATTCCTGTGCCACTCGAGGGTGAGCTTGATCATCCATTGATGGGGGTCTCTGGGGAGTGGGGGTCCTGTGGAGTTTAGGGCCCCTGGGGTGAAGGTGAATCTCCCTTCTAACATGGCCCCCTGTAGCCAATGACACATGTGTGCCTTCCCTGGGAGCCCTCTCTTCTGCCAGCACCCCCACAGGCTGCAGCCAAAGAGCTTTTGTTTGTAACCCAGAGGACAGCTGTCTCCCCCCCATGCCTCCCAGACTTGTACCAGGGGCCACCAGGGCCTGGATAGTTGGGTTGAGACAGAGAGGGGGAAGATGTTTCAGGAAAACATGAAATCATTGTCAAACTTCAGTGTCTAGGCCTCCCCGCCCCTCATACCCACACACATACAGCCCCTCCCATGACCCTCCTGACCTAGTCTGGGCTTTCCTACCTGTGGAGGAGAGATTTGGTGTCGGGCAGGGAAGGCATACATAGATGCCCCAGTGTTCCCTTTTTGTGTCACACAGTCAGGGAGGGAGAAGGTGGTGTTAGCTGGTGACAGCCAAGCAGGAATTTAAGGTCAGGAGCCAATGTAGCTATGGAAGAAGGGCAGATAAAAGCAGGGTGGGAGAGCCAGGGGGCAAATCCCGAAACCTCTCTGCAAGGCCATTTACCATTTGGGTCCAGAATCTCCCATTCAGGCCTCTACATTGCCTGGTCTACAGCAGCCAAGCCCCCCTCAAGTTTGCCAGCCCTGGACCCTGCCCCACTTCTTCCTGTCCCTCCCAGGACCAGGCCCTAGCTACAAGCCCCGCCCCTCTCCCGGCCTTAGACCCCGCCCCGCCTTGTCTAGGCCCCGCCCATCCACCGCCCTGCCCTATCACTGGGCTCCCGCCCTCTTCCGCCGAGGGCCACGCCCCTTTCCCCGCCCCACGCCCCTTCCCGCTCCCTTTGGGTGGGGGGGCTCGGCATCTCCTCCCGGCTCCGCCTTGCCTGACCGCTCGTTGGGTCCGCAGGTCCACCCCGCGCCTGGCCCCGGGTGCAAAGCGCTGCTTTCGGACCGCGGTTCCGCGGCGCTCATCGTGTTCGGCTTCCTCTCGCTGCCGCCGCTGCTCGTACTGGCCTCGGCCGCCCGCGGCCGCCTGGCCCGGCGACTCCGCGCTCTGCTGCCCCCTCCCGCGAGGACCACCGAATTCCGCCGCCCCTCGGGGTCCAGCGACCCGAGCCTGGCACCAGCCCATCCCAATGAGGAGAACCAGCTCTGCGCCTGGGTGTAACGCCCCAGAGGCCTCCAAATCCCGGGAGGCCCCCGGGGTCACTCCCATAAAGGAGTCCCCGAGGGACGAGCTCTGGGTCCCGCGAGGCACCAAGGCTGCCTCGGAGCTCCATGCGCAGGGCTCGGAGTGACCGCGAGATGGCGCCAGACTCCCCCGGATGGGGTGGCCCTTCCCCATCCCTCCGTGCCCAAGTAGCCCCCGTCCTTGCTGGGGAGAAGCTGGGAGGCACCCAGGAGAAGGAAAGAGGCCGTGGGCTCTGCTCCCTCGCAAAGGACGGCCCCTACGCTCCTGTGGTCAGCCAGCTGGCCTCTAGTGTGCCAGAGGTGGTGAGGGGGGCCTGCTGGGGAACACCCACGTCCTCAGAGCCCATGTTCTAGACGCTCAGTGTGGCCAACAGCAGACAGCTTGCAGGGCTCAACCCAGGTCAGGGCTCAACTTGAGTCCAAGGTCAGTTGTCAGTTTGTATCCAGGATCCAGGCTCACCCTGTAACCAGGGTTTCTTTCTCTTGAGACAGGTACCCAAGTAAGAGCTCAGTCTGTTCTTTCTGGATAATTTTAAGATCTCTGTCATTCTGTGGTTTTACAAGCACATTTCTAGGTATTGCAATGTGGGTAAATTCCTCTTCTTCCTTCCCCTACTCTGGATGCTCCTCCTTCCAAGTCTTCTCCTGTGCTGTGGATATGTGTTTTTTGGTTGTTTAGTTTAGGGTTTTTTTTTTGTGTATGTGTGTGTTTTTTTTTTCTGTGGTGGGGATTGAACCCAGAGCCTTGCACAGCTGAACAGGTATACTAGTATTAAGCTACATCCTTTTTTAATTCCGTGTAGTATACATGATTGCATTTCCTGTTTCTATGGATTCATGTCTTTTGTTTGTTTGTAGGACTAGAGTTTGAACTCGGGGCTTTGTAGAGCAGAAGCTCTACCACTTGAGCTACACTTCCAGTCCATTTTACTCTTGTTTATTTATTTATTTATTTATTTATTTTTGGTTCTGGGGTTTGAACTCAGGGCCTTACACTTGCTAGGCAGACGCTTTACCACTTGAGCCACTCCACCAGCTCCATTTTGCTCTGGTTATTTTGGAGATGGGGGCTATTGAACTATTTTCCTGGGCTAGCCTTGAACTGTGATCCTCCTGATCTCAGCCTCCCAGGTAGCCAGGATTAGGCATGAGTCACCAGCTTCTGGCTTTGATTCATGTCTTTTAGTAGTTCTGGTACAGTCTCCATACCTCTTCAATTTTGCCTCTCATTCTCCACGTTTCCCTGTTTCCTCTTCCCTCACTTGTTAGTTAAGTCTTTCTGTATTTCCATCTCTCTCCAGGCTTCATTCCTTGTCCTTCCAGTTCACTGGAATTCATTCCTTATGTCTAGTGGTCTGATCAATTCACCCACTTAATTTTAGGTTATTGTGTTGTATCTGAAAGTTGTATTTGTTCCTTTTTCAGGTTTATCTAACAAGTTTTGATAGTCTTTGTGCACATTCACTTTTTGCTTTTTGGATTTCAGCTGCAATATCTTTTTTTTTGGCAGTCCTGGAGTTTAAACTCAGAGCCTTACCAGGCAGGCACTCTAGCACTGGAGCTACACCAGCAGCTGTGGCTTCCATTTCTTAAACACTTCCTACATATTTTATACACTGTATCCAGTAATTCCAGTTTCTTAGACTTTGGGGTCTAAATCTGTTACTGTACTTCTCAGTGACTCTGGTAGTCTTTTAATCTTTGCTTTGTTTTTGTTTTGCTGCTGGGTTTTGAACCCAAGACCTCAGCATGCCAAGTATGCAACAGGCTACCACTGAGCTAGATACCCTGCCCCTGTCAGCCTGTATCTGTGATGATAGGCCCCTTTAGGGTCACGGAGGTTCAGGTTTAGTGGCCCTCTCAATGCAGAGCAGCTCGTGTGGCTCTCAACTATTGTGTCCAGGGAATTCTCTGCTTTTCCACCTGTTCCCTGTGTGATCCTGGGTCATTGCTCACTGTGTGTTTGCTTGGATCTTTGTAATGTTTAATTGGGAGGGGGCTGCTTTGAGATAATTTGCTTTCTTGTAAGCCCAGCAATTTATTAAAAATGTATGTTCATTGTAATTCACCCAGAATCAGAATCTAGTTGTAGTGAAAAGCCTTTTCCTTTTTTTTTCTTTTTTTTTTAATGGGATTGGGTTTGAACTCAGGGCTTTGTGCTTGCAAAGCAGGCACTATACTGCTTGAGCTACACCTCCAGTACATAAAAAGACTTTATTTTTATCTTTTTTTCATTTTATTAGCATATATTCATTGTACAGGGGGGACTCATTGTACCAATTCCCAATAGCCTTACATTGTACATTGGTTAGATTGCCTCACCATCTTCCTCCCTCCCCACAACCCCCTTTCTGTCCCACTTAAAGCAATTGCAAAAGATTTCATCTTTTTTTTTTTTGGTGGTACTAGGGCTTGAACTCAGGGCCTTCACCTTGAGCCTATTTATGTGAAGGGTTTTTCGAGACAGGGTCTTGCAGAACTGTTTGCCTGGGCTGGCTTCAAACCGCAGTCCTCCTGAAAAGCTCATCAACCATATTCCTTCACCTTCATCCCCTTCACTCACCCTCTTCACCTCCCACAAGTATCCCCACTCACTGTACCTATTTTACAGTCCTGTCTTTCATTTTTAATTCCAAAGTGAATATTCAAAGGGGTTTCTCAATGTATCCCAGTGTGAATATATATAACTTTGGTCAGTTCAATCCCTCGGTTACTCTCCCTTACTCCTTCCTCCCACCCTGCATTATTCAACAGCTTTTAGTACGTATTCTTATGTCCTCTACATGCAGAGATGTAATGCATTCATGAAAAGTCTTTTAAAAAGAACCAGCACATGTATTGCCAGTGGGGCTCAGCCTATGACCAGCAGGGTCAGGACTTGGCATTGGGTTCATGCTGTGACCTTCAGCAGAGCCCTGAGTGTGGCTGGGTCATGTCCAGCGGATGTCTCGGGGTTTTCCAACCTTCATCTGTGTCCAGCTTTGATGCTTTTTCTGATCAGACAGAGCCGGCCAGTCGCCAAGCTGCCTAGGAGAGCTTCCCCTGAGCTGAGGCTGCCTTCCTTCCCCTCCTGCCAGGGTCTGGGCTAGCTGCCACCAGGAATTGAGGATGAAGACTCTCCTGGGAAGCCCTTGGCTGAGGACCTGCCTGGCCCCACAGTCGTCAAAACAACAGCTGGGCCTGGTGGGGGTGGGGAGGTGAGTGACTGGTTGGGTAGGGAGCTTGGTCCACCCTGCTGCCTGAGGCAGCCTGTTTCTGAAAGGTGTTTCCCAGCTTTCCTAACTGCCCTAAGCCTCAGACAGCCTCTGGCCCCTGGGGATATCCAAGGGAAGGCAGCAATGACCTGCCTCAGCCCTAGCCTGCCCCACCTGCTTTCAAAGGAACACTGTGGTGTAGCTCAGTGGTAAAGTGCTGAGGCAGAGGCTCTGGGTTTGATCCCCAGCACCACAAAAAAAGGAACATTGACAGGGGAGTTTGTGGGAGGTTCACAGAAGGGGTCTGGGGTCTGTGTTTAGCCTTGGAGAGCAGAACATGAATGCTGGGGGCCAGAGCTGGTCCATGAGGGAGCCACACAGGCCCTGGGCCTGGGTGCAAGGAAACCTTGGGGTCTTCCCAGGCACTGCCAGTCTTGGCCAGCTTTCAGGGGTTCTAATGGGGTTTTCTTTATCCATCACCACCTGGGCAGCTCCTGGGAAGTTGGATAGGGCTGTGGCCTGGCCCTCCAGTCACAAGACTCCCCTCCTTTAGGCCAGAGGTATTTATTTGGCCTTTGCCCAGCACACTGTACCCTACCTGGGAAGGACCCCACCAGTCTCTATCACCCAACTTTTTTTTCTCCAGCGGCTGAGTCCCCTTTCCTGGGGTGGGAGCCTGCCTGCCTGTGTGTGTGTGTGTGTGTGTGTGTGTGTGTGTGTGACAGAGAGAGAGAGAGCACGTGCGTGTTCTACTTGCCCTTATGCCTTGGGTAGGGACATTGTGCCCACCAGACAGGTGAAGAGCCTAGGCTCAGTGAGGTTCCTACCTTGCCTAAGTTGTGTATTCATTCACAAAGTATTTGCAGGCACACCCTCAGATAGCACAGCTAGGAGGGGCCCTGAATTTAGCCAGCTCTGACTTGGGCCCTGGACCTGTCCCCTTCCAGTTGTGTGGGCTGGGCACAGAGTACAGATAGGAACTGAGCCAGGGTGGGTGCGCTAAGTAGAAATAGGAAGATCCTGGTCCTGAGAGCTAAGGCCCCCCCCCCCTCCTGCTCCCTGGGCTTCCCCCATAGGACATAGGACATAGGCCTGCTCCATCCTGCTTCTTCTTCCCCAATGACTTTGGGGCCTGCCCAGGGGCTGCTGCCTGAACCTGCCTGGACCCTACTTGGGGATGGGACAGAGGAGCTTGGGGATGTGGTCAGAAGTGCATTCCTGCTGGGTGCTGGTGGCTTACACCTCTAATCCTAGCTATTCAGGAGGCAGAGATCAGGAGGACCAGGACGTGGTTTGAAGCTACCCAGGCAAATAGTTTGTGAGACCCAGTTTTGAAGAAAACATTCACAAAAAAGATCCGGTGGAGTGACTCAAGGTGTAGGCTCTGAGTTCAAGTTCAAGCCCCAGTACCGCAAAAAAAAAAAAAAATTCCTGCTGAGGACACCAAAGTTGGGGGGAGGGGGCCATTTCCATAACTGGAAGGGACATTACTGTTTAGCTGGTGGCATGTTCTGGGCACCTGTCTTTCACTCCAGCTCCCAGCCTACATTTAGTAGTTGCTTACTTGGGGGTCTCCCTGGAGGCATGGTGTCAGCCCCTCCACCTCCCCACAACCTGTCTCTGTACTACCTTCTCCCAGCACTCAGAATCCCTTTGGCCTCCCTGTGGTCTGAAGGAGGCACAGCTTGGTCTGCCCCTCTGGGTCCCACCCCAAAGCTCCCTAACTGTCACGCACACCCATCCCCACTGCTAGGTTTTGGCACTCACTGTTGCCTCTGCTGAGAGGTTCTTCCTTCATCTACCTACTTCTTTGGTGTCCTCGCTGACTTTCTGGTCTCATATAGCCCAGCCGTCCACAGGGTTGCATCTCTGCTAATATGGTGCTCACCTGCCCCCTTGTCTTGTGTCCAGTGCCTTGTGTCTGTAGTGCAGAGGCTGACATGATGGATGGGATGTGCAGGATGTACAGGATGGGCAGCACTCCAGCTATTTCTGGGGGTGAGACAAGACCCCAGATCCCAGGACTGGTCCTTGAGCCTTGGGAAGTCCCTGATCCAAGACCAGAGGTCAAGTCTGGAGGAAGGTGTTGGGGGCAGCAGAATGGAGCAAAGGGGCCCTGCTGTTCTTGGCTGCCCCTTTACTCTGTCCTGCTGACTGCCATGGGGGGTGGTGTCATAGGGCCCAGGCTCACCCCACTCCACTGCTCCAGGCCTCCCAGCAGCTGCTCCCACCACTTCCTGTTTCTGTGTTCTGGGTGTGTGCGTGGGTTTGGGTGTGAGATACAAACAACATGACTGACAAGTGGCCTCTCATAGGCGGGGGTGGGGGTCAGGCTGTTCTGCCCCCAGCTGGGGTCAAGGGTGGGGTTGGAGGCCTCATGAGCTGCCCTTTTCCCTGGGGTTGAACATAACCACAGTGACAAAGCCTGGGGACAAAGGGCTCTTTTTCTCTGCAGAAGACTGTGGAGGAGGGAACATTCCCAAGGACCTCGGGTGGGGGTAGGGATGACCTGCTGAGAACGGTGTCCTGGATTTTGGGAAACCCCTCCACCTGCCCTACAGACCAACAGGCAGGGCTGGCCAGCTCAGGGGATGAGCATCTGAGCCTCCTAGCCCTGAGCCAAGGCTGTGGGGACAAGGAGGCCTCAGTCTTAGGAACTGTTTCTTCTTCTTGGGTCCCTGGGATGTCAGGGCCAAGCAGGGGCTGTGCCTGGGGGAGGTGGAGGGCTGGGGGTCAGGGCCCTGCTGTGTCTGGCCTGGCCTGGCCTTGTCTTTATCCACCTCTTTATCCCCCCTCGCCTCCTTGGCCTGTCTCCCTTCAGAGAGAAAGGAGGCTTCCGGACCATTCTGTTTGTACTTCCTCTGGAGACTGCATCAAGCCTGGCCCTGGCTTTGACCATTGCACCCTTGGCTGACATCCACACCTCCTGGGATCCTCTGTCTACCCACATCTGCCCTCTGGAGATTGGGACAACAGTGGGAAGCAGTACAGGACAGAAGGATGAGACTTGTCTGCTGGCTAAACAGGGACCAGGAGTAAGGCTGATAGGGAGGATCTCCCAGGGAGTGACTCTGGGCAGAGCTCAGGGGCAGGCAGATGACCGAGTTCTGCTAGGGCTGGGTGGAGGCTGGGCCTCTTGTGCCCCTTTCCCTCCAATGGCAAGGCTAGAGGGAGGAGGGCAGCTGCTTCCTCGAGGGCCTGAGTCACTGCCAAGAAGACCCGCTCACTTTTTCCAGAAGGGACGGAAACTTCCCCATCAGCGTCAGCAAGCAGCAGGGCAGACTGAGGTGTGACTTCGGGCCTGAGGGCCCTGAGCAGCTACGGGGCTGGACCCACAAAGGCCCAGCTTCCTGGCCAGCCAGGCCAGCTGAAGATGTACCTTCTGCCTAGACATGCCTCCCACTAGAACTCCCCTGGTGGGGGGTGCCACCTTTTCTGTGGTCTCCACTCACAATGTCCATCTCCATAGCAGCCCTTGTCTCCTAGGGGGCTAGGGACCAGTTCAGGCCCCCTGGGTGGCACACCCTGGACTTAAAGGGCCCACACCCACTATCCCCGCATGGGGCTTTGGCAGAAGCACTAAGCAGTTTCTGGTCTGTGCAGAGGCCTGAGGTCTGTGGAGCTGAGCCAGCACCCACTGCCAAGATTCCCGGCAAGGGGGGTGGGGGATGGCAGCAGGGACACAGTTCTTGCTTGTTCCTGCCGCAAGCTCCTCAAGCTCAGCCGTGCTGCTTCCTTTTTTAGGCAAAGCTGAGTTCTGGCGGTCCTTGAGGCCCCATGGTGTCTTACCTGCCAGAAAGGGAGGAAGGAAAACCATTGAAGCCCGTCCGTCCTCCCCGCAGAGCGTCCTCCCGCAGAGGGTGGGGAATGGACATCCTGGCAGACACATCACCACCACATGTATGCCCCACCCCCCAACTCCACGATTACCCCACAGGAAGGCATCCTAGAAGGACAGCAGCCTGCCCAGACCTACCGCAGGGCAGGGAGGCTGTGAGATGCCTTTGCAGTCGCTCCACTCTGGTCCCAGCCTGACCAAGACTGTAGAACCCAGCTTCAGCTCACCAGTGGGCCCCCTCCAATCCTGCTGGGGTCTGACCTGGGCTTGATCCTGTCCCCTTGTTGGGTAGAGTCTATGAAGCCAGTAGCAATAGCCCCACCATGGTCACACTGAACAGGACCTGAGACAACTTCCTTCTGCTCTTGTCTTTTCCTCTAAGAACCCAGGGCAAGGTCCAAGGCTTTGCATCCCTAGGCTTCCCTTCAGGTTCCAGTCCCCTCCCAGGGCACTGTGTCTTAAGCTCTACCCCAAGGTACTTCCAATCCTTGTTGATCAGCCCTTGGGGACACCTGCCCCTCTTCCAGCCCTGTAGCCAAGGTGCAGCGAGAACCTGGGCTTTGTGGGGGCATGTTGTTCTTGGTGTAGCTACACCTCCACCCACTGGGCTCTCTTGGGCGGGACTTCAGGGAATTTCAACGCTGAGGAGTCAAGGGCAGCGGAGAGCTCCAAGGTACAGGGAGAGTGGTAACGAGGGCGGATCCACAGACTCATAGCTGGGGAAGAGGAGACTGGAGTGTCTCTGTTTGCTTGGCCACGTGTGCCCGCCTCGGGTAGTGCTGCGTGTCACTGCACGTCCAGGTCCGCTTGTGAGCGCGCTTCGAAGCAGTAGTTGCAGGTCCGCGTCTGCGCGCACTGGTGAGTGCGTGCGCCCGGGGCGAAGGCGTGGCTCCCGTTGTGGGCGTGGCCTCCTGGGGGGCGGACCTGGCTTCGGCCGGCGCCCAGCCGCTGGGGAGAGAGCAAAGCGAGCTGCGGTCGAGCGTCCGTCACGCTGCGCGCGATGCTGCCCTGGACCGCGCTCGGCCTGGTGGTGAGCTTGCGGCTGGCGCTGGCGCTGAGCCACGCGGAAAGCGGTGAGTGCGTCGTGGCCTGGACTCCGGCTCTTGCGGCCATTGGCCATTGCCCACGCGGGTGGTCGCTGTCCTCGCGCAGCTCCCGGACAAGTGGGCGGGGAGGCTGCGGGAGCGGGACGGGGACGCAGGTCGACTACTTCAGGCACCTGTGGCTGGCACTCCCCGTGATACTATTGAGCGCGCGGGCGCTGCAGTCTTTCTTGCCCTGCTGGCCTGAAAAGGGAGAGAAATGCCTCAGTTTCCCTACTTTTGGAAGGGCCTTCAGGAGAGAGGTGGTGAGAGGACTGGAGTCGCCCCACCACATGGGAGAAACCCCAAGGCTGTGACTAGAATCAAGACACACTGATGGAGGGTCCCAACTGCATCTCCACCCCACCCGGGCGCTGGGTGGCTGGAGGAAGGGGGAGGCCTGCCAGGGGTTGGTGGGGCCCTCAGGCTGCTGGGGGTTTGTGTCTTGCTTTCTGGGTCCAGATGGAGCAGAAGGTGGGGGCCAGGAGAGGGGTGATGTCATCTGTAAGTGGGGTCAAGACTCCAACTTGGCCATCTGGGCTGGGAGGGCTGTGTTCAGTGCTTTGCCTCCCCCACCCCTCCGTCTCTGCTCCCACCCTTCCCTGCTGCCTGTGCATGCCCAGGGCCTGTTGCTTCACCTGGAGGCTGAGTTTTGTGGCTTAACAATAGCCTGGAGGCCACCTTTCACCCCTCCTGGACACCTATGTCAGGACCCTTGGGTCCACCTGCATTCAGTGTCTGCTGAGGACAGGGAGAATGGGAGTTTGGAGGGGCCAGCACTCCTCTACACATGGGGCGAGCCAACCCAGGATACCCTAAGTCATATGGCACATGTACAGAGTGGAACACACAAAGTATGTGGGCCTCTTGTTAGCTCAGAAACCCCCTTGGGATGCCATCCCTAGAACCTTTGGACGAGGGCAAGCATGTGCTTAAGGAAATCTCAGGACTTGGGGGTTCTGTTCTGGGTGTGGGGCTGTCTGGGAGCCCATCACCTGGGACTGAATCCTTGTATTTTTCCCCAGGCTCCGCATCATCAGCCCCCCGGGGAGACCTGTTGTTCCTGCTGGACAGCTCGGCCAGTGTGTCACACTACGAGTTCTCCCGGGTCCGGGAGTTTGTGGGGCAGCTGGCTGCTCCGCTGCCCCTGGGCCCTGGGGCCCTGCGGGCTAGCCTGGTGCATGTGGGCAGTCAGCCCTACACCGAGTTTCCCTTTGACCAGCACAGTTCAAGCCAGGCTGTCCAGGATGCCATACGCGCTGCCACCCAGCGAATGGGTGACACTAACACAGGACTGGCACTGGCATATGCCAAGGAGCAGCTGTTTGCTGAAGAAGCGGGTGCCCGGCCAGGGGTGCCCAAGGTACTGGTGTGGGTGACAGACGGGGGCTCCAGCGATCCTGTGGGGCCACCCATGCAGGAACTCAAAGACCTGGGTGTCACTGTCTTCATTGTCAGCACTGGCAGGGGCAACCTGCTAGAGCTGTCAGCAGCTGCTTCGGCCCCTACTGAGAAGCACCTGCATTTCGTGGACGTGGATGATCTACACATCATCGCTCAGGAGCTGCGAGGCTCCATTCTCGGTAGGTGGGAGGAGGCAGGGCCCATGGAGCCCTAGCTGAGAGCTGCAGGAGGGGTTGAAACTTCAGGGGAAACTCATGTGCCCATTGCCCTGAGGGTGCTATGGGGAGGTGACTGACTCACAACTTCTCTGTGCACCATCCAGGAACACACTCGACTGGGTGCCCACATGTACCCCAACACTTGTGCTGTGGAGAGACAGGGGCAGGCAAGAGTGACCACTTCCAGGTGGGACTCCCTGCCAGTGTGGGTCAAGGGACTAAGGGTACATTGGGTAGGATGTGGGGGGTAAGGTAGAGAGGATGAGTTAGGAGGTCCTCAGTCTGGGACTCTGCCAAGCATGTCCAAGGACCAACTGGTTCACCAGGCCCACCGTGCCTGCAGAGGGGGGAAGCAGAAAGGCTAGGTGCCTTCCACAGAGCTCAGCCCCTACCTATTCTTGTTGAGGACAGCCATAGAGGGATTTGAGCCAGTTTTCACTGCAGGCCTGTTACAGGGAAGATCTGCTGAGCAGTGGTTGAGCAGCACCACACTGACTTTTTTCCAGAGCTCCCCAGCCAATCCCCAGAGAGGAAAGAGCTGGAGATGAAGGGCCAGGTAGCTGGTTAGATCTGCAGTAGCCACTGAAAAATGCCACCACCCCAAGGTCCTTACCAAATCTCTTTCCTATGGGTTAATCATCCACCCTGAGCAGGAAGGAGTTGGTCTGTGGGCTAGAAAGGGGTGGAGGGTCCTCCCAACATTTCTCCCAGGAACATCTGGCCCCTGGGTCAATCAACATAGCTGAGCCTGGAGGGAACAGGAGAAAAGGCTGCTTTCAGAATCGGGTGGTAGGGTGGGGGCTTCTGGGGCTGGGGCCCAGGATTAGCCAGGGGGAATATCAAGATCCAGATGGGCTTAACTGACTCCCACACTTTATCAGCCTTACTCACAGGCCCAGGGGCCCACTCCAGAGTCCTCCCTCCACTTGTCATGTCTCCACTGTCCCCCAGAGCTGCCTCCTGTACAACCTTCCATATCCTGGAAGCACTCTCTGGTCCCTCTTTGTGTTGACACTGGACCTTTTGCTGGCCACTCTGTTCTCACACAGGCCCTATCACCTGAGGGAACTTCTTCTAGGCTACTGGCCTGTGTATAGGTAGTGACTACTGTACCTTCCCCACGAGTCTGGGTTTGGTGCTAAAACAGGGAGTTCCTGGTGGGGCCATGAGTGGGGTGGGCAGCAACCCTTCTTCTACCCTTCCCTCAGCCCAGTCATCATTTTGCCTATCATTAGATCTGCTAGCTTGTCCAGGCTGACCTAAGTCCAGCATATACTTGGTGGATGGCCCCACCTGTCCTACTGGGGGCCATCTTCAGGTCTTCCCTGGATTAGTGAGAAACCTACTCCCTGATGCTTAGGAGGCCACTCTGTTCCCCTGACCCCTTGCACCACACAATCCTCAGATGCTGTGCAGCCTCAGCAGCTCCACGCCTCGGAGGTCACACCTAGCGGCTTCCGCCTGGCCTGGCCACCCCTGCTGACTGGGGACTCGGGCTACTACGTGGTGGAGCTGGTGCCCAGCGCCAAGCCCGGGGCTGTGAGACGCCAACAGCTGCCTGGGAACGCCACGGGCTGGACGTGGGCGGGCCTCGAACCGGACACAGACTATGACGTGGCCTTGCTACCCGAGTCCAACGTGCGCCTCCTGAGACCCCAGCACGTGCGAGTGCACACGCTGCCAGGTGGGATGGGGGCAGCCGAGTGGGACCCGGGATGGACCGGGGGGGTGCGCGTGCGGGGGGGTGCGCGCGCCCCTTTGCTCACGGCCCTTTCCCCGCACAGAGGAGCCGGGACCCGAGCGCATTGTCCTCTCGCACGTCAGACCGCGCAGCCTCCGCGTGAGCTGGGCTCCCGCGCTGGGTCCCGCCACCGCGCTGGGCTACCATGTGCAGCTCGGCTCGCTGCGGGGCGGCGCGGTGCAGCGCGTGGACGTGCCGGCCGGCCACAACAGCACCACCGTCCAGGGCCTGGCGCCCAGCACCGCCTACCTGGTGACCGTGACCGCCGTCTTCCGCTCTGGCCGCGAGAGGGCGCTGTCGGCCAAGGCCTGCACGCCCGCGGGAGAGCGCAGCCGCGCCCCGCGGTCCACGCCGCCCCACGCCGGGGGACGCGGCGCCTGAGCCGCCCGCCCCGCCATCCGAGGGCTCCTCGTCCCCAGCCCAGTGGGTGCCGAAGCCGAGGTTGTGCCCTGGGGGATAGGGTGCCGGCCCCGCCTTTGCCCCGCGAGACCCCCCCAGTCCTCTTCCCGCAGGCCTGCCCGCCGGTTCCCCTGCCGCATCCCTGGCAGTACTGTGCCAGCCCAGACCTGGGCACCATTTGGCGGGGAGATGGACACGGTGTCTGAGGGTGGGTCGAGTACATCAGACCCAGAACTGGCCCCCGGCCCAGGACCGGAGGCCACGGCCTCTGTGAGAAGTCCGGCCCTCTGGTCGGAGGGCCGGCATGGGTTGGAGGGAGTGCCCAGGGCCACTCAGGTTTGCCCATGGATAGAAAGTGGAGAGGGAAAGGGGAAAATCTGGTGCCGACACGGGTCCCCAAAGGGTTCGTGAGGGGACGGAAGGACAGGGAGGGGTACTGGGAGGCTGATGGTGTGACCAGGTAGTCTTCACCAAGACTGTGCCAGGCTGGTGGTCAGTGCCTGCTGGGGCCACTGGTCCTGACTTCCTGCCCTGGACCCAGATTGGGCCCAGCTATCAGAGAGCACCTTTTGGGAGGAATGGAACCAGAGTCTGGCATTGGGGACCTTGATGACAGGAGTGCCCCTACCACTGAGGCCAGCAATCAGGAGGCTTCTCCCCCTTCAGGGTGGGAGTCCTCCCTGGGAATGGACACAAGGTTTCCCTGGGTGGATTCACCAGGACTCTGCAACATTTGACCCTGAGGATCGTGCACAGGGCTGCCTCCAGCTAGTCATTATCTACTGCCCGGGGGCTCTGGACAAATTGCCAAGGGCAGTGAGGACCTGGCTGTCCCTGCAGCCCCCAGTTCTCCCGGAATTGCCTAAACCCATGCTCATTTTGCCTCTCCTCCACTAACAACCCAGACTCCAACTACAGTAAATCAGATGTAAACCTATACTGCAGTCTCCCTAGCATGCTTTATTTCTGGTCAAAACACTAGCTGTGGATGGGGCAACGTCAGAGGCCCAGTGTGCAGGGCCATGGTGTGTCGGGGAGGTGGGGTGCCCAGTGTCTGGACACAGACCAGTTGGCCTTCTGTAGTCCCTCTCTGCACCTTGTCTTCAGAACTCCTAGACCTTACTTCTGTAGCCCAGGACCGATCATCTGGACCAGTGCACTGCTGGAACCAGAGGATCAAGGACCTGGCTCTGCAGGGCTGTTCCCCTCAAAGCTTGTGGCCCACTGCCCATACATCCTGTACCCATTCCTGGCACAGGCTTTGGTTTCACCTCAGTTCTACCAGAGGCCGATGCCAGCTGTTCACAGGTGGTGGGATGTGAGCCTCCTATATTACTACCTCCACACCAAGGAGTGTCTCTTCCAAGGTCCTCTCTTGGAGGACCTGCCCCTTGTGTCATCCCTGGCATTTCTTAAGTCTTTAAATCTGGGCCACATCTCAGATCAGCATAGGCCCCAGGGAACAGTTTATACAGAATGGTTTTGTCCCAAACTCCCAGTGAATGGTTTGTTGCTCCGTCTCCCTCCACACTCCTGGCCCTGAGTCCTCTGCCCACTGAGGGTCCATGATAGATACCCTTTAGGATTTACACACATGCCAAGGGCCAGCCACTTTGTGAGGCCATTGTGAACTTTATTTTTTTGATAGTACTGGGGTTTGAATTTAGGGCTTCACATTTTCAAGGCAGGCACTCTGCCACTTGAGCTGCACCCCCAGTCCACTGTGAGCTTTTTTTTTTTTTTTTTTGCAGTGCCAGCACTTGAACTTGGGGCCTACACTTTGAGCCACTCCACCAGCCCTTTTTTGTGAAGGGTTTTTCAAGATAAGGTCTTGCAGAACTATTTGCACAGGCTGGCTTCAAACTGTGATCCTCCCGATCTCTGCTTCCTGAGTAGCTAGGATTACAGGTGTGAGCCACTGGTGTCTGGCTGTGAGCTTCCTGAGGAACCTAAACACCTGTAAGGGTTGTGCTGTGGTTGCTCCTGGTGAGACAAAAAGTAACAGGCCAGGTGTGGTCATACACGCCTGTAATACTGGCACTCTGGAGTCCAAGGCCATCCTGTGTGACATCATGAGTTTGAAGTGAGCCCAGGCTAGATAATGAGACTCTGTCTCAAACAAAAAAAGCAACAGGGTTGTGACCCATGTGGCAGGTATCCAGGAAGGCAGAATTTGGAAGATCCTAGCAACTGTGAGAAGACTCCAAAGGGAGGTTACTGCAGCCATTTTTGCACTATGAGGGGGGCTTCTGTCAGCATCACCAATTTGTAGTGGACAAATCCAGGATTTCGTCAAGGCCACAGTGGGACTGGCCCATGAGATTGGATAGTAAGCTTCAATGGCGGACCAGTACCCACTCCCCCAGCAGGAGGGGCAGAGAGCCGCCCCCACTGAGGGAGGTCACAGCATTCCAAGTCTCTAAGCTCCGGGGATGTAGCTGTTTGTGGGAAGGCTGGATGATGGTATAGGATCTGAAGTTTAGGTTTCTGAGGAGTTGTGTGTCCAAAGAGTGGGTTATGCATCAGGGAACTGCCCAACATGGCTCTGCTACCACCCTGGAGCAGGGTTGTTTTCATGGAGACAGTAAGAAGGGCTGTCCGCTCCCAAGAAGTATAACAGTGTCCTATTGGGGAGCATTGGGGGGTGGAGAGAGCAGTGTAGGAAAATGGAAACCCAGGTGCAATAGCTGTGTGTCACTTCTTTTTCTGAGATGAAAAATGATCTTTTGACATACACTTTTTTTTAAAGCCAGTGAATGTCATATATCCCCTTGGAATGAGTATGGTGAGGTAGGGAGCCAGGAAGACCTCCAACGTGTGTGTGTGGGGTCCCGACCCTCAGACAGGAGCAGGACCCAGCCCAGGCAAGGGATTCTGGGAGGAGGAGAAGATACAGACACCTGGGCAGGGGCACAGCAGGGACGACCACTAATTGTACTCATGTCAGAAATATCAGTGAACTTAGCCAAGCATGGGTGGCTCATGCCTGTAATCCTAGCTACTCAGGAGGCAGAGATCAGGAGGATCTAGGTTCAAAGCCGCCCCGGAAAATAGTACAGTGAGACCCTATCTCAAAAAAACCTTTAAAAAATAGGGCTAGGAGTGGCTCAAAAAGAAAAAAGAAGTATCAGTGAACCTGCTGTGATAGTTACACCCTCTGTGCCACAGACTAGATAGCTATTATTGAAGGCAGAGGCCCCCTGTCCCCACTAGGTGTGAGGACAGGCATAGGACAGCAGCAGTCCGCCTCAGCAGGAACTGGAAGCCATAGCTCTGGAGTTGTAGGTGTAGGATGCATAGTGCTGCCCAGGGGAGGCTCACACCTTCTTGGTGCTCCCCATGACTTTGACATCACCAACCAGCTGCCTTTTCAGTTCTAGGACAGCCACACTTGCCACAAAGTCTCCTGATTAGAGTGGGAGGCTCCTCACTGGTGGCTTCCCTGAAGGGCCAACTCACAGTCCCTCCCCAGAACATTTAGGAATACAAAGGCACGTTGGTGGCCATGGACTGGAGCAGGACAGGGCAGCTGAGTGCCAGCACTAAGGCCACCATGACCCCACCTGGAAGTACGTATATCCGTACATCTGTGGGGTTAGCATCAGGGCCTCTGTGGGGGAGGGGAAGGAGAAGTGGGTGAACATGCCAGTCAGGGTGGAGGCAGGCCTCCAGATGGGTTGTGGCAACTGTGAGGGAGACCAGAACCAGCAGGTGCTTTTGGAAGTTAGGATGAATGGGATATGGAAGAGCCTAGTCAGCTGGGGGAGAGGGACTGACTCCTCACTCCTAAAGACTAGACCTCCCTAGGAGGACAGGACCACAGAGTGATGGCAGGGGGCAGCAATGGCTTTACCTTGTGATGGCTATAGGAGGGGGTCTAGGTATAAAGGGACAGACTTCTGCACAGGTGCTGTCCATGGAAGAATGGGCAGGACAGATAGTCAGCCCCTGAAACTTTGGTGCTAGGAAGCTCTGGAGCTAGGTTGGTCCTGGGGGCCATGCACCTCACTGGAAGGACACAGCTCTGGTGAACTGTACAGCTCAGCTCCCCATAGGTCTGGTTATAGGCAGAGAACTCAAAAATCACACTCCCTGCATGCATTCTGGGAGCACCCTGGGAAATGTGTAGCCTCTCAAGGTCAGGCTAGAGGCCAGGCTGTCCACCTGTATCTTGAACCTCTGCAATCTCTCCTCTAGATCTTTAATGCTGGAGAACCCCCTCAGAGACAGAAGCAGTGCTTCTGGGGAGCAAGGTTAGGAAGGATTCATCAGCAAGACAGAAGAGCAGCAGCAGCTGAGAACCTCGCATTTGTCAATTAAATGAAAATGCTTCAGATAAAAAGCAACACCATGACTCCCCTTCCTTAGTGTCTTTAGAAAGGGCATGTCTGTCCTCCCAAATGGTCTAGGATGTTAAGTATCAAACACAAGTGGATGAGACATTCTGTACGCACCATCAGAATATAAAGTGTGGAGCACAGAGGGAAGGGGCTACCTCTGTTCTCTTTTCAGTTTCTCTTCAAAGCATTTACCAAAATCATGAGACAGAAATCAACACTTTTTTTTTTTTTTTGGAGGCGGACAGGGGTAGGGTGTTTCACTAAGCTGTCCAGACTGACCTGGAACTCCAGGGCTGCAGTGATTCTCCTGCCTCAGCCTGACACTTTTTTTTTTTTTAACTTAAGCTAAGTTAAATGAAATTATTAAAATACACAACTTCATAAAGGGCAAGCTTGCTAAATGCTTGAGGATGGGCAGAAATCAGGCAGGCACTCCTCTCCTCTTTCTTATCATCTAAACTCTCTCCCCTTGCCTCCCCCCACACACACACACACACACACACACTCTCTCTCTCTCTCTCTCTCTCCATGCTGTGGGAGGGTGGGGTTTGCAGCTAGTGCAAAAAAGTTTGTGCAACTCATTTGGTTCCTACTCATGGGTGTGTGTGTGTGTGTGTGTGTGTGTGTGTGTGTCAGAATCATAGAATTACCTTGGAGTTTTAAACTTTTTCCTATTTTTATTCAGGCTTGAAATTCTTTCCAGCCAAGTCGGAAAAGTTACTGCATAGAGTTCGTGAACTCAACCAATTTTATCAAGGAAGCCGGGGACCAAGATGCTGACTTTGGACATTATGGGTTCCTCAGGGACTCCAGCCTTGGTCCATGCTGGTCTCCTCTGGCCCCAAGAGAGGCCATCCTGCCCTTTGTCCCCGAGACGGGCGCGTGGCCTGCGTAGGTTCCCAAGGAGGAGCGCTCATTGCTTAGCGATCAGAAGACTGCAAAAGCTTCAGCGAGGGCACCCTCTGCGCCCCGGGGAGGGGGAGAGCGAGAGGAAGTTCTCTCATTTTCAAAATTCCGGGCTTTATAATGCAAAGCAGTGCGAAAGAATGAAGGAGATGGTGTATGTATGTGTGTGGAGGGAGAGTATTCGTTTTGCAGGTCCGCCCTTTACCTGACCGACGGTAGCAAAAACTGGCCTGGGACTCGATCTGTGAAGTTACTAAGCGCCAACCTTGTGCGCCAGGCACGGAGACCCTCATCGCAGCCTCATGCCTGCCGCCCTGCGGCTCGCCCAGGTCGCACCGTGGCTCCCGAGCCCTCGCTGCCCAGTCCGAGAACCCACGAAGTTCTGCGGGCTCACAGCGGGGGCGGTGGGTCCGTCCAGGAGAGCCCATGTCGCGGAGCCGGCCCCCTCCCCTCGGCCCTGGTGCTCACAGCCTCGCGTCGCCACCGCCGGGAGTCGCTCCGTGTCCCCACGCATGAGTTAAGTCTGCCCTGCGGGTCCGCCACCTTCCCCAGGTCGTCCCTCCCTCGGCCGCTCCATTTGTCCAGGACTCACTGCAGCAGCGTGTCCACAGCCTGTGCGACGTGGGTCCCCTCGACCCCCAGAGCTCCTGACCTTCCGCTGAGGTCTCAACTGGAGTTCCGCGGGCGCCCATAGCAACCAAGACAGCCCTGTTGCTAAGAGGCGCGCACACACCACTCCGGCAATTTTGTCCGTGCTTGATTCCGTAATGAAGCGCCCCGCCCCGCCCCGCCCCAGAGCCCAATCGAGCAATCGCAGTGGTGACGGCGATGACGTCACGACAAACAAGACCAATCCGAGGGCTGCATGTGGCGTGGCCCTCCTGGGCTTCCGTCGTCCGGAAGGAAGGGGTGTGTGTCGCGTTTGCGCAGTGGCCCTGGCCGCCTGCTCCGGGCGCGTGGCGGCTGCTTGGACCCGCGCGAGTCACGCTCGAGTCCGGGTCCCGGCAGCTCGCGGTGCTCACGGGCCATGTCGTGGCTCTTTGGCATCAACAAGGGCCCCAAGGGCGAAGGTACAGGGTCGCCGCTGTCCTTGCCGCCCGTGCAGCCCGGGGCCGAGGGTGGTGGCGACCGCGGCGCGGGAGACCGACCGGCGCCCAAGGACAAATGGAGCAACTTCGATCCGACGGGCCTGGAGCGCGCGGCCAAGGCGGCGCGCGAGCTGGAACACTCGCGTGAGTGAGGCGGGCTGGGGAGGGCCCAGGAAAGCGGGGTCCCCGGCGGCTCTTAGCGCTTGACCTCGTGGTAGTGATGAATGAAAGTGGGTCCACTTCTCAGGTGACCTGATCGGACCCGGGAGTCACGAGGCCAGAGCCTCTTGCGTGCCGGGAGACTCAGGTCCTGTCACCCTCTTGTACCTTCCAGGCGTCCTGAGGCCAGTGCAGAGGAGTTTTCAGAGGTGCAGGTGGCAGGTGCCGTGACTGTGCCCATAGGTCCTTCTGCTCTTGCCGCCTCCACGTGGGGGCAGGCCAGGCGTGGCCTGGTTGGGAGATCCCTTTGTGTGGTTGGAAGCTTTGCACTTAAAAAGGAGAACATGTTTGAAAGTCGTTTGGCTTTGAGGAAAATACAGCAGGCCAGAGGTTGCTGACCTAGGCTCATGACCTCTTTGAGCCAGGTGTCACCACTGTCTGGATCTTCCTTAAGCACAGGTCTCCTTCCCTAACCTTCGGTTCTCCTGTGATTTTGATGATTTACATCAAGATGTCGTTTTAAGTGTTCAGAGCCTGGAAGGTGGAAGGTGCTAAATAAATGCTGACTGAAAGAACACAGTGGTTCTCAAACTAAACTTTATCTAAGTGTGGGCTCTGCTTTCTCAAACCAAGGAAAACTTGAAGAGGGATAAGCAGAGGCTCTCTGATTGCCCTTCCCCAGTTGTCTATGAGAACATCTTAGGCAAAGATCCCTGGACCTGGCTGGTTCTCAGATCCCCCCAGGGACATTAAAAGCTTCCAGTTTTGGGCCCAGGACAACATGTTTCTTCTGGACATCGGGACCAGATAATTTTGTAGACACGTTACTAAGTATGCTAGATCACTTTTAATGATTAGGGAAGAGTTTTAGGAAACAATTACTGGGCTTCAGTGCATTTCAGATGCTACCAGACTTTTGACCCCAGACCTGATACTGCTAAGCCTGTTATAGGCTTAGCTAGGGGACACCTTTCTGCCCCAGCTTCTGGGGTTTTGCCCACTACCCATGCATACATGGCACCCATGTTCCTGTCTACTGTGCTGGAATGAGAGCCCAACGAGCTGTTGCTCCCATGTTCTGCTCAGAGCTTGGCTTCCTAGCTCCCCAGTCAAACGGGGCAGGCCTGGTTCTTCCTGTGCTTCTCCTCCGGGGTGGTGCTTTCATCTGTCTTTCTGGTGAGCCCTGAAGGCTTCATAAAGTAGGACAGAGAATGTGGTGGGCAAAGGAACAAGCCAGGGACATTGTGGCATCAGGAGTGGAATCTCAGGTGGTTCCATGTTTTTGTGTTAAAAGATTTTTATGATGAAATTGTGAACGGAAAACTGTCATTGAAGAAAATTTGAAGATCTGGTGTGTAGGCCTTTTCAATTAGAGTACCAGAAGTCACATTTTTTCAGAACATCTCAGTATTGATGGATATTAGTTCCACTCCATGAATGAAACACACGTAGAAGATACTTATAAATATATATGTACTTTTGAGGGGGGTGGGGGGCGGTATTAGGGTTTGAACTCAGGGTCTCACGTTTGCTAGGCAGGCACTCTTAACACTTGAGTCATGAGCCACCCCCCCCCCATGGTTTTTTTATTCATTACAGGGGTTTGAACTCAGGACTTATACCTTGAGCCATTCCATCAGCCCTTTTTGTGATGAGTTTTTTCAAGATAGGGTCTTGAGAACTATTTGCCCCAAGCTGGCTTCAAACTGAGATCCTCTTGATCTCTGCCTCCTGAGTAGCTAGGATTATAGACATGAGTCACTGGTGCCTGGCTTTTTTTATATTTATAACCTCAAGTGCATTAGCTTGTTACCTCATTTTAATTCTGAATAGTCTTTTTGTTGCCAGCATGTGCTGGCAAGAAACATCATTTATCAGTGATGGTAGATAATAGGAAGCTTAAGAAAAATGGACACTTCAGCCACAGTGCCCCTTTTTGCTTAAATGAGAGATACCTGTGGACCCCATCTTCTATTGTAGATGGGTGTGTGGTGGCCTTTCTGATGGGGTTCTCTGCAGTGTGAGAGAACCCCATCATGGACTCAATCATGCTTTTTGTTGGGGATGGGCCAGCAGCTTGGGAGGGAGGGGCCATCTTGCCAGGTCTAACCAGGAATGAGGGTAGGAAGGTGAAGTAGACTGGGAAAATGGCCTGAGTGCATCCAGGTTAAGGCAATTCTGTTTCTCAGAAAGCTTCCTTGACATGAGTGAGTGCTTGCCCTCTGGCCACAGTTGCATCTGGTGTCACCCTTAACACCCTTACACCCAATGTCCTAATGTCCTCTTTTCTGCATCCTGTAGGTCATGCCAAGGAGGCACTGAACCTTGCACAGATGCAAGAGCAGACGCTACAGCTGGAACAACAGTCCAAGCTTAAGGTGAGTGGGCTGGTGCGATGGGAGGGTCTGGGGGGATGTACACAGATGATGGGCCCAGGGCCCAGTGGTGAAGGCAGACAGTATGGGGGGGCACGTTTCTACAGCAGAGCCACCTGGGAGGGCAGGTGTAGATGATGTATGTCTGGTCCTCTTAAGGCAGAAGATGTTTTGGGAAATTCTTTATTTCTCTGTACTCAGCAGGGAGATTCCCCCTCAGCATCATGAGAGTTTTTAACTATCAATACAAATCCCAAGACATTACACAAAACATCCATAAGAACTTTTTTCATTAAAACAAAATTCACTGAACATTTCCTGTGTAGTCCAACATAAAACGGACAAACGGTACATCTTTTGTCTTACAGTCTGCATGCAATGGAAAAACAAGTGTGTGTGTACATACGTACACACATTTTTACACAGTTTAATAGACAGCAGCAGGTTGGCAGTATGTCTGTAGACAAGAAATGCCTTAATAAAAATAATCAGAACCTACTCAACATCAGTCTTTTTCATAACCGAATGTTAGCGCATTAATGAAAACTAGTCAGTTAGGCTCCTAGTACACATTTCCATTATTACTTAACTCGTAGTATCAGTGTCCTCCTTGGTCTTCACAACTGACATAGAAAATTGTTGAAGAGTATGGCAAACATCAAAACAAAAGAGCCCCCGACTTGTAGGCATGAATAAGTATATAATGGATTTTTTTCCCCTACCAGTGAATTTTCAAGCCATCAGGAAATCACCAGAACTGGGGCTAGTTGTGGCTTAAGCAGCAGAGTACCTGACTAGCAAGCATGAAGCCCCAAGTTCAAACGCTAGTATCGCAAAAATAAATAAATAAATACAGGGGTGGGGTGGCTAGTTAGTGACTCAAGTAGTAGTGTCATAACTGATTCTCTTTTTTTTTTTGGCGGTGGTGGGGTTTGAAAACAAGGGCTTCACGCTTGCTAAGCCAGCCCCTCTACACTTGAATGTCTCCAGCACTAGAAATGAATTTACCAATTTATTTTGTCTATATCTGAGGACCAAGAATCAAAGTTAAGCGTTTAAGCCAGGCATGGTGGTACATGCCTGTAATCCCAGCTATTCAGGAGGCAGAAGCAGGAGGATTGTGAGATTGAGGCCAGCCTGGGCCAAAAGGTAATGAGACCGTATCTCAAATACAATAAAAACAAAAGGGCTGGGGTCATAGCTTAAGTGGTAGAGCACTTGCGTAGCATGCATGAGGCCCTGAGTTGTATCCCTAGTCCTGCAAAAAAAAAAAAAAAAAAAAACCCTTAGTGTTTAGGTGGGTTTGGAAATCCAGCCACCATTTGAAAACTGCCTTTAAAAAATGACCACTGCCAGACACAGAGATCAGGAGGATCCTGGTTTGAAGTCAGCCCGGACAAATAGTTCTGAAGACCTTATCTCGAAAATAACCCAATACAAAACAGGACTGGCGGAGTGGCTCAAGTGGTAAGAGTACCAGCCTAGCAATTGTGAGGTCCTCAGTTCAAACCCTAGTACCACCAAAAAAAAAAATCCAAAAAAACCACCAAAAATAAGTTCACTGAATTTATTTTAAAAATCATAAAATGTTTCTCACAAAAGAGCATTCATTGCATTATGCACACTGCTCTGAAAAAAATTCCAGGGACATGTTACTTTCTTCCCTGTCCCACCTCCCTAGAATGTTTACAGTGACCACAAAGCAAGGTGTTCACAAAAATGCTTTTTGTTGTTTTGTTTTGTTTTTTAAAACCACCAACAATGAACAAAAAGTAAAATTTTCTCAGTGTTGATGCTGCACAGATGAGCAGCCCTAGGGAGAGGGTGTGGAGGCATCCTGAGTGGTGTGTTCTGCAGGAGTATGAGGCTGCTGTGGAGCAGCTGAAGAGTGAGCAGATCCGTGTGCAGGCTGAGGAGAGGAGGAAGACCCCTGAGTGAAGAGACGCGGCAGCACCAGGCTGTAAGGGCACAGTGGCCACTTATATTGGAAGCCCAGGGTGATGGGTGTGGGGGATGGGATCAGCTCTGAATCTCTTTCTTATTGACCAATCAAGGATCTACTGGGTGTCAGTCATTATAACCAAGCCCTGAAACACCCAGTGCACAAGTCCTTGTACAACACCTTCAGTGCCATCCCACCCCCAGCCCTGTGTCCACATGTTTATGGGACGTGGGCAGCTTTTTTGAGATCTTAGCACCGAATCAAGGTGGGGCCCTAACTGACTTCTGGCCCATCTAGTGACTTCCCAGACAAGGAAGTGTCCTCAATGCTGTCTTCCTCCCTAGAGGGCCCAGTACCAGGACAAGCTGGCCAGGCAGCGCTATGAGGACCAGTTGAAGCAACAGGTGAGCAAGGCACACCTTCTCTGTCATGAGCACGGGCAACTTTGTGGGGCTGACGGGTGGGCCAAGTTTATGGGTGAGAATGTGTGGGTCATTTTCTGTTGCTGACTGCTGGAATATGCGCACAGGCCCATGTGCACAAAGATACTCCCAGGCACAGAAATGCATACAGCCACCCACGTGCAGAGATGCCTGCACACACATGTACATAGAAACCTGCAGGTGCATGCATATGCCTTCCTGTGCGACCTCCACAGCAAAGGTAGGTTTTTTAGCTGCTCTCAGGCATCTTGTCAGTCAAGGACTTTTCTGGAGAGCACCTGGCTGACCAGTGGTTAGCTGAGGGCAAGGTCCCAGGGCACTCCAAAGCCTGGATGACTCTCTCTTGGACATTGCTGGCTCCTAGCTGCAGGGACTAATCAACCTCCGTGTGAGTTCCTGCCTGTTGTGGGCATCAGCACTGTTAAACTCAGCAGGCAAAGAGCATTGTCCTATAAGACTTAATTGATAGCAGTGCTGCTGAGAGCTCCTTTGCAGCAACTGTGCTGGTGAAGCTGCTTCTGCCTTGGCACATCCTGAGGCAGGGTCAAATGTGCCTATATCAAGTGCATAGGATGCAGGGATGCTGGGGCTCCTCAAGTGGGTGGAAACTTTTCTGGTTTGGAGTAGCTGAAACTTGTTGACTTGATGTTCGTTATTTTGCTGATTTTAGCTTTTCCCAACCAGGTGCAGTGGCTCAAGCCTATAACCCTAGCTAATTGGGAGGCAGAGATTGGGAGGATCACAGTTAAATGCCAGCCTGGGCAAAAATTTCTTGAGACCGTCATCTCAACCAATAAAACCTGGACCTGGTGGCACATGCCTGTCATCCTAGGTACCCAACAGGCATAAATAGGGTTGTGGTCCAGGTTGTCCCTGCTGTAAAGTGAGACCCTGTCTCTAAAATAACCCACACAAAAAGGGCTGGGGGTGTGGCTCAAATGGCAGAGCGCCTGTCTAACAAGTGTAAAGGCTGAGTTCAAACCCCATTACCACCAAAACTTTAAAGAAAAAAAAAAAACTTTTCCCTTTTCTGTGGCTTCTCAGCAACTTCTGAACGAAGAGAATTTACGGAAGCAGGAGGAGTCTGTGCAGAAGCAGGAGGCCATGCGGCGAGGTAGGAGGAGACTTGGGTGAGCAGGGGTCTGCTGGTGGGGAAGTGGCTGTGCTGGGCACCTCAGTCCCTAAGAAAAGTCTGAATGGTGGCTCACTGAGATTCCCTTCAGGACTGCAGTCATTGTCTGTGCTTTATCACTGAGGTGCAGGGTCCTCGGCCTCTGTTGTTAGGGCTTCACTCTGGGGCAGAGGCTTCATCTGTAGTCTGTCCTCTGTAGCATCTGGGCAGGCAGTTCTGGGACATGGAGTGAGGCCATGCATACATGCTTCCCAGCAGGAAGAACAGTATTTCCAGTCTTTTGTGGGGGGACTTGAAGTGACTGTGTTGGAGCCTCTTGCAGGGACAGTGGCTTTTCACTTGGTGTTCATTCTTATGACTGATAAACAGGGACATGTGACTATATTGCATGACTTTTCTGGCATTTTGATAGTTGAGTTTCAGCATCACTAAGGTTTCTGTTGTGATTCTTTGTATATTTTGTTTCTTTAAACATGAAACGTGTTGTCCTAAGAAGGGTGGGCTGAGCCAGAGAACCTGGTTTCAGGTCTCCTCCATGGGCTGGAATGGCTGGCCCCAGAGTGTGCTCTGCTCCCTGGGACACTGCATTGTTCCTGGTCTGAGCAGTGCCAAGGCCTGCATATGTGTGTCAGCATTGTGGGAAGAGGCGGGCATTACCTGGACTGAGTGCTGCTATCCCTGCCTTTCCTGGGGCAGCCACTGTGGAGCGGGAGATGGAGCTGCGACATAAGAACGAGATGCTGAGGGTGGAGGCTGAGGCCCGGGCTCGGGCCAGAGCTGATCGGGAGAATGCAGACATCATCCGGGAGCAGATCCGCCTAAAGGCTGCTGAGCACCGTCAGACCATCCTGGAGTCCATCAGGTGAGGCTGTAGCCAGAGCCCAGTGCTGCTGTCTCTGTGTCCGCAGAGGGAGCTGGTGAGGCACTGTCAGAAGGTGCCCTTCAGGTCCTCTGGGACCTGCAGCTCTGAGTCAGCACCATGGTAGGGACTCTGACCCTGTCGTGGCAGGCCTTTGCTTACTGACCTTTGGGACTGACCTCTGAGCTTAGGAGGCTTCGTCATGGGCTCACTATGATCTCTAGACAAGTGTTCACGTCTCCATGTCCTCCCAGACACATGGTCATTTTCCTTTGCAGGACAGCTGGCACTCTGTTTGGCGAAGGATTTCGTGCCTTTGTGACAGACTGGGACAAAGTAACAGCTACGGTAACCACATATCCCAGGGGCAGGCCTGGTGGACGGCTCTGGGGCACAGTGTGTGGGGGCCTGTCCATGAGTCTAGACCCCATTCCTTGCTGGGGAGACATGCGACGCCCACAGACACACTGAACATTGGTGCTCCCACACAGAGCAGCCAGGCTTGAGCTACAGCAGGTGCTCCTCAAGCTGGTGCAGAAACTCACTCAGTTATGGCCAAGCCTCTAGGTTTGGGGGCGTTTTTGAACAATTCAGTGTTGTCTTAAATCAATTTTGTGTTGCCGTAACAAAGTATCCAAGACTGGGTAACTTATAAAGCAAGGAAGTTATCTGGCTCACTGTGCTAGTGCTGGAGAGTTCAAATAGCCACACAAAATGAACCTCTTCTAGGCTCCACCTTGAAGGTTCTGTTGCCTCCACAACTCCACACTAGAGACCAAGCCCCCAGAACATGGATGTTTGGGGAATAAACCACACCCAGCCATAACAAACTGCTGGTGTCAGCAGCCTGTGGTGAGGCTCAGGCTTCCTTCTGACCCAGAGCCCAGAAGACAGACATAGGAAAGGTCTGGAGCTCACTTTCCAATGTCCTTGGGAGAGGGTAGCTGGAATTTTCTTGCCTGGCACATTTAGCAGAGTGGGCCCAGCCAACTCCAGGGAGCAGGAGATGGATACTGACACCAGCCATGCAGGCCTGAAGCCTCTTCAAGCCTCTGAGGTTCGCACCCTGTGTTAGCAGTTGGCCCACCAGCAGGGAACGCTCAAGGTGCGTGCTAGCTGGCAGGGATGTTTGCTCATGATGATTTGGTCAGTACCCCCTGGCCCTGGCACACTGTGGGCGCCTGCATGCAGTGCGTGACCAGAATACTCACGAATGTCACAGAATGTCTACAGATGCTGTTCTCGTTGGAAGTGATGGGAAGATGCCTCTTAACGTGTTAAAGTGAAGGCCTGCTCAGTGTGTTAAGCCTTCATCTTTAAGAGGGATTAGCGATTTCAGAGTAGCCTTGTTTTCCAGGAGCAAGGAAAAGTTTAGCTTCTTCAGTGGGTAAGAAATCAGGGGATAAGCCAGATGCTAGTGGCTCACGCCTGTAGTCCTAGCTACTCAGGAGGCAGAGATCAGGAGTATCAAGGTTCGAAGCCAGTCCTGGACAAATAGTTTGCAAGACCCTATCTCGAAAAAACCCATCACAAAAAAAGGACTTCGAGGAGTGGCTTAAGCAGTAAGAGCACCGACCTAGCAAGCATAAGGTCCTGAGTTCAAACTCCAGTGCTGCCATTAAAAAAGAAAAAAGAAAAATCAATGGAGGATGTGATTCTCGTGGGCAGCCAGTCTGGCTACCCCACACAGTCACATTCACCCTGCAGCCTCCACCTTAGAGGATTCACGATACAAAGCTCAGAGAGAAACTCTGATAAAGATAGGTGGTGATAAGCTTTTGATCCCTTCCCTGTCTTGTGCAAGTAGCACGGCCTGGCTGTGGGATTGAGGTTCTAGACTCAGTCATCATTCATGAGGTGCTAGCAGAAGACCCTTGCTGTCCCTCAGCTGCAGGTGTAGACTGCTGTCCTTCTGTTCCAGGTGGCTGGATTGACACTGCTGGCTGTTGGAGTCTATTCTGCCAAGAACGCCACTGCGGTTGCCGGCCGGTATATTGAGGCTCGATTAGGGAAGCCATCCCTAGTGAGGGAGACCTCCCGCATCTCAGTGTTGGAGGCACTGAGGCACCCTGTCCAGGTAAGGCTGAGTGAGAGCCTAGGGCTTTGTGTCCTTCCCAGGTTTCTTCCCACATCACAGGCAAGTGGTGTACATTCTATCTCTGTTCTCCCTTTTACCCAAATGGCATCAACTCCTTCCTGCATGTTGGCTTGGGTGTTTATCCCTGCCTGGTGTTCCCATCAGGCCTTCACATCGCTGTGCACTTCAGCTCTTCATAAACTCTGGGCTCCAGTGTCTGTCCTGACACAGAAGGTATGAGGAGTAGTTTGGCTCTGGCTGCCTCCTTCAGTAGCTGAGCTGCTCAGCCTTATGGATCTGTTCTCTGCATGGGCTGTGGATGGATCTCCTCCAGTTGCTCAGGGCAGGTGGTCAGTAAAGAACTGATAAACTGGCAGGCATGGTGATGCATGCTGTAGTCCCAGTACTTGGGATGCTGAGGCAGGATGGTCATGAGTTCAGGACCAGCCTGGGCAAATAGTTCCTGAGACCCCATCTCTAGAGCAAAATGGACTGGAGGTGTGGCTCAAGCAATAGAGCACCTGCTTTGCAAGCGTGAAGCCCTGATTTCAAACCCATGTCCCACCAGAAAATAAACAGATAAATTTAAAAAATTAAAGAGGGCTGGGGGATGTGACTTGGTGGTAGGGTGCTTGCCTAACAGGCACAGCATCCTGGGTTCCAGCCCCAGCACTGCGGGAAGACAATAAAAGTCGGGACTGTACATCCCACCAAGCACAACATCACACATGGTTCCAGCTCTGATGCCATGGTCCTGGCTGGGGACTCTGCAGACTGGTGGGTTGCTGCAGCTCTGTGCCCAGCCAACCCTGATGACCCTCCCACAGGTCAGCAGGCGTCTCCTCAGCAGGCCGCAGGACGCGCTGGAGGGCGTTGTTCTCAGTGTAAGTCTGTGGCAGCAGGGGTCTGGGAGGGCTGAGCTGCTGTGTCCAGTCCCCCTGGTACTTAGGCCAACACCTTTTGGTGCCTGAAACTCACATGCTGTCTATAAACAGCCTGCATTTAGCTGCCCTTGAGCTAGTCCAGGGAGTGTCCATGGACCAGTTGCCCCCCAAGGCTGTCCTTGGGCTCAGGGAGAAGGTTCCCCAAACCGCATCTCCCCCTGCCAGCCCAGCCTGGAGGCACGGGTGCGGGACATCGCCATAGCAACAAGGAATACCAAGAGGAACAAAAGCCTATATAGGAATATTCTCATGTACGGGCCACCAGGGACCGGCAAGACACTGTTTGCCAAGGTGAGGGCAACTGGCCATGCAGGTGGGATGGGATGGGATGGGATGGGATGGGATGGGATGCCTCAGGGCGGGTGTTGTTTGCTGGCCCTCTGGGCTCAGGGTGCTACTCTGGATGGAGGGGCTTCCCAGCATGTCTAGTGTGAAGGAACTGTCCATGTTGGGAAGAGCTGGTGGAACTGTGAGCTTTGCAGCAGGAAAGGGAACATCTGCTCTGTCTCTCCCACCCCGTCTTGCCCAGAAACTCGCACTACACTCAGGCATGGACTACGCCATCATGACAGGCGGAGACGTGGCTCCCATGGGACGGGAGGGTGTGACCGCCATGCACAAGGTCTTCGACTGGGCCAGCACCAGCCGGCGAGGGTGAGAACACCACCCCCAACACGCACGCGCACACACACGCGCACGCACACACACGCACGCACACACGAGCTCTGGCTCTAGAGTCCCACCAGGCTGCCCCTGGGAGGGTCTCTGGCTGGCCTGCTAAGGCCTTGAGGCTTCCTATTGCTCTATCCTTGAGACTGTATGGGAGGCCCCAGGCGGCCTCTATCCTCTGAGAACACCTGGGGCAGGCACTCGTGCTGTGGAGATTTCATGATGAGGGTGAGCTGCTAGTGGTCACAGGGCCTCTAGTGCAAGAGGGTTGCCAGTACTGAGGGCCAAATGGGGAGGGTGCTGCACTCAGGCTTCCAGCCATGGGTCCTCCTTGAATGTTTGCACATGTGTGCATCCTGCTTGACACATGCTGTCAGAGCTGCAGTCTAGGCACTGTGTTGGGTGCTTGAAGCGGTGAGGTGGTTTCACTGGGTCAGCATGTTAGAGTTCCTAACCTGGCGGCTTCTCCCTGGGGACTGCTCCACACAGCCTGCTTCCAGGAGCTTCTAGGCTCAGGTGGTTCAAGCATCCCTTCACCTGGCCACCCTCTCATTGCAGCCTTCTGCTCTTTGTGGACGAAGCAGATGCCTTCCTCAGAAAGCGGGCCACTGTGAGTGTTCTGGAAGCCTTTTTGCCCCTGGAAGGTGATCAGGGCTGGGTGCTCTGACTAGGTCCAACCTTGTGGTTGCCATGTCCTAGAACAGGTTGGGCCAGGCTGGCTGTGCTGGTCAGGGCTGAGGCTTAGGGTTATGGTTTTGCTCTGAAGTTAAAGCTAAAGTGTATTTGGCTTGGTTTGGTTTGGGGTTTCAGTGCTGGGGATTGAACCAGGGCCTCGTGCACACTAAGCTTGCACTCCACTAGTGGTGCTCTGCCCCTCAGCATCATTTCTCAATCTGCTGGAAGCTAAGTTTTGGCTTTCAAGTCAGGGTTTATGTTCCTGCACCTGCCTGGCCCTCCAACACTGGCCCCTGTGGACCCTTCTCCTTGGACATTTATAAAACTTTGCTTCTCCAGCTGGAGACTGATCCCAGAACTTTCTCTGCAGGAGAAGATAAGTGAAGACCTCAGGGCTACTCTAAATGCCTTCCTACACAGGACGGGCCAGCACAGCAGCAAGTAAGGGCAGCCCCACCCCAGCCTGTGCACAGTACTTTGTCACCCTTGATCCTCATGAGGAAAACTGAGGCACTAACTGGGCACACATGGCTGCTAAGAGGCAGGACAGAGAATATAGTGCCCAGTATCTGGGCAGCATTGGGTTGATCTTGACACCCCTACTAGGGAAGGGCTGGAGGTCATGGAAAACACATGTCAGAGTCTCCTGGCAGAGCCAGGTGGTCACCTTTGTCCACACACCCAGGTCAGGCCTTCACATTACCACCCCAGCCTGCATATCCCCTCCCGATGGCCGAGGTTGCCCCATGATTGTGATATACTTCCTTGGGGACACAGGCAGCCTGGGTGCGAGCCGAGCATGTTTGCTCTCACTGGGAGCTGGTACAGGAACAGGTCTTAAGGGTCTTCGGAAGGGGCTGCATTTTGAGTAGCTTCCCTGGGCTTCCTGCCCACTAAGGTAATTGTTGGGACGGGTGCATATGGCAGGGCACACTTTTCCCTTCCAAATCCCTTAATCCTTTTCCTTGCTTGCTCATCACCGGGGGAAGACCAAGCCCTCTAGCCAGTATGTGTGCACCTTCTCAGGTGCAGAGCCAGGCCTTTCCAAGAGGCAAGGCTAGGTTCTTGGCCAGTAGAGTTGATGCTCCCACGCAGGGGACCCTACGCCCTGGTCCAGTGTAGGTCCCTCACTTGCTTTGAGCACAATAAGGCTTCTGTTGAGAAGAAGCATGTGTCTCGTTGACACCATTGACAGGGTCATGGTCAATTTTGAAAAGTGAACCGGGGGGCAAGAATAAGAACCTGAGGATGCTGTAGCCTTGAGTGCAGAATTTGCAAATGGGCCTGGTGGGCTTAGATGGCTGGATCTTCCTGGGGTTTTCTGGGTTAAGAGCTGTTAAGAGGTGGGGGTGTAGCTCAGTGTTAGTCTGCTTGCCTAGCATGTGTGGAAGCCCTGGATCCTGCCAAGTTAGATTCTTCTAGAGATTCAAGAGACTCTCCTGCCCCTTGAGGGGCTCACACCAGGCCAGACCCTCAGCCTGCGCATCTGTGGCTGCAGGTTCATGCTGGTTCTGGCCAGTAACCAGCCCGAGCAGTTCGACTGGGCCATCAACGACCGCATCGACGAGATGGTCTGCTTTGACCTGCCACGGCAGGAGGAGCGCGAGCGCCTGGTGAGAATGTATTTTGACAAGTATGTTCTTAAGCCGGCCACAGAAGGAAAGCAGTAAGTGTCTAGCCCCTGCATAGCCCACCCCTCCTGGCCACTCCAGTCCTGGCTGTGGGTCCATCTAGTTGCTTCCCTGGGCTTTAGGCCACCTGCATGGGGGCCCTTATGTATAAGCATTCCCCATGTGGTTCCCCTGGGGTTCCCTCCCCTTGCTCTCCACCTGGGGCCAGCTGCCAACTTTCCTAACAGTCCACTGTCCCATTGTCTGGGGCTTTAAGGAAATCCTCAGGCTCTGGGTGGTGAGGGAAAGCAGCGCTCACTGAATTCACTCAGAGCCTTGTGGCTTGGAGGTAGACAGTCATCACTGAGCAGTCTGGCCTCCCTCTGTCCAGCTGCATATCCAACCTGCTGCTCCAGTGCTGCTCTGAGGGCCTGGGCTGTGCGGGTGGCAGGTGCAGGCAGAAGCTGCTAGTAGGGACACCTGTAGTTAGGAGCCTGCACTCCCTGAACCCATACTGCCATGTCTAGCACCTTCTTACATACCTCTGATCAGCAGAGGCTGCGCTGTTTTCAACTGTCTCTGGGCTCCAGGCTCTGCAGCTCTATATCTTTCCACATCCTGACCTGAATCCCTTGTGCTTCCCATCTCCATTCTCTGCTCTGAAGAGAACGTGGCTTGGCCCTGCTACTCCCTGTGGCTGGACCCCTGCTCCATGCTGGCCCAGTGCCCCACCTGGCTCTGGCCTGGTAGTCCCAGCCACAGCCTAGACAGGCAGCCTGGTTCCATGCCCTCTTTTCACACATGGTCTCTGGCCTTTGAGCTGTTACTGCTGGAAAATAGGATCACAGGCCTCTCACACAACTGTTCTTTTCCCTTCCCCTGAGAACCCACCTGCTTAGAGCTTGTCACTGACTAAGCATTCAACTGGCACCTGCCTCCTCTTTGGGGACTGTGTGCAGATGTGGGCCATGTCTGGAGTAAGTGGGAGGTGGGAGGAATCTCAAGAGTGCAGCTCTCCCTGCCTGGGCCCCAGGGCTGCGGGAGGAAGGGCCATACCCAGCAGGTTAGGATGGGGGGACAGGGACAGGAGGTCAAGGCTGTGCAGAAGAGGCTGCTAAGGCTCCCAGTCCAGGTGCCACTTGAAAACTCTTCTTTCAGACGCCTGAAGTTGGCCCAGTTTGACTACGGGAAGAAGTGCTCAGAGGTTGCCCAGCTGGCAGAGGGCATGTCAGGCCGTGAGATCGCCCAGCTTGCTGTGGCATGGCAGGTGAGTCAGGACCCAGGAGCTCGGCCAGTTCTTTGCTGAGGAATGGACCTGCTTCCTCTGGAGTTTCAATAGAAGGCCATGAAGTCCCCAGATACGGTGTGTGGGTCCACTGGGTTCTGCTCCATCCCATACAGGAGGATTGGGGAAGGGTATCAGTAGCTCATCCTGTTCTGGCCAAGATCTGAGGCAGATGTGTGGGAGGCTCTGAGGCAGGTGGGCAGTAAGGGCTCTGCTCACCTGGGCTGTCAGGTGGCGGCAGGTGAGTGCTGAGCTCCGTCTTGCTCCAGATTACACCGTGGAGCCTCAACGCGCATGCTGTGTGTAAGTACTCCTGGGTGTTTGGCTTTTTAGGCCAAGTTGACTGTGGAGTTGGGGGCAGGGAGCAGAGCGTTGTCTTTCTTAGAGCAGGCAAGGGTGTTGCTGACTCAGCACACACAGGCCTGAGTGGCCGCTTGTTACTCTGACGCTGTTTTTTCTCTGAAGTGGCACAGCAACAGGTTCAAGGCCCTGGGCAGGAAACACTACCCACAGCAGGTTGGGCAGTATCCAGGAAACTTCTGCCTCTGGTGTGGCTGACAAAAGCCATGTTGGTGGTGTGTAAGGTGCTGTGGTCACCTCAAGCTTTGTGTCAGTCTCACCTCATCCCAGGGGCCTGTTGTCCAGGCCAAGTGCCATCCTGGCCACTTGAGTTTAGCGGTGTGTTTAAATGCATGTGCTTTACGTTAATTGAATGGATATTGACCTTGATTTGGATTTTGTAGCCTGAGTGTAGAGGGATGGTGTGAGTCAGAATGAGCTGGTATAGCTGCTGTAACAAACACCTCACACTGAAGATCCCATCCTTATGTGGCAGCTGAGGACTCTGGTCTATTCTCACATGGGACCCAGGTCTGATTCCACAGCTGACAAAGTGGAGATCAGGGAGCTTGGCAGGCTATGGATGTGCCATTCAAGCACTGAAATTTGTGTTCTCACAGTTCTGGAGACTAAAGTCCAAGGTCAGGTTCTGCATGGCCAGGCCCTGGTGAAGAAGGCTTTCTTGTGGCTTGTGTGGACCACGTTTTTGCTGTGTCCTCACATGGTGGGCAGTGTGAATAAACTGCTGTCTTTTCTTGTGTTGCTGATCCCCAGGGGTCAGGGCCCCACTCTCTGCCCTCATTTCAGTTATTCACTCAGAGGCCTGATGTCCACATAGCCTCTATGGTGGGCTCAGGATTTCAGCTTATTGCCTAGTCTGGGAGAGTGGCTCAAGTAATAGAGTGCATACCTAGCAAGTGTGAGGCCCCAAGTTCAAACTCCACTGCTGCTAATAAAAAAAAAAAAAAATTCTATTTTACTTTATCTATTTTTTTGTGTGTGGTATTGGGGTTTGAACTCAGCCTGTACATTGAGCCACTCCACCAGCCCTTTTTTGTTTCGTGATGGGTTTTTTGAGATAGGGTCTCTCAAACTATTTTCCCAGAGCTGGCTTGGAACTGAGATCCTGATGTCTGCCTCCTGAGTAGCTGGGATTACAGGCATGAGCCACTGGCACCCAGCTATGTTTGTAGTTTTATTGTACAAGTCTTTATCTCCTTGCTTAACTCCTAGCTACACAGCTCACCCTTTTTGATGGTGCTGTCAGTGGGATCAGTCTCTAAATTCCCTTCTTGGCTTGCTGATGGTTCATGTGTACAAAGGCAACTCGTTTTCCTGTGCTGACTTTGTGTCCCCTTACTTCACTATTTTTATTGGTTCTAACAGTTTGGGGTTTTTTTGGTTTTTTTCCCCCTAACTTTTGGGTTTTCTTGCAGTTCTAGGGATTGAACCCAGGGCTTTACATGCTAGGCAAGTGTTCTACCACCGAGTTGCACTCCAAGCTCACCTTTTTTTCTTTTTTTGTGGACCCTATAGGGCATTCTACATTTAAAATGTCATCTAAGAACAAGAATATTTTTACTTCTTTCTTTTTGATTTGTTAACTTTTATAACTTTTTCTTGCTTAACTGCTCAGTTAGGACTCCCAGTACAGTGTTGAACAGAAGTGGTAAAGCTGGAATCCCTGCCTTGCTCCTGGTCTTGTAAGAAAGCTCTAGTCTTTACCCTGTGCTGCACATTTGCTGAGGCTCTGGTGCATGGCCTTTATTATGTTGAGGAAGTTTTCTATTCCTAGTTTGTTGAGTACTTGCATCAAAAAAAGTGTGTTGAAGCCGGGGAGTGATGGTGCACAATTGTTATCACAGAGGGGTCACTGGTTCAAGGCCAGCCTGGGCTACATAGTGAGACCCTGCTCAAAAAAAAAGGAAAGGAAAGGAAAAAGGAAAAAAAAGGCAGGGAGAGGAAGGAAGGAAGGGAGAGAAAAGGAAGGAAGGAAAGGGAAGGAAAGGGAGGGAGGGAGAGAAGGAAATGAAGGGAGGAAAGGGGAAGGAAGGAAGTGGAGAGGGAGGGGAAGAGAAGGGAAGGAAAGGAAAGGAAAAAGCCAGTTGCAGAGGCTCAAACCTGCAATTCTAGCTACTGTAGAGGTAAAGATTGGGAGGATTGCAGTTGAAGGGCAGCTCAAGCTAGCCCTGACAAAAAAGTTCATGAGATCCCATCTCAGTCTATAATTTGGAGTTGTATTATGTTTCTGTAATCCAACTACACAGAAAAGCACAAATAAGAGGATTTGGTCCAGGCCAGCCCAGACATAAAGCAAGTCCCTGCCTTAAAAATAACCAGTTGGAGGCATGGCTTAAGCTGTACAGTGCCTGCTTAGCAAGCTCAAGGCCAAGAAAAAGGAAAAAGCAAAACAGCCGGGCACTGGTGGCTCATGCCTGTAATCCCAGCTACTCAGGAGGCAGAGGTTAGGAGGATTGAGGTTGGAAGCCAGCCTGGGCAAATAGTTCCACAAGACCCTATCTCAAAAAAACCCTTCACATAAAAGGGCTGATGGAGTGGCTCAAAGTGTAGGCCCTGAGTTCAAGCCCCAATGCCACAAAAAAAAAAAAAAAAAAAAAAGAAAAAGGAAGCTGAATTTTGTGCTTTTTCATGTCACTTGAGATGCTCCTTTGTTGAGTGGTGTGTCACATCGATAGATACTTGTGTCTCAAAACAAATCCTGGCCGGTCATGGTGCATCACCCTATTAAGATGTGCTGGATTTGGTTTGCTTGTATGCAGCTGAGTTTTCTTTCTTTCTTTCTCTCCTTCCTTCTTTTCTTGTTTTTTTTTTTGGTTTGTTTGTTTGATCTTGAAATGGGGTCGGGTAGCCCAGGCTCCTGCCTCAGCCTGGAGTGGATTCCAGGCCTGCACTGCCATGCCTGGCTTATGTTTGAGGCCTTCACATCTGTGCTTATCAGGAGTGTCTATAGGGTTCCTGTGGGGTTCTCTGTTGGGGTGATGTTGGCAGCGGAAGGATTAAGGAGTGTTCCTTCTCCTTTTCTTCTTTCCCTTGGAAGATTTTGAAGAGGACTGGAGTTAATTCTAATAATAATTCTTCTTCCTTTCTTCCTTTAATTTTCACCTCCCTCAAAACTTAGTGCTAATTCTTAATGTTTGGTGAGCTGACCACTTTGGCTGCCAGGCACCTTTATGTTTTTTATTTGCTTTTTTTTTTTTTTTTTGGTACTGGGGTTTGAACTCAGAGCCTGCACCTTGAGACGTTCCAACAGCCCTTTTGTGATAGGTTTTTTCCAGATAGGGTCTTGCAAGCTATTTGCCCGGACTAGCTTTGAACTGTGATCTTTCTGATCTCCACCTCCTGAGTAGCTAGGATTACAGGTATGAGCCACAAGTGCCCGACTTACTTACTTTTGAAATGGAGTCTCACTGTGTTGCTCCAAATGACCCTGAAACTGGGCTCAAGCATTCCTTCTTAAGGGACTGCACTATAGGTACACACCAAGCCTGGCTAAACTTCCTTTTTGAGTAATTTTGGATTCACAGAAAAGATGAGGGATAGATCAGAGGTACAAGTTGGGATTGTTAGCTCCTGTTCACAGTACTGTCCCCCTGCCCTGGCTTGGTCTTGGCCCAGGATCCCATCCAGGACATCCCGTAGTCTTAGTCCTCATATCTCCTGGTGGGCTCTGCCTGAGCCATTCCCCCTGGGCTGGGCTGCTGAATGAGGCTGCTTGACCACCCCTCGCCTGTGCGGGGTCTTGGGCAAGGTGTGGTCCTGCCCTCCACCAGGTGCGGCTTCCCACCTTGCTTTTGTCCTCAGGTTGGCTTGAGGCCTGGATGATGTCAATGGCTCCCAACCCCTCCCCAAGGTGTAGTCTGCTCCCCTCAGCAGGTCAGGATGAGGCAGTGGACTCTGGGTGTGTCTGTTCCTTGGTAACCCTGCCAGTCCTGCTTTCCGGGGGTGGGGGACGGGTAACACCATGGGTTATCACCCCACAGGACCCTTTAGGGCAACTGTTACAGGAGGGTGCTGTGTGCAGCGCTGTAAGTCCAGTGTCTGTCCAGAGGACAGCCTGGGGCAAGGGTCCCTACTCAGCTGGCTGGGGGGTGGGGGTAGGCACCTCTGTCTGGAGCTGCCCTGCATTCCCAGTTTCCTCCAAAGCATGGTGCCCTTGACAGTCTCCATGCCTCATGCCTGACCCACAAGAGCCCCTGGGCCACCACGCTCCCCTTGGGACCTGCCTACACTTCTCTGATGTTTGCTGAAGTGTGTGTTGAGTTCTAAGCCAGCCAGCAGGCGCACCTCCCCTCTGGCCTCATCTGCCTGAGTACTAGCCCCTTTCAACAGCGTTGGAAGGGTACACCTGGATCATCTCAGAGCCCCGCTGGCTGGACCCTGACCTGAGTGCTGTCCTTGGGGAGGACAGGGTGTGGGGGGGTTGTCATCCAGGAGGGATGGACACAGGGAGAGGAGTCGCCCCCTTTCCACGTGCCCCTGAGGATGGAGCAGCTGCTGTTTTGGAAGTGTTTGAGAGGCCTGTGAGTTGCAGGGCCTGCTGGGACTCAACAGTGCTCTCCTGCAGGTCCTAATCATCCCAGAGGCTTAGCATATGTGTCCTGCCCAGAGGGAGCCACCCTGGGGTCTGCAGGGGGCTCTTCCTGGCTTTCTTATCTTTAGAAAGCCATTAAGAAACTGCACAGCACAGAGGTCACAGTGTGCTGGGCAGGGCTGTCCTCAGCTGTGGGTCTACCAGTTAGCTTGGGCATGCCCATGTGTGCTGGTGCCCAGGGTGGCTGTGGGCTCCCTGTGCAGGCAGGCAGGCTGGCTGCTGGCCCACCCTCAAGCGTACTCTTTCCTGCCAGGCCATGGCATATGCCTCTGAGGACGGAGTCCTCACAGAGGCCATGATGGATGCCCGTGTCCAAGACGCTGTTCAGCAGCACCAGCAGAAGATGCAGTGGCTGAAGGTGGAGGGACCCAGGCCTGAGGCCAGTGAGCTCCCACTCCATTGACTTCACAGCAACCAAGGGCACCGCACGTACCTGGCCAGGGACCACTGGCTGTACCCTTCTACTTCCCAGTCCCCTTAATCTCTGGGCAAGGCCAGGGATGCCCTGAATGCCTTTGCCCAGCTGTGGGTGCTGCATCATGGTCGTTGACTCCCCTGCCCCAGTCTGCCCCTCCTGCTGTGGGTATGGGCTGGGAACTAGGACAGGCCCCCTTCCAGGACACTTGGCAAGATGTGTTCCCAATCCCAATTCAAAGCGGAGAGGAAACACCCAAAGGTTAGCTGTGCTAGCTGGACCAGGGCCTGTGGAGGCCAGAGGATAAGGAGACCCTGTGCTGCCCATCCTGTCCTTGGCCTGGACACCACCCCCACCCTGCACACATTTGTGCTAACAATCTGCCTGGCCCCTACCTGTTGGGGTGGATCTGGGGCCAGGCAGCTGCTGGCCATTGGCATCCAGTGCTAAGAGGAGCTGCCACCCTCACTTTGACTGGAGCTGGTCCTTTTTATCCAGAATCTAATAAAACTCTGAGCCCTTGCTGTTTTTGTCTCATGGCTGACATGAGGGGTGGCTCAAGGGGCCTGTGCAGCCCCTGGGGTTGAAGTAATGGAAGAGGCAAAGGCTGGAGCTTTCGGGAGAATTTACTGGCCAGGCAGGGTGGGCTTCACAGTGAGGCTTGGGAGCCTGGGGCCACCAGGTCCTTATTGCTGCCAAGAACCTGCCCCTCTACTCCCACCCTCCAGTCCACATGCCCCATGCACATGCTCCCGTGTGCAGATGAGCGCCGACCCTGGCGCCTCCCTCCCCTCCAGACACAGACGTGCTGATGGACAACAGGTGGCTTTTGATCACATGAGGCGCCAGGCCTGCCCCACTGAGGACCTGCCACTCCCTGGCCTCAGCACCTCTGGGCAGAGCCTGCTTTTATGTCCTGCCTGCCAGTTTAGGCCAGGCTGCTGCCCCTGAGGCTCAGCGGCCATCCCCACCCCAGCCCCCACCCAACCCCCTTTATAAAAAGAAGAGACAGCACCTTCTGCTGGACTTGCCCACCAGCCACAGCCCAGCCAGCCACAGCCCAGGATAACCCTGGGCCCAAGGCTGCAGTCCCTTCCTGCCAGGTGGGCGTCCACGAGGTCCCTTTTGCGCCTGCACAGCAGCCCCTAGAGTCCTGTGCGCGGCTCACAGGTGCCGCGGGCTGGGGTGGCCATTGTGGTAGAGCTTCTGCTTCACGTGCACCATGTTTCCTGCCGGCTCCTCGAAGGGCCTGTGTGGCCGCCGGCCCAGCTCCCGCAGACTGCACAGCTTGGGCAGCCAGGTCCAAGAGCCATCTGCAGGACACAGGGTAGTTAGGGAACTGGGATAGGCCAGGGACGTCCCCGCCATGGGCACGAAGCACTCACCGTAGCGCCGACCTGCCCTCCAGGCACGCACGGCGCAGTGCAGGACGCCGTCCATCCACACCAGGAACCAGCTGATGCAGAAACCCAGCAACAGCCCCAGCATGAGGTCGATCTCCTGCTTGGTCACATTGTCCGTCACAAAGTAGTTTTCGGAGGCGTCCACCACCGACTGGTCCCCGTCGTATGGGATCACGTAGTGTATGTGGTGCCTGCGGGCGGCAGGGCGGGCTGGCACCTCTCCCGCCAAACCCCTGCCTGGCCTTCCCCAGGTCCGTCATTGGCAGGCTGGGGACCCGAGGCAGGTGACATGACTCCTATAGGGAAGAGGGCATTGGGCCCCCCAGGGCCAGGCAACCTAGCAAGGAAACTGCCAGGGCAGATGGAAGCCACAGCCAGGAAACCAGAAGGGAAGTCCAGGAAGACAGCAGGGCTGGTTGTGTGCACCTGTGCCAGCACCTCTCTCCTTCCTCAGGGCCCTGCAGCAGGGATCGCAGACCACCTGCTGGCCAGGGGGTCTGCCGGGGCTCTAGAAGCCAGGCGGGAAGGCCCCACGAGCAGCCTTCCATGAGCCTCTGGCTCTACCTTGTGCCTCCCCTGCCCAACTCAGTGCCGGAAGTCTTTGGGACTCTAGCAGCTGTTCTCTTCCCCCACTGCCTACTCACCGTTCCCAGCTCTCCAAGCTGGTCACATACTAGGCCCTTTTCCTGTGTCTAAGCACCCCCCGTGGTCCTGACCGCCTACCTGCCATTCCAGGCCGCTCAGCCTCCCCTCCCTGGGCTCTTCAAGGGTTGTCCAGGCCCAGGCCACCAAAGCCTCCAGGCCCTGGCTCACCTCAGGCGGCCCTGTGCTCCCGCAAGAGCCCTCTCTGGGTGCTTGCCCTGTTCCTGCAGCTGACTGGATACCTCCTCCAGAGCTCTCCAGTCTCCACAGTTCTAGGGGGAGTGGCCCTGTTGAGGGGACTGAATGCCCCAGGGCAGCAGGAAGGAGGCCTTGCTTCATCCCTTCTCCTGGCCATCCAGAGTCCTCTCACCGTGTGGTCACCTCTCCTGACCCCCTGCTCCCTGAGCCCCCTCCCCACCACCCTTCATGTCTGCTGGAACTCCAGCTGCCTGTGTCTCCACGTGGGATCCACAGACACCTCAAAAGCACGCCCAAAATAGCTCCTCTCCTCAAACCTGCCCCTCCTCCCCTCAGTGTGAAGGCGGTACCTCTGCTTGCCTGCAGCCGACCCTCAGCACCCCCTGCTCAGAGGGACCTTCCCTCACGTGAAAGCCAACTTGTTCTTCCCACCCAGGGCCTTGCTGCCACCTTGCTGATGTCCCTGGGCGCAGCAGAGGCCACTGGATGCCTTCCTCTCCAACCTCACGGCCAGAAGCAACAAGGAGAGGGCAGCCCCTGTCCTGACCCTTCTTCACGCCTAATCTTCCTGGGGACCAACCCCCTTGTCCACAGGGTGGCCAGTGCCAGGGGGCAAAGCTTGGGCTGCCAGCCCTCCACCGGTTGGTGTGGTGTGATTGAGACTCACACTTGGCAGCTGTCACTCATCCCATCAAGTGCTCATCATTGCACAGAATATGCACCCGTGCCAGCCCCCTCCCCCCAGGAAAGGAAGATCTTCTAGACCTGTTAGCTGTCCCCACCAGCCACACGTGAGCACTGGCCAAGATAGGTCCCACCAAGCCTGGGCACCAGACAGAGTTATCCTCAAGACTGTCCCCAACACAGGTGGCCTGGCAGGAAACGCCAAGATCAAGTTGCCAAGGAAGCCAAAAATGCCCCCAGGCACCCTGCAGGCAGGGGAGGCAGGGACCCCAACTATGAAGGGTGGGGGGGTGGGGTCGTCAGGACTCCAGGGAATCAAGTCATGACTTCTGCCCCCATTGCTGGCCCAGGCTTCAGCAGCTACTCCTCCCTTCCTAGATTGGGTCTCCTCTTAAGACCAAGTCCAGCCCCTGGGGGTGGGGGCCCAGGTCTCACAGATGGAAGCAGGATATGCTGTGTGCACACATATGTCTGTATGTGTACATACATGTGTCCTGCCTGTGCCACACATGCTGCATGTGACCACCTGAGGTCCAATGCATGTCATGTATACACGCCGGCCACATGCACAGGACACAGCGTGTATACTGTGGACACGGGCCCCGCAAGTCCTACATCCATACACTGTGTATACTCTGGACCAGCATGGCACGCGTCACGCACGGATGTACATTCCTTCACCTTCGCACACAGCCACCCTCTGCAGGACCCTGTGACATGTGTATGGATGTTTGCAGACACAGATGCTGCCTGCTTACATGCGTGCTGAGGCGTTAGTATACATGTGTCCTCCATCTCAGTTCTGTGGATAGGCATGTACAAGGCAGACACATGTACACACTTGTTCTGCACGCACTGTGTACACACGGGTGAAATTTGTCGTGGCGATGTGTGTGTGCATGATGTATGCAGATATCCCATGTCTCCAAACAGTCTCCAAACAGTCGCTGCACCATGCAGAGGCTGTGACCCCCCCGAGCACACGGAGCTGTATATTGTCTTATATATGTGTACTTTGCATACACATATATGTTGTCAATATACAAGAGTACTTTGTACAATGAACTCACATATCCGGTATGTAGAGATGTGTACAAAGCACGTACATATAGAGACACACGCAGAAACGCTCTGTCCACATTGGGGTGTGCCTGGCCATGTTTCTGCGCACACAGGCCTTGCTGCAGCTTCCACCTACGGTCCCTATTCCACACACGTTCACACATCCTCTGGATGCTACATGAGATGTACAGACATACCCTGTGCAAACGCACTCTGAAAACACGCCCGGTGCCCAGGTGAACCTTCAGGGTGCTGGTCACAATGCAAGGGTCCACACGTTGAGTGTGCATTCCTAATGCTTATGTGGCTGGAGTCCCGGTCTAGTGGGTGTACACCGTCCACTCCAGGAGGGGCTCAGGGCCCGCCACAGGCATGGCCCCAGGTGCAGTACCTCCCCCGAGCCTTTAGAAATGCCATAAGGGTCGTGTACACTAGGCAGGAACACAGGGCTCTCTGGAAACGTGTGGCCACCCAGCAAACTCTCCCATGCCCAGCACAGGTGAGGGTAATGGTACACCTCCCTCTCTACCTGCTCTAATGCTTGTGTTGTGCAACACACCTGTCTGCACCCAGAGCCATAAAACACACCTAGGAGGCATGCAACTGCCCAGACTCGCACACCCTGCGCTCCCATGTGTGCACAGACTCCTGGAACAGGACTGTGGGGTAGGGTGAGGCACAGAGGTTCTGGGGTTTGTGCTCTCATCCTTTACTAGCTGTGTGACCTTGGACAAGTCTATCCTCTAAAGCCTCCACCCGCTTCCTCCTGGTCTGTCCAGCAGGGAAAACGGGCACGGCATGAGGGTGTCTTTAGGATGAGTGCATGCGGTTGTGTGCGTGCGCTGTGTGTACGCACATGTATATGCACAGACGGTACACACATGCGCGGCTCATGAGAAGATGTTTATTTCGTACATGGACATACAAACATGCATGGCCAGGAAGACTCCACCACTACACATGCACAAAAGAGGAGGTCGCCTGGTGGGTGTGGTGGAGCAAACGGTGACCTTGAACAAACCCCAGTCCCACTCCCTGCTTTGGTTCCTCCACTCCACAATGAAGGAGGCTGTGGCAGGTGCCCCACAAGGTAGGCCCTTCCAAACTTGACCTTATGCACTTGCCTGTCCTGTACTCACAGGAGGCCCAGGGAGGACCCCCAACCACAGGTAAGCCTCTACTGCCCTAGGCATGACCCCTCCGAGGCCAAGCGTCCACTGTGGCCACCACGCGGGACTGCTGCTGTCTCCCCTCCAGGCCCTGGCCCAGGAGGCCTGAAGGCCCATTCTGCCACTACCTGGCAGCTAACCGACTCAGGTATGGCTCCCTCCTGAGGACAGCTGGCCAGCACTGGGGCTCCTGTTGGGGGCCCCTCCCCCCAGCACCTGGCAGGCGGAGGCAGGCAGCCCCCCCCCCAGCGCGGCTTTGCGGCCCAGCTTGAGCGGGTTGGCCGGGCACAGTGGGCCCCGCTGCACAAGTGTGACCACGCGTGTCGTGCCCGGGGCCGGGGCCGGGGCGCACTCACCGGCCACAGTTGCAGTGGCAGACGCGGTCCTCGCCCCGCAAGTGCGGGAGGATGTAGTTGTGGAATCGGTCCAGCAGCGCGTTCATGTCCATCAAACACGCGATGGCCTGCAAGAGCCCATGACCGGTCAGAGAGCAGTGGGCCGGGCCGGGTGGGTGCCGGAGAGGGCAGCGCAGGGCAGCAGGGATGGGGGAGAGGCAAGGCAGCAGGGGAGGGGGCCGCGTAGCCGGGGCCGGGGAGCGCAGGACAGCCGGGCAGGGGACGCGGGGGCAGCCGGGCAGGGGAGCGCGGGGGCAGCCGCGGAGGGCAGCGCAGGCCGCGCGGGCCGGTAAACAAGGCGCCGAGGTGGGGAGGCGCGCGCGCGGGCGGCGGGAGCAGGGGGCGCGCGCGGGAAGCCCCTCCGCTCACCATCACGATCGACGCCCCCAGAATCATGAAGATCATGGTGTTCGCGCTCATGGACATCGGGCGGGCCGGGCCGGGCCGGAGCGCCGCCCCCCGGCCCCGGCGCCCCCCCGGCCCCGGCCGATGCTGAGCCCCCGCCGGCCTCCGCAAGGTCAGCTCCCGCCCGCCGCGCTGCCGCGGGCCCCAGAACCAGGCGCGGGCGGGGACCGGCAGGGACGCGGGGGCCGCTGTGTGGGTCGCTCGGCCGCCCGCCGCCAGCCGCGCTCCGCTCCGCCCTCGGGTCCTCCCTGCGCCCGGCTCCGCGCGGACGGCGCGGCGGCCTCCTCCCTCCTCCCTCGTCTCCTCCCTCTTCCTCCTCCCTCTTCTCTCTCCTCCATATTCCTCCCTCCCCCCTCCTCCTCCCTCCCCCTCCTCCTCCCTCTTCCCTCGTTCCTCCCTCTCCTCCCTTCCCCTCCCTCCTCTCTCCCTCCTCTCCTCCTCCTCTCCTCTCCTCCCCCCCTCCTCTCCTCCCTCCCCCCTCCCTCCCCCCTCCTCCTCCCTCCCCCTCCCTCCCCCATCCTCCTCCTCCCCCTCCCTCCTCCCTCCTCCAACTCCTCCTCGTCCTCCTCCCCTCCTCCCTCCTCTCCCTCCCCTCCCCTCCTCTCATCCTCCTCCCCTCCTCCCCTCCTCTCCCTCCCTCCTCCCCACCCTCCTCCTCCTCCCTCCCCTCCTCCCTCCTCCTCCTCCCCTCCTCCTCTCCTCCTCCCCTCCCTCTTGTCTCTTCCTCCTCCCTCTCTCTCCCTCCTCCTCCCTCCTCCTCCCTCATCTCCTCCCTCATCTCCTCCCTCCTCTCCTCCCCCTCCCTCCTCCCTCATCTCCTTCCTCCTCCCTCATCTCCTCCCACCTCCCTCCTCCCTCATCTCCTCCCTCGTCTCCTCCCTCCTCCCCTCCCTCTTCCTCCTCTCTCCTCCCTCCTCCCTTCTCCTCCCAGGATAGACTTCTCAGGCTGGCGCCAACGTCCAAGGTCCAGTCTGCCCAAGTCCCACCCCAGTGGCGCCCGGCTAGGACCCCAGCCCAGCTCCACGTGCCACCTCACCAGTCCCGGCCCCAGTCGCCTGTCCAGCGCTGCTGGACGCAATTCCAACCTGACCCAAAGGACACGATGGTCAGCCCTGTCCCACTTCTCTGCACAAGGCCCCTCTTCCTGGACCCCAGGTCCTAGTGAGGGCGGCAGGACAGGCGGTCAGCACCAGCCTCTTCCAGCAAGGAATTATCACCCATGGAGGGCCTACAAGGTCAGAGAAGCCAGGGAGGCAGAGCCATGACTGCATGGCCAGAGGTAGGAGGGCACGGTGGGAGGCAGCGATGGGGTGGTGGTAACCAGAAAGGCCAGCAGGGCCACCCTTAACCTGGGCTTCCTGAAGGGGTGGAGGTGCTGATGGGGGCAGCTTGAAGTCCAAGAGGCCCCATGTTCCATGGTCCTGGTCTGGCTGCCCAATGTTGGGGTTCAGGCAATGGGTCCCCAAACCCTGGCCCACAGTCCACCATGAGGCACAGAACCAACAGCACAGGAGCCTGCTGTGTCCTAACTCCTGTGCCATGTAGCAAGGCATTTCTCCCTTCAGTTCCTTGGGAACTAGGAGGGTCACCTGAAGGCTACTTGGGGAACAGCCTTGACACCAAGAAAAACTGCCCCTAGCCTCAGGAATGGCTCCACAGGAGGCCCCTTCTTGCCTGCATTCAGCAACTAGGGAGGGTCAGCCTCCTGTTATAGGCAGCACAGGCCCTGGATGCAGGGCACCAGCCCTGCCTCCAACCCTTGCCTCTCTGATGGTGGCATGGTGCCAACACACCCCTCCCCTTTTGTAAGAGGAAGACAGGCCAGGAATTCAGTACAAAGCAAAGACAATCAGCAGATCTATTTATTAGGCAATTCCAGGTTCTTTCCTAATAAGATACAGCCCATTGCTTTATTTAAACATTTGTACAGTTAAATTGGGGAGAAAAGGGCCAGACAGGCCAACCACAGGCACACACTAGGGGGGCCATGGGGTAAACCGTCTTTTTTGCTTTTGGTTGAGAACAATGGTTTTTAACCTGACATTTTTGTATACTCCTCATTCCATACGTATATTACATTGGGGTACTACCACCATCCACTGGCACAACACCTAGGAGTAAAAACAAGTTTCAGGAGGGAAAATGCATTAACGAAAGGGCTCCAGAAGGTGGCTGTGCAGGGCGGCCGGCAAGGTGCCCCTTAGGGCAGCTCAGTAGAAACAGACAGTATGCAGAAAGGCCCGGCCACTCTTTTCCTCGAACTCCTGCAGCAGCTCATCAATCTCATTCTCCATGTCCTCTGTGTGCTGGATCTAGAGGAAGAGCAGAGTCCTGAGGTGCTGGTATGCTCCTCCCCTACCCCTGCCCAGAGCTGAGTCTTGCCTCCTGCAGGTAAAGTGTGCTTGGGGCCAAGCCAGGCCTCCAGGACAGAGGGATGTTTGCTGTGGAGGGGGTGGGCACTAGACCTCCACACTGACCACTACAGAGCCCCATATTGTACAGTAGAGCTGGATGTGAAGGGGAGGACCAGACTCTGGACACCTGAGAACTGAGAACAGGTACATGGAACCCTCACCAATGTTGTTTGTAGCCTGCAATCAAGCACAGTGGAACACAGAAAGATACAGGTTTGGACTGGTGGAGTGATTCAAGTGGTAGAGTTCCTGCCAAGCAAGCACGAGGTCCCTGAATTCAAGCCCCAATTCGCCAAAAAAAAGGTATAGGCACTGGCCCAAAGCTGTCCAGTGAGGAAGCTGGCCGTATTCTGTGGTGGGGTGTCCTGTGCACTGTGAGGTGTGGCCTCCCTCTGGGTTGTGAGAGCCTCTGATGTGGCCAGGTGTTAACAGTGATCCCCTCTAGAGTGAGGCTGGGGTGACTCCTGCACACTTTCCCTGGTGTGGTTGTGTTCCCAGTCCTCTTGGTCCCAGCCTGGGCTGGCACACAATGCCTCTGAGCAAGGAGTGGCCCCAGCAAAGTTACAACCTGGACATGTCTTCCTCTGTGGCCCTTTCTCCTGTGTGATGTAGCCAGATCACAGGCTTAAAAACTAAAGCTTTAGTTAGCAGCCACACTGTACCATGAAACACACAGGAATGGAAGCTATGCTGAACAAAGCATTTAGAAGAGCAGGACTCTGGGCCCCACACAGAAAACTTCTCCACCAGTCCAGATCTGCCCAACTACTGCTCTGTCTTAGCTAAGTCACAATTTTTTTCATTTTTGTCCCTCACAATCACCTAACCTAAAGACAGATCCCAAAGGCAAACGGCAGGGCAAGGCACATGCCCATTTCTCCCTCCACCCCAGCAGAGGGTCCCCTCAGGGAAGAACAGAAGCAAGGACAAATCCAGAGGATGAAGAGGACACAAGCCCTGTCTGCACATGTGGCCTCTGGGGGCCCCAGGAAGGTTGCCACTTGCTCTGCTAGTTGTCTCTACCACAGAAGAGCTGGGTGAAGACCTGGAGGATCTTGGTGGACACACAGAGCTGGCTGGCTGGCCTTACACACCAGCTTCACCAGACAAACCAAAAAACCAGGGAGGGCTCTTTAAGCAAAGCCAATCATTATTGGACTCACACTTGTCTGTACTTGCATACCAGTGTTTGACTGGATCTGGCTATGAACTGCTGCAAATAGCAGGGGAAAGCCCTACCCCAACCTGTACAAGAGGAGAGGGTCTTGGCCACTTTGCCACATGGGACTGCTTTGGCCCAGAAGGTCAGACACTCACACACTGGCAGAGCTCACAGATGAGGAATGCCCCCAAGGTAGCCTCTTCATGGTTGTCCTGGATGTCCACGTTGACCACGTGCACTGGCTGGCAGGTCTCCTGTTCTCTGGAATTCAGATCTGATTGTGACAAAAATGACACAACATCAGAGTTCTGAAATCCAACAGCAGGTGGGAGATGCAGTACAGCCCCAGCCCCTGCCTGTCTGCCCCTAGCTGGCCTTAAATGTTCCTGAACTCTGGTGTTTTGGGACCAAGACTGGGGACCAAGCATCCAACCAGGCCCCTGACCTTCCTCTGAAAAAGATAAAGGCCGTGGTTTAAGGAAACCTCAATGAACACTATGAGCAACACGACCACCTTGAACATCTTGCCAGTCTGAGGTATTGATGCCTTTGGGATCAATAGCACTTTCTACATGCTCGGTTCATATGCACAGCACACCATGAAGACCATGAGACTGGGAATGGCACAAAGGTGGTCCTGTCTGGTGAACTCACCAGCAGAAAGGCCTCAGACATCTGCCTGCCCACTCCCAGGTCCTCTGCCTACTCTTCCCAGCCCCAGGACGAGAGGTCTCTACACTCCAGGTTTGGCCAAAGGAGGTGCTCTCTCCTCCCTCTACTGTCACACCCAGGACCCACTGGCAGCTCTCACCTTCCACCACCTGGTCATAGACTCTCTCTTCACAAGTGAGGATCAGATCAAACAGGTCCTTGCAATTCTGGAATCTTTCTGGCCGGGGCTTGATTCTCTTATTTCTGTCCAACATATGTAAAATGCCATTCTGTGTATAGCTGAACACCACAGTTAAGGAGCTTTAGATAGAAGCTTTTTGTTGCCTGTGTCATGGCCCCTACAGGTCAGCATGGACATCCCAACCTTGGGCCCTGGCAGAGGCAGGGTCACAACTGCCCTTACACGAGGCCAGAGACCTACTCATGCTGACTCCTTTTGGAGCCCTGGTCCCCTGAGATGACCCAGGCCCAGTAGACTGGTCCCAAACTGCCCTAAAATGCTGCCTGTATCTCTGATGGGAGGCAGAGATCTAGTGCCTGCTCCTTTTCCAGCATGAGTTAAAGAATCTTTGCCCCTTTTACTGTCTATGCCTTGTCCAAGTGCAATATGAAGCATCAGCTTCCTCTGAAACCAGAGCCCTTCAGCAAAGATGAGGCTACCTAGAACCAAGTCCCAAATCCAGCTCAGTGACAGCAGGAAAGAAAATTTGGGAAACCCAGTGTTTTCTAAAGGAACTTCAGTAGTAAGAAGGCCTGGAAAAAATAAGGCCAGTGGCTTATTCCTGTAACCCCAGCTACCCAGGCAGCAAAGATCAGGAGGATCAGGGTTCAAAGCCAGCACTGGGCAAATAGCTCATGAGATCGTATCTTGAATAACCCTTCACGAAGAAGGGCTGGTGGAGCCGTCCGAATGGTAGAGTAAACCTGTCTAGCATGCATGAGGCCCTGAGTTCAAACCCTAGTATCAAAAAAAAAAAAAAAGCCTGGAAAACCTTCAATGACAATGTCAAACCAAGATGGCCCACAGGCAGAAGCTGCAGTTTAACTGAAGGCAGGGTCTGAGGAGGGCGTGGCAACACCTGAATATATCCAGAGGCCAGCTGAGCCCAAGTGGATAGGCAGTGTGGATATGTTCAGGCCCAGCAGCCTGAAGGGGCTACAAGAGCCACCTCCAATGGGTGCTAGCCCTCAGAGTCCACAAGGAAGGGCACACCTCCCTAGAGATACCAAGTCCCAAAGAGCCCATAGTGTAAGGGATCTCCAGTCAGACAAGCATTCCATTGCTTCAGGGGAACAGACTATTCAGGAACTATTTTTTGGAGCTAGCAACTGAACAGGGTATTGTGCACTCTAGGTGGCTATTGTCACTGAACCACATACTCAGCCCTAGATTTAGGCATTCTGATACTTTTATGTCAACTTATTTAAACAAACTCATACTACTTAAAATATAGTTCCTATCTTCCAGACAGTAGGGACAGCTTTTGGAATGCATCAAGTGGTCAATCGAAGCAGTTAAAGACTCTTGACCATGAGCGGTCAGGCATTTCTGGTTCCTGCATCCTTATCTACTCATCACCCTGAATTACATCTCCCTGACACATGGTACCTCCCTGCTGCCCAAGAAAGGAATTTTGCTACTGCATCTAGGCTCATTTTGCAGAACTGAGACCTTCAAAGTTTCAGAGTCAAGATCCTATGGAAAGAAATGAGCGTAAGAAAGGTTCAACCCTATGGCTTGGTGCAACTCATAGCAGGAGTCCAGTCAGGGCCTGGGGGTCAGGAATGGCTGTAGGGTCCATGGTAAGCTTGTCCTGGTGAGTCTCAGTCCTGGGCTCTGCCACTGGGCTCTGAATCCTAGGTAGATGGAGCTCTGAGACCTGCCACCCTGACCATCATGGCTTTGCTCCAGTGTCTCCGGATATCCTGGGCCAGCTCCTCTGCCTGGCCTGACCACAGGTCTACTGGGCCCTTACAGACCTCCTCCCTATTTACTTAATTCTCAACTATTTACACAGATCAGACAATGAACAAAATTAAGCTTGATGTAACTAAGGAGAAAACACGTAAGTTAGGTATCAAAGAGGAGCCTTATTTACTTATCAGGAAATTAGACATTTGTGATCTTTTCAGGCTGTTTCCTGGCAAATAAGCCATGTTAAGTCAAAGTCCTTACCAGGTGGAGCCAAGGTTTGGAAGTCGTGTGAGAGGACTGTGAAGGAGCCTTAGGAATGTGAATCCAAATCTGACCCACATTTGATTCAAAGTCCCACCTAAATTCTCATTTCACATCAAACAAGGGCAAGAAAAAGTACAGATGAAGATGCAAAGCAGCAGAGCAGGCCACTGGTGAGAACTCACACACAGCCAAGACAAAGACTTTATTAGAATAAAAGATGAGGCTGAAGCGAAGTGCAAGCTGCTAAGACTCAATAGAGACCCACCACTCCAAAAACCAGTGCAGGGAGAGCAGAGCACACCCTGTCAACCTGTGAGCTGGGGAAAGATGGAGACACAAACATCTCCTGATGAAGAGGTACCCAGTTGGTAATGGCTGGGCCCACAAAGCATAGCATTTAGTCACAGATTCAACACTAATCCCACCAAGGACAACATGGGCAGTAGGATGGTGGACACAAAGGCAGGGCCCAGAACCCTGAGCCATGTGACAGCCAGGGAAGCAGGAGATCCCACTTTACACTCCTTACCACCAGAGTCCAGGGGCCAGAGTGCTTCCAGAGATACGGTCATGGGATAGCTCTGACCAGCAAGGCCTTGTCTCCACTGTACAGTCACCCCCTTGCCTGAACAGAGTCTGTATCTGAATGACCACATTTAAGGACCAACTAACAAAGGCAGGAACATCAAGCATGCTGGCATCTTTACCTGAAGTTAACACACTTCTAAGAAACTCTCACGACCAGGCTGAGAAAACTGGCTAAAAGAGCCGATTCCGAGGGAGATCCAAGGCCAGACGGGGGTGTGCAGGTGAACCTAGTAGGCAGAGCCCACTCTCCCAAGACCCACACCTCTGCTGCTACATTGTTAGCACCAGAGCAGTTAGTAAGTAGTCAACTACGTGGTCCCTGGTGTCAGTGAGAAAGAGACCCTTACAAGGCTGGAACTGCTGTTCACTAGGTATGGAGGGGATGCTCCAGACCAAATCTTGGGTCTCCTAGCAAAGCCTTGCATTTATTTTGGCAGTACTAGGTTTGAATTCAAAAAGTCTCAGGCCTGCTAGGCAGGTGCTCTACCATTTGAGCCACTCTGCCAGCCCTTTTTTGTGTTGGGTATTTCTGAGATAGGGTCTCGTAACTATTTGTCCAGGCTGGCTTTGAACCACAATACTCTCTGATTTCTGTATCCTGAGTAGCTAGGATTATAGACATGAGCACCAGCACCAAGCTTTGCTTGCATGCTTTCTGGAAGGCTGAGAGAACAGGAACAAATTAGTCACAGTTTAGTTCTATTAAGTCAGTCCAGCCCCTGGGGTTCAGCCTACATCGTTCATAAATGAGCCAACAGGAACCAATTTTGACTCTCCCCTGAATAGGTAGCATGGCTCCACACCCTTCCCTCAGGTGCCTGGCAGCTTTTAGAGAGGGACCTCCCCCATCCACCGAGGTGGGGAGCTAGGCTCGTACCAGGTTCACAATGAGGGTGCTCCAGAAAGCCCTGGATTTGGAGGATCATTTAAAAACTCTGGGGTTGTGGTGTGGCTCTACCTAGGCAGAGTAAAAAATAAACTCAGGTTGGCAGAGTGGCTCAAGTGGTAGCAACCCTTGCCAACAAGTACAAGGCTGAGTTCAAACCCCAGTACTGCCAAAAACCGTATCAACAAAAAAACATAACCCCCCTAAAGTTCTTTGTGCCCTCACTTTCAGAGAAATAAGCCAAGCTTTCCTGCCCATGAAAAGCATGTATTCTTCAACACCTCTGAATTCTCTGAACACTACGTGACATGGAACAGAGATCTAGGGGAACAGAAACACTGGAGCTGTAATTTGCTCAGGACAGAGTGGTTCAAGAGGTAGTGTGCCTGTCTAGTGGCTCACGCCTTCAAGCCCAGCTACTCGGGAAGTGAAGATCTAGAGGATTATGATTGAGGCCAGCAGTGGGGGAGGGGGGTTAGGGGACCCCCCATCTCTAGAACCTAAAAAAAAGCAAAAGGTAGACTGGGGGCATGGCTCAGGTGGTAGAGTGCCTACCTAGCACATGTGAGACTCTGAGTTCACCAAAAAGACCCACTGCCACCAAGAAAGACTTTTTTTTCAAGCTCAAGGAACTTTCCAAAGAGAAAGCTACTTCCACAGTCTACCTCTGGACACCAATTATGGGCCCTTGTGTGCTTGGCAGAAGATGGTACCATCCATCATGTGGGAGCAGAGCCAACTGTCCTGGCCATCCATGAGGAACTGTCCTTCCCACCTCCCCAGAGCAGAGGACCCTCCTCAGAATGCCTGGCAGGGAAATGCTAGCCCTGAAGCATATGTAGGTCCTGGGGTAAGGAACCTGCACTTGCTCTGTGCAGGAATCTGCACCAGCACAGGATGATGCTCGACTTCTCCCTGGAGTTCACTGGCCGGTGAAGCTTGGCAGTTCCTTCTGTAGCAGTAACACTCACAGTAGAGACAGCTGTAGGAAGGCTGATCTTGGAGGACAAAGAGTCAAGAAAGTACAAGGAGAGTGAGGAAATCAAGCAACCATCTTTGGAAGAAAGAGAAGATGTACACAGGATAGGAACTGTACAACAGCCAGCCACTCACTGAGGCTTTATAGTTCATTCAGTGGAACACCCAACCAATGATCCCTCCACTCAGCCTATCAAATAAAATGCCTGTATCACCCCACCTACCGGGAGGTGCAGATCCCAGCACCCCACACGTATGGGGGCCTTCCACCTGCCTCCAAGCCAAACTGTCCAAGGTTGAGTTAGGTCAGGTACCTGCTGTGGAACCCCTCACCCAGTCTAGTCAGCATAGGTCACCATCCCTCAAACTCAACCACAACTAATTACAGACTTTTCACTTTTCTGCTTTGGTAACAAATCCAATTTTTAATTATTTATTTACTTATTTCTGGTTTTTTTTGGTAGAACTGGGGTTTGAACTCAGGGCTTTGTGCTTGCAAAGCAGACAAACTCTACCACTTGAGCCACACCTCTAGTACATTTCTGGTCTGATTATTTTGGAGATAGGGTCTCTCAAACTATTTGCCCAAGTGGCCTTCAACCACAGTTCTCAGCCTCCCAAGTACTAGAATCACAGGCATGAGCCACTGGTACCTGGCTTACAAATCCAAATCTTATGTGGCCTATAGCTGCCTAAGTGAAGTACCATGCCAAGTCTGCAGGGCTGTACCAAAAAAGGCCACCCCACACCTGCCTTTCCACCCAAGGTTAAGGACAGAGAACTTTACAGCACTT